CCATCCTTCTCTTGTTCAATTCTTACATGAGGTTGTTGCTGGTCTCAAGCTTGGAATCCAACAGTCTAGCGAGCAGGTTGTTAAGGAGGGATCTGATTCTATTGGATATGGCGTAAATGCTTCTCTTCTGTTAAGGTTATCTCGTTCTAAGCTTGATCTCAGCTGCCAACCGTTCTCTAAGGTAGTCTGCTCTCTTGGATGGGAGAAGGGTGAGTTCTTGATGAATTCGTTTTCGACTGGAACGTCCTCGAGAACCATGAGCTGTCTAGGTTATATAAGTGATATATCTGTTATTGTCAAGCACAATTTCTCTCCAGAAGCTTGTCTTACTGCGGCTGTTGATCGTGTTCTTCTGAATGCTATGTTGGGATCTCAAAGAGGAGAGGAGGCCGAGAAGGATGATATCTCGATTATCGTTGATGTGGAATCGATTGTTGCAGATGTTAATATTCGCTATCTTAATGACTTGTTAAACATCAACACATTCTGGTTTGCACCTTCACAATTTACCGACGATATTAGAAACAGTGAACTAAGCATTCAAAATAAGGAAAATCCTGAAGTACTACAAGAGAATTATACTACAGTCAATCCGCTTCCTTTTGCCAGACGCGTTGCTGCTCACTTCCAAAGCATTCAACTTTCTGTTGACATGGGACAAGCTATTGGTCGAATCGCGTTAAAGCCAAAGAACCTCACTATCAACACATACAATCTACCGTTTAAGTCCAAAGGATTGGATGCTTACATTGACGAAGTGTATATCTCGTCCGAAGGGAGACTCTCTGGTGAAGCGCTGGTGTCTCCAATTTCTATAAAATTGGTGGTAGACTTGCTAAATCCTAGTAAGCCAGAGAGAACTTGCAATGCTACTTCTTTCTTGCTTATGCAAGGTGCTCGAGCAAAGTTTGAATACGAATATCAAAACATCTTAGACCTTATACAGGGAACAGTTAAATTCCAATCTAATGCCGTAAAATCCAATGATTCATATTTACTTTCGATTGGTATTGATATGAAGCCGTTACTTGCCAGACTATCGATCAAAACAGTTCCTATTATTGTGACAATGTACAGCAAGTTTAATGAGCTGTTGAAAAAGAAGAAGGCCGAAGCCAGTATTCAAGACATGCCACTCGCATTTAAAAAGCCAGAATCGGCCGAGAAGAAATCTGTTCAAAAAGATGTAGACAATATATCAAAGGCACATCAAAACAAAATTATGCTGGCTCGAACGACTGTTGAACTTGTTTGTCACTCTATTGGAATTATTATATACCCCAGTCAATTCCAAGACACGGATAATGTGGAGATCAGTGCTCAGATGATTAAGGTGCTACTAGAACGGACACCACTCACAGATGAGCAGGGTCAATCAAGTATTCATCGAAAACTAGTTCTGAGTTTAACTTCGGCAGCACTATTAAAGAATGTTCCCGGGAAGGATATTATGGATCATCATATCGAATATTTAAAGACACTTTCCCGAGCAACTGGTACATTGCAAGATAATCCAATTGCTATGCCTGCAAAGTCTGGGACAAATATCGTTGGCATACCTTCCACAACGCTGACTATGGACTCTAATCAAGTACACCGGCTTGTTGAACATGTATTTGCAGCTAAATTTGGTGGGCGCATCAGTGTTTCGCTTAATCTTGGGCTGATGCGATATCTTCAAGAAATGCATACAATGTTTACCTCTCAGTTAAACCGAGCTCTTGAACCTGAATTTAATACACTGCCCCAAACTCCTATAAGCGAAACATTAAATCCGTCGAACATGCTGCATCAATCAGAAGATACGAATAGTGTTGATAGTGGGGTTGGTGTTAGTGCTCAAATTGGATTAGCGATGACATCAGAAACTCTGTCTGCAAAAGAGCGGCCAGCAAAGGTTTTATCAAAGGATGCAATTTCTGGCTCAAGTAGTGCGTTTGTAGTACACAAGGACGAACTTCTTGATGAAGTTCAAGATAACTCTGAGGAGAAACTTGAATACAAGAGTAAAGTTCCAGTTAATTTTTACCCTCAGTTACAAGTTATGGCAGATGCTACCCCTCCTGTTGAATGGCTTGGACTGAAACGAGAGACTTTACCAGCACTTATTCATGAAAATCTTACCCTGAACCTTGAGAAAATCAGTCAAGGGCTATGGGCAATGTATGCCGATCACACAGTATAATGTCTTTGTGTATTTTTCTTTACTCCTTTATTTTATATAATAATTACTCTATACATAATTTACTAGTTAGCATAATATATAAGCGTGTAATAGAATTACATGTTTACCGTTGAAATATATGAAAGATATATGAATGCATATAATTATTATGTCCTTGAAATCACAACTTTTTTTGTTTCGATTAAGTCAGATAATAAATTAATAGCTTTATGAAGCCTTAAACTTTTGAGAAAGAAGTTATCATCCTATTTCTTATTTTGTACTTCAAAGCACAATACATATAAAGCTCTTTATATCTTCTAAAAAAACTCAATCGAATAAGATAAAACTTGATTTTCTTATAGATATAAATTTATATTTTATAAAAATAAAAGAAAGTTATAGCATGAGCAGTGATTATAATAAGCTTTTATTACTGCTTGAACTCTATCTGCTATACTTGCTATAGTAGTACAGAGATGGTTTATATTAAGTCTCTTCTATTTCCAGATATTATAAGTTTTAAGTTCTTAAGAATTACTAATAGACTCTTTTCTCTCAATATATGTCTTTTAAAGCATTTAGACTTTACTTGATTATATTTATATCTAAACTTTGAAATAACTAGAAATCAAATAGTGTAATTTGATAATAATTTCTTTACAGTATGGCAGCTGACATCGTCTCTTTGAAATTTGAATAAGATATTCTATCTATTGTTCAATTTCTTATATAAGTGATTTAAATTTTATTTTTTGATATAAATCGTGGCTTATTAGTCTATATTACTTTACTTTAGTTTTTAATATAACGGCTGTTTCTGATTTTGACTCTGCAATCAGTTTTTTTCTCTTAAATATTAAGTTTGACTTTGAAACAAATATATAAACACCAGAGTTTTCAGCTTCAAGATATTTAAAAGCAACATATTTATATATAATTATATTAGCAGCTATTAATTGGTTTAATAATAATAATAATGTATATATATAACTTTTAGAAGAGTTAAATCTTGTACTCAAACAGAACTTTTAATATATATTATACTGAGCTTTTTTTATCTTCTTATCTAGACTTTAGCTTTAAAATACTACTCTCTTCTCTAGTATTTGGTACGTATACTGACTATTATTTAAAAGATAAATATGTGCTTTATAATATCAGCTAATTTCTTTTTGACTTTATAAAAGTATATAATTTAGCTATATTCAAACTCTGGTATCTTATCTTTAACTAATAAATATTGAATTGTTTTATTCATAACAAGTAATTTAATTATAGAAAAACTTTCTTTAAAGTAAAATAAATATATTTCTAAAAATATTATATACTATAATAAGAAATTGTTAGCTGTTATAAGAGCTAGATAAGATAAGATAAGACAAGAATACAAGATAAGACTAAAGTTAAAGTGAGCAGGGAGGGCTATGTAGAGATAAATATAATTCAATAATATTTATTATTTTAAGCATCAACAAGCTTTATATTATTAGATTTATCATATACAAGAAAATAGTTTTATTGTGATAGCTTAGTAATTATAATTATATTAATATATATATACAAATAATTAAGTAGTCAGATCAACAATTCTTATAGTTAATATCATAAATAATATCTTTAAAATGAATAAAATAATTATATCATACTACTAAATAAAATATCTTAAAGTTATATAAAGCTAATTTAGTAGAAATTTTTAATTATCTAATATAAAAAAAGCTAAAAAAGTATAATATATAACTATAATAATAGAATTATAATACTAATATTAGTTAAGGAGTAAATATAATATAATCTAATTATAATATATATTATAATTGAGTAGATAATAAACTTCATAACTAAATACTGACTTTTTCTTGCTAATAAATCTAATATGTTAATAATTTTTTAAGCTGTTATATATAATATATATTTATATAGTGAGAGCTAATTATTATACTAAGAATTTCAATAGTAATATATAAAAAATTATTATTTTATTTTTTTAATATTAGTATACTTGTGGTGGTTCAAACACTGAGTGTAAAGAACATCCAATTGGTCTCAGTTATTGGGCCAATCAGAATCCCTTCCAATCATATTGTTATTAGATCAATCAAATCATTGCATCCATTTTCTTAGAGAGAATACTCATAGCACCAATCACATAATTATCTCTTGCAATTAGCAGACATAAATATTTGTATAAATTCTTGTAGAGCTTGATCATAGAAAGATCAAGTGAACAACTTCTTTAATAAAACAATCTATTTATATTTCTTTTTCTGTTTTCTCTATTCTTATCTCTGTCTAGATTGGTTTCTGATACTCAGATGTTGGATTTATCACATATAAAAACATATTCATATTGAGATAGCATAGTAGCTATTATCTTGTCAGTATATAAAATATATATAACCTATTATATAATTGGGCCAATAATTATTATAGTTAGTACTGTAAATAATATCTTAAAGATTGTTAAGATAATTATATTATACTGCTAGGTAAACTGTATCAGAGCAATATAAAGCTAATTTAGTAGGAAGTCCTAAAGCTCTAGTATAAAAGAGAAAAGAATAGCTAAGAGCTAAAGAAGTACGATTTATGACTTGAGGTTATAAGTGTAACACTAAAACTAGTTAAGCAGTAAATATACTCTAATAACCAAATATAGTAAAGGAAGAAATTCTTAAGAAACTAAGATGTAATGACAAGAGCAGATTATGTTTTCTTATAAAAAAGAACACTTGTTATTTATGAATAAAGGACAACTTAAATATAGTCTCTGTTGTGGTGGTTGAAGTTGAAGAAGTTTTTAAGAGGAAGAATTGAAGATTTGAGATTAGGAATGAAGATTTGTGAGAACTTGTGTAGGTTTTGTTTATTGAGAAAGGATTTTATATCAAAGTTTGACCAGGTTCCTACATTGAACTACTACTGCTATTTATATTGTTTTGGATTGAGAAAATTATATGACTGGGGTCAGGTAATCGATCCTATCTGAGTCTTAATCAGAGCAACATAATCTTGGGATAATTAATGTATGATTAATTATATAAATGTGTATAGTCCCAATGAAGTATTAACATCGAAAGTAAATGTGTTTATGAGTTATAATTATGCTTATAATAATCCACTGCTGTATCTCATATTATGATGATATCATCATATGAAATATAATCACTATCATGCATGCTAAACCTGTGTGTTAAATAATAAAGTAATCGGTAGACACCTTTGACTGGAATAGCTGAGACCTTATATTATTTCCTTCAGACTTATTCTCAATTACAGCAGTAGTCAATACTCATTTACAACAGTCTCAAAGTATTTCTATACATCTCTATTATCAAATTTATTATTTTTCTATTGTTTTATATCTGAAATACTACAATACTAAATCAATATTAATTTTATATATCTTACTAATTTTATTATAAAATACAACTAGTTTTGGTTTCTAAAACTTTTAAAAACATTACTAAAAAAAATTCTTTATATTCTTTTTAATTTTTATTTATTTTTTATTATGATTTCATATTCTTTTTTTCTGTTATAAAATTATAATATTTTTTCTTTATATTTTATATCTCTTTAATATAATTATAAATTATATTAAGAAAAACAATTATATCAAAGTTAATATATTAGGAGTTTTTAATAGTTTTTTAAGTCTTTAATCTCAAGCTTTAAGTTTTAAAATAGTAGTAATAGTATATAAAAATTACTTAGTATTTTTGATTACTTTAAATGTTTCTTTCAGTTTAATTATATATAATAATATTATTATAAAGTTTAAAGTAATAGTTAAAAAGATAAAAATATATATATCAAAGTTTTTTTAGCTATAATTAATTTTTATCAATTAAATTTTACAATTTGAGCTCAAAGCTAAGATTCGAAAGCTTAAAAAACTGCTGTAACCCCCTATTATATTTAAAATTAAGATTCTAAAATCTGGTCTTTTGTAATATCTAAGTATAAAGCGTACTTTTATGTATTTTACATTGGTATGTAATTTTTAAATTGTTAACCAATCAAAGTAAATGCGTTAATAGTTCAATGGTAGAATTTCAGCCTTCCAAGCTGAAGGTCGGGGTTCGATTCCCCGTTGACGCATACATTTTTAGTTCTATAGACCTTTTTTAAGGAAATGTCGTGGCCGAAATATTGTCAATTAATCAGGGCGACGACTATATATAATTCTCTTTTAAGAACGTGGACCAAAGTGGTTTCTTTTTGCTCACAAGAAAATACTATGTAATATTTATTCTGATTAATTGACAATATTTCAAAGACAAAAATTTCTGCTCTTGGTTAGTCTTATTTTTACTGCCAAAGTTTAGCATCCAAATTGTTATTCCTTTAAGATAAGCTTTCAATGATACATATGTGTATATATTGAGCTTAATCTTCGTTAAGCAATACATATTACATTAATTTCTATTAAATATAAACCCTTTAGTATTTGTATTTGTATGTATTAAAATTTAATGTATAAATAAAAGTTATTAATTTTAAACTACATGTATTTGTAGATATTGGTTGGCAAAGGTAAAAAGTAATGAAGGTGATATAAAAAAAAGTTTAAAGAACATTTCTAATTGGACATTTAGTTTCATAAGCTCTCAATATATATGCTTTTTGTTACATATATGAAACTAATTTAGCTTTATTAAAGCGTGCTTAGAGCATCCACAGCAGTATGTGGGAATTAAAAAAATAAGGGAATTTGACAAATTATTTAGATTTTTTCATCCACAGTGGTTTTGCTATATGATGTGTGAAACTAAAATTTTTGTGAGAAATGTTTAGCGAATGTGGATGTTTCGAACTTTACTAAAACCTTTGGCAATAAAAATTGAAGTCATATTTTAATAAAAATTGGAGACATTCTTTGATAAAAATTGAAGGCAGATTTTGATACGAATTTTGAGTATTATTTTCTTTATACCTAGCTTTACTCTTTGAAATGAACAGCAATATTTTCCAATCCTCTACTGACAATGTCTCTTCGAGTGAATCTGTTTCCACATCTACCAGTAGCCGTAATGCCAATTGGAACTACTTGGAGGACATTCAGCTTTGTAAGTCGTGACTGGCTATTTCTCAAGACCCAATAACAGGAAAAGATCAAAGAGGTACTACCATGTGAGAAAGAATTGGATTGAACTATCTTGAAAACATCTATCTGAGCTGTATGTTCTGCTCTACTAGTTCTTTGACATCCTGCTGGAATCATATACAAAGTAAAGTAGTAAAGTTTTGTGGCTGTGTGACTCAAGTTGAGCGACGTAATCAAAGTGGGGCCAATGTTCTAGATATGGTAATATCCTAGTTAAAAATTTGGTTAATTTATTATTGATGTCTAATCTTTATATATATAAAAACTAGATTTCTGAAGCAAGAATTCTGTTCAAGATCCAAAACAACAACAAGACATTTAACTTGAATCATTGCTACTCCGTTCTTTCTCTTGCTCCCAAGTGGATGAACCGCTTAAAAGGTTCAACAAGAGGACAAGGAAACAGAAATCAGATTGTTGTGTCAATCACTCCGTCCGGTGGGAATGTTCAGGGGAACAATGAGATGTCTTCTCAACAAGGGGTTGTCCGTCAAATAGGTTGCAAACAAAGCAAGGCCAGATCCCAGGGAAAGAGAAAGGTCCAGGAGGCTCTTTTTGATCTGGTGAATGATCAAAGAAAAGTTCAGCGTTCTGGTAGCGGAAAGGACAAAAATTTCAGAGAGATGCTGGACATAAAGTATATCATGATGGATGCAGACACTATCAGCAATCCAGTAAGACGCTGCTGTGTTCTCTTGAAGCAAAAGCAAGCTCTGCGCCGAGCAGAAGAAGTAGAAAGGGGTTTTGAGGATGAGGATGAGAGTAGTGATGATGAAGAAGAAGAAGAAGTTGAAGAGCTTCAAAGTGGTGAAGAATATAATTTCTCTGATGAATAAAATGTTTTTTTTTTTGCACTTTTTTAATGTAAAACTTTATTACACTATTTATTCATTCATTATTTCCTGCCATACTCCTCAAGTTATTCACAAGGCTTTTTACTAACTTGGCATGGTTGATTCGGCTTGTAACTTCACCATATCTTGTGACAAATTCAGAAAAGCTTCCTCTGGTAACGTCTTTACTAGTCGCTCTTCTACTAGCTCTGTCTGATAATGTCATTGCTGCCAAGCTTTGTTCATAGACCATGTCCAGGCCATCTACGCCACGTTCGTATTCTACTATCATGTTATATAATATGATACATTCTTTCATTATCATATTTAAGTCTATAATTCTCCACAACTTTGCAGGAAGCTTTACAATGTTGAATCTAGCCTGCAGTACTCCAAAAGCCCGTTCAACATCTTTTCTTGTGGCCTCTTGTTTTTAAGCAAACAGCTAGATTATAAAATTTGAAGTAGCAAATTTTAGTAAAGATAAGAATAAATATAAGAATACACAAGTATATGTTACCTTTTCCTTTGCTAGTACGGGATTTGATATGGTTTTTATCAATCTTGTATAGCTTGGGTAAATTCCATCGGCGAGATAGTACCCCATGTCATATGTTTTGCTTCCAATGTTGTAATGCACAACAGAAGCTGTCCCTTCAGTGATTTCTTGAAAGACGTCAGATCGATCAAGAACGTTAATATCATTAAGGCTGCCAGGGAGCCCAAAGTACGAATGCCACAGCCAGAGGTCTTGAGAAGCAATGGCCTCAAGAATCAAAGTTGGCTCATGTTTACAGCCAGTGTACTGGCCATGCCAAGCCGCCGGACAGTTTTTCCAGGCCCAATGCATGCAGTCTATGGATCCTAGCATCCCTGGGAACCCTCTTTCGGCACCAGCTGCCAGTAGCCGATCCGTATCTGCTTGATTAGGCCTTCTAAGATACTCATCTCCAAATACAGCTGTCAATGTCTTGCAAAAGAGTTTCATACTTTTTAAGACAACAGTCTCGCTCATTCTCAGATATTCGTCAAGTGAATCGGTAGACGCTCCATAGCAGAGCATACGCAGTGCAGCGGTAACCTTTTGGAACGTTGCGTATCCAAGTACCCCAGAAGCATCTCTTTTCTGGACAAAATAGGAGTCTTGGTTCTTTACTCTTTCACAGACCCAAAAGAAAAGACCATGTCTCATTCTAAACCTTCTTCGAAAGATTTTCTCGTTGTAGACAGGATCTGCAGCAAAATAGTTGGAATACAATCTTTCATTGCCTTCAATGCGTCTTCTGTTTATACTCGTCCGAGTTGAAGGCATAATGGCATCCAAATTGTTCAACAAAAATACGTTGCTTGCTGCCCGTCTTGCGTCCCCTTCTTTATCATCATACAAGTAATCAAATAATCCAAAATCTACATCTGGATTGTTGAGAAAGTACTTGTATTCTTCGACATCAGAGTCTTCGTTCAGGTTGATTGTATTTCGATAAGCACTCATGGTGTATAAGATTTTATTGTATTTTGATAATATTAAGAAAGAAACATTTGATTTAAGATTGATATTTGAAATGTTTATATGTTGCTGATAGAAATATTTCAATCCTAACGTTAAAAAAGTCATGAAATATTTAGTTTGGCAAAACCGATGTGGTTGAATTGAAATTTCTATATTAAATTTGTTTTTTTATTCCAAAATACACATTTATTTTCCACATACCACTGTGGATGCTCTTACAACAATTAATAAAACAGTAAATTTAATATTACCATATTTAATTTTTTAGCGGTTTGTCATAGAATAGCTAGGTGTACCAATAAAAAGAAAAATATACTAAAAGGTTTTGGAATATCTAAAAACCTCTAACGATTTTATATGTCAAAGACACAACTGAGCTTATCATTCTGGTATATTTAGAGCTAATTTCTAAATGAGTAAATCCAAAGTTTGCCTTTATGGACTAAAATATCGTGGGGTTTGATAAATGGGGTTTTCTTTTAGGAAATTTCACAAAGGGAAGCACATTGTTACAATAGAAGGTAATTGTAGTATGTCTAAATTTGGTGAATTAGATTAAAAAGAAAGGATGAATATGATTATCTTGGATTCTTAGGCGATCTGGTCAATGCCAGATCTAAACCAAATAAGAATCATACAAGAAATACTATGAGGGTGGGTTTTGAAACAATAATAAGAAAATACAACAGTGGACAAATAAATATAGAATATATATATAAAAAATAGATTACGGTTTATGGGAGATAGAGCATTGTTTATGTGACACACCAGATCTCAATCTTTTCAACGCCAAAGTCACCATGCTTCTGCCGGCTTGTTTGCCGTACCAAGTGCAAATCATCGTCATCAATCATCAAAACCATCTCCTCTTCCTCATCCTTGTATTGGAGACGTGTTGATGGGGGTGCTCCAAATTTCTCTCGTACACGGCCCAAAAGTTCATTAAACGTGATTGTGTGCGGAACGAGTAAAATGCGGGTGTCTGTGTAGTGTACCTTGACTCTAATCTTAGTATTAATTGATCCCTCTTTCAATGTAGGCGTTGATACTGATGCAGTGGGTTGAGGAGGGTGAGCACGTATATTCGAATAATCGTTGTTATTGATTTGGTCATTTCCGCGCCTATCATCTTCTAACGGTGCTGTATTATTACTGTTAAGCCGAGGTCTAACACGATCTTGTTTGTTGTCCTGTGTGTCTATTGTCGGTAGAGATCCATACATCTCGTCCAAATCAAAATTGCCATAATTTGCAGAAGTGTCGCCATATTCGTAGCTTGCATTATGTGGAATTGGTGGTACAGGAGGGGGTGAATATCGATTAGCTTTGTGACTTTTTGTTGAACTGCGCCCAGAAGATGAGGAGTATCTTTCTTCGTGTGTAGATTCAAATCCACTGTCTACCCTACGGCCATCTGCACGCTGACGAAGACTGGAACTAAAAGACGAAGTAGATGATATAGATGGATGAGGAGAGTCAGCCCATTCTTCAGTTGAGAATGATCCAGCGTTCGAGTCGTTTCGCTGTCTCTCAATGGGACTATACTGTCGTGTGTTTTGTTTTCTGGGATAATGGGAGGATACTGAAGAGACTGGAGTAGGTGGTGGTAATTGATCAGTGTAGATATGTGTTGCCATCTTAGGCCGGCTGCTTTCTCGAGCTATTGCTCTCATTCCATGTTCTGCAAGAGATGATATCACTGGAGGTTGCTGAACTTGTCTTGGCGCAGCCTGGGCACCAGGAACTCGTTTCTGGAAACGTGCGTCTGGTAAGAGGATGGAGTTGTTGCGTTGTATGGAGGTGAGAGCTGTTTTAAAATTTTTGTTGGGAAGAGATAGTTTGTCCACAGCCGCAAACATATTAGCATTTTGAAGCTGGCGCATTCGCGCTTCTGATGGTCTATAGAGTACACCCGGAGGAATTGAGAAAACTGAGTATCCACGGCCACGGTCACGAACTGCTTGATCGATAACATCGTGTTCCTCCGTCATTTTTGCTTTTTGTGCGTGATACAAGTCGGTCAATCCAGCGTCGATCTTTCCGAGGTAGAGCTGACAGACACCACGATTAAAGAGAACTTCACAGGCGTAGAGACGAAAAGCTAAGCCGAGCTGAGTATAATTGATCATCTCATTACCGCGCAATCTCTGAAATATTTATGAGAATCTACAGTGGTGAAAGCAGATATTGTACTCTATACAGCTAGAAATACCACACACACACACACACACATATATATATATATACATACCTGGTAAGCATTGTCGAAATCATGCATTGCAGCCTCCATATTATTCATAACAAACTGAGATACACCCTTTTGGAAATAAGCTACTGCAAAGTATGCATCCATACTGATTGCTCTACTATATGCTGCCAGCTAAATTCATTATTCGTAATAAAGGAGTGAGGACTTGAGCCATTGTGAGAGTGAACGGGTAATATAGTGTACAACACTGTACTCCAAATTGGTGGACGTATCACATTGTTATGTACCCAAACACAACTTACCGCACGTTGATGATCATCCTCAATAGCAAAAATTAATCCTATATTAAAATGCATTTTCGCATTATCGGCCATACTCTAATATATTGGGTATGATTATATATAAGTACTCGTAGGCCCTGTATGGTTTATATCCTTTGTATTTATGAATGTTTGTTTCAGAAAGTATACTCACGAGAAAACTTTGTACAGCAGTCTCATAATCCTTGCTATCAAATGCAGCACATGCATTCAGCCATTGATCGAGTTCGAGCTGATGAGTGTAGGGTTGGCAATTAGTACTTTCATTCGCATGATTAGAAACTATAGAACTTGCCTTGAACTCCATTTCGAGAGGCTGGACAAAGTTGAGAGGCTGAACAAAGGGGAAGGGGTAAAGAGAGGGGAAAAAAGGCGAGTCCTTTCTATTTACTTTTTAAGGAGTTATACATGTGACTGACGAAGAATCCATCGCAACCCTCTGTCTTTTTAGCATATATTTTTCTCTAGTTTTACACTGTAGCTTTACCTCAATTTTTTCTTGGCAGATATAAACCCAATAAAAATATAAGATAAATCCAAGATAAAATATATTTATTATTATTAAAATATCCTCATTATCATTATCTGTAGTGTATCTCTGATATAATATGGAAGTATAATATGTTTCTATAGATTTATTGTTTTTTTTTGAAATGTTTGGATTTAAATCTTCGTAATGAACATCAAAATAACATGTCATTTATTTTTTTAGCCGCTGTTATTATATCCTATGAACAGTAATGGTTGCCTACGTGAAAATAGAGCAGACAGCACTAGAACTCTATATGTATGACTGACTTGGCTGAAGTTATATTGATCCTAAGAATGAGTATCACTTTCATAGCGTATAATACAATTGCAGGTGTGGCGCAAATTGCAAATCACCGAAAACAATTGCGTATAAGGCGTATGTCATTAGAGAGGCCATGCTTGAGATAAAACCTTATCGGACGCATTCTGAGGGTCTCTTTCCTTTTTAGTCGGAGACTATGAAGTAGGAATCAAACATCAATTAAGTTTAAGAGTTCAATTGCTTATCTTTACTGTTTATTTGATCAACTCTATTAAATCAATGATATTTTTCAGAAAGCCAGTCAATAAAGATATCGTTGAATTTTTCAAAAACATAAATTTTGAGTGCAGATACTGTATAGAACATTAGGAAATTGTATTTTTTTGCATTGATATAAACATTTGGAAACCCAGCACTGGCCAAGTGGAGGAAATTACTGCCAAGAATTACCACATGTTAGGGAATTAGGGTAATATATTGACTACTATGTGTAAGAGCACAACCACTGTCAAAACACAATATAGATCCAATGAAGTTTCTTTGACTATTTGTTCCTTTTGAAATGCTTATTTAAGCAGTCTGTACGATATTTAATCTTATAGTTCTAATATGTTCCCAGAGACGGAATTGGTTTATTTAATACTTTACAATATGTGATTTCAGTGTTCTCCGAGCTACTCGAATCAATATTCAAAACTCTTCACAGAAAGTAGCACATGTTTAAGCAAGGGACTCACAGGATTTATTAAGCCCTACGTAGAACAATTCACTGTATTAAGTAGCTACTTGCTGATCATTGACAGCTCATCCCAGGTAATCAATTCAATAATACTTGGTAAACGGACTGCTTACAAGTTGACTATTATAGAATATATGTAGCTAAAATATATTTAAGGTGTGATATTGAAATTCGAGTTGACATTTACCAACCATTAAGAATTAGTGCAAAAACTACACTAGTATAAGCTACAAAGACAATTATCCTGCGTTGACAGACGTAAAAAAGAAGATAATTAAATACTAATATCTTACCTGCCTTATCTGACCCATTTATAAAGACTGATTTTGGCGAAGTCGAAACCGCATTTAATGCAAGTGAGATCATATTATATACCAATGCTTTATCAATATTAAATGACAAAGGCTCAGATAATGGAATTAAAACAGCCTTTAGGCAAAGATCCTTTTGTTTGCTTACCAAATTTTGTAGTTTATATATACACTTTGGTTTAACACGTTAGGTACTTGTGGCAGAATAGGCCCATTGAAAGATGCTAAAGACAAGTAGTTGGTATTTAGGTCTCTTTAAACACCCAACAAACATCTGTCATATGTTTCCTTTCCAAGCTCCAAGGAAGGGTTGTTATCTTGAAGTATCTCAGTATTTAAACAATCCTTTACTACATTTCTTTTATAAGCAATACAAAGAGTAAATTTATTATAGTCCATAAAAAAACAAAATAATTCCAAAAATTTAACCTAATTCGGATGGGAGAGGATAAAATTCTGTTTCTTCCGAGTAAATGCCTACACGCTATTTCACAGCGGGTACTGCCCATAGACAAAGGTATCAATATTGCGTATCGCCTGTTTTTGATAGTATTACTGGCTGGCAGGGTTTCGGAAATAAGTTTATAGGCAGTTTTCAAGATGCATTTTCAGACATTGATATATTTAATGGCCTTGGTGTAGTATAAATAAGAGTATTCTCCGGTAAGTCTCTGGAGGACGAAGTCCGTAACATTACAACTTCTGATCTTGGTAAATAAGCTTCTTAAAACTGGCGTCTTAATATTCCAGATGGTATTAATCTGAATTTACGAAAAATACAGCTCTTTATTACATTATATATTGAAGCTCTATTATATAGGCAAGATTAATTTCTTAACATATGAGCTAACTATGTGAAGTATTAAATATACTTGCTACTTACAGTTTATTCCTAATTAACTGTCACCACAGAAACATTAGAAGCTAAATAAATTTTTGCTTCTGTATGTATTATTGATTATTGGCCAGTCTAACTTGTTTTCTCAAATCGGAAGCAACTTAAAAATATATTAGAACAAGCAAAGTTACTCCTTTTACTGGTAATTCATATGTTACTGTGCTTCCATTCTCAATTTACCAGATGTTTGAAAATACTAACCATCTTTTTGAATGGTGTTGGACATTTGTGTGAGGTTAAATTACCCAAAGAAATCAGACCGAGTTGACCAAATTCTTGAAAACAACTTGCCCAGCTTTTTCAGAATAAATTGTCCACTTTTAAGAAAATAGTTTGGCCAATTATTAAAACGACTACAAAGGTTCTTTATTCAAGAATCTAGTAAATACATCGAGTGAGTGCTGGATGGAATTTTGTATGCGTTCAACAGAAAAATTTATCCTCTCTGCCTTAAATAACTTGCGAGTGTTTCTGCATCTGTCAATTCACCTCTTCTGATGCGGTCCTTCAACACTTTCCAAAAACAACTCGATAGGAATGGATTCAGACGAATAAGGAGGAACGTATAAGGCTATAGCTCTTCTTTAAGATGGCGTGGTAAAAAACATCAAAGAAATGGATCGGGACATTATCCACAGACGTAGCGATCTCTTATTAAGAACCAAAATATCAGAGTCTATGAATCACAGTTGCACTCTCGACATTCAGTTTACTGTCATGAAGATGGCAGGTTAACACCAAGAGACCATCAACATCAGAGACATTTATGCCTGATCCATATCGGCAAGAAATTACAAATCAGTAAATATATTTATGCGAGACAATAAAAGAAATAGCCACAGCAGTATCACTATTTTATTTGAAATAATCACCTCCACCACATTTTTACCTTTCACACATAAATGTCTTAAATTTGTATTATATTGAAATTTATGATTTGCGTTTGAAGATAGGTTGTATAAGCAGTTATTTAGATTATGTCTAGAGTAAAATACACAGCTGTAACTGACCAAAAAGAATAGATGTACACTTGGTAAACAAGTGTTAATAACTAAAAAAATTAGTGGACGCCGTATCAGTCAAATACCATGAGTTTTGATGCACTGTTTGTGTGTTTTATATCTGAGATCTGTTCGTATAGCAAGTCAATACTACCCGTCACACATAGCAAGTAAGTAGAGCACTTTTACTCCACGAAGTCTAAATAGGGAACAGTCCCCTTAACGAGCAACTATCAAAAAATAAAAGCGGCAAGGAAGCCATTGTTTACTCGTCCAACCAACACTAACCACATAGAGACCATATAACTTTGCAGTACCTCCACAACACATGGAACGCTGTTACAGGGATAGAGTTCATAAAGCAAAAATAAACTCTGATTAGCTAGGATATTTAAAACAAGCTTTGATTAGTTCACGCAGTGTCACCTCTAACAGCGCTTGAGGAATAACGGGGGGTAGTATCCCCACCTATCTAAACAAGCAACCACTTCACCCATTAGTCGCTGTTTCCCACTTTCTTACCGAGTAAAAGCTATCACTAATAGCAATGCAACACAGACAAGACCCGGTAATACAGCTACTATTTGGTTTTGCAAAAGATATTTTTGGTACTGATATCCAAGAATACGAAAATTTCTTTGTGGTATTAAAACAAATCTGTAATCAAGCAAACTCTCAGTTTTCCAAGGTAAGCAAGAGATTGTTAGAAGATGTTAAGGACCCTGGATCAAGTTAAAGGACGGTCATATGCTTGGATGATGGTATCCTTTATGTGAATGAAATATGTCGTAAGCACCATATTATAGCTGAACCTTTGACCACTTCATTGGACTCATCGTCAGTAGGCTCCTCATCGTCTTCCACATCTTGTCACTACTTTATCTCTGCTCCCGAACACAAAAATCTCAATTGAGTCTTTATTGATTCGGTTAGAAAGCATCTTCAGGATAAAATGAAGTGGGATTTTTCTTACAAATTAGAAAAGATATTGGTCTCTTTAGCAGTTACAGCAGTTCAAAAAGTGCAAAGTATGTATACTTTTGTGAAAAGTCCAGCGAGGAATAAATCATATTTTTTTATTACCAAAATATTCTATATAATATATCTCATATGAATAAAACAATTTATCACATTCATCGTACAGTATCAAAGTTTATTTTACCAGATAAGTCAAGTGGGGCAGTTTGTTTAGGTGAATCAATGTTAATCCTAAGCAGCAACACTTGAGGGGTGAAGATTGATGTTGTATACACTTATAAGCTTACATAATAATAGAGATAAGTTAATTATATATCAACGATCTGACAGCCTGAGGGTATACTTTAAAAAAATGATACCCATACTTTTACTTTAGCGGTATTAAATAAAATAAAGATGTTACCTCTCAAGCGCTGTTAGAGGTGACACTGCGTGAACTAATCAAAGCTTGTTTTAAATATCCTAGCTAATCAGAGTTTATTTTTGCTTTATAAACTCTATCCCTGTAACAGCGTTCCATGTGTTGTGGAGGTACTGCAAAGTTATATGGTCTCTATGTGGTTAGTGTTGGTTGAAAGAGTAAAAAATGGCTTCCTTACCGCTTTTACGCTTTTTTTCTTGTATGAGACAAAGTTTTATTATTAAATTGCCCAAAAACAGGTCGTACTTCCTAAAGAAGGAGAGGTAGATGCCTGGGGAGAGATTTATGAACACACAAAATGTGGGGACTATGTAGTAGTAAACGATAAAATTACAGAGAAGAGGGAAACAAAATTAACAGAAGAAAAAGAATGAAGAGAAGAAATAATACAGGAGAAAGTAGAAAGTAGATGGAGCACAAGAGTGAGAGACCTAGTCTAGGAGATGGGAAGACTGAAAGAAAAATTAAAGCGATTTGTTTACAGAAACAACTACATTGGCAGGAACAAAAGGCACATCGTCAAAAATTGTGCGCCAGTACACTTTCCACACTGCGGCAAGAACACCATCCAAAACATGATATGAGTCAATATGAGGAGGGGAGGGAGGGAGGGCGAAAGCATAAAAGGCACGAAGGATTGTGGACGGTCGGGCTTGCCAGTGTGGTATCCACCTATTCATAGTCATATTCCAAACTTGCCAAACGAAAGGACACTCAACAAGGAAATGTTCAGGAGTCTGGTTAGAGTGACCACATAGACGGCACTTTCCAGGACACATCATTTTGCCCTGAAGGATTAGAGAAAGACACCGTGAACCGGACAGGGAGTCACAATTGATTAGTCCGGTTAGATAGAAACGTCGTGCCCCATCAAGGAACGTCGTGCCCGTAAGATTCCAGACTTGAGTTTTTGGATACTTTGTTCGGCTAGTTAGGTCAAAATAATCATTCCGGTACATTTTTTCTTTCAAAACACTAAGGCTTACCAAAACCACTTGTCGTTGATGCCTATACTATTTAGACGCCTCTTTAACCAAGTTGAAGACTAAAGAAGCATATTTCTCTTTCGAAATATTGTATTTCGTATCACCATGGGTGATTATGTTGAAGATACTGAACATAAGTAATACCGTTGGTACCGAATATACTTTTATACTATTCACATAGAACAGTAAGAACCCATTATCAAGATATATTAAAGAATTCTTAAGAACACACTCGTTTTTATTAATTATATATAACGTGACTTGATATTTAACACGTCCAAAAGTCACCTTTCAAGGCGAAAAAAAAAGTGCTGATAGATTACTTACTCATCACATTACAACCAATCCTAATGTCTACAAGCAAACCTTCTCCTACAGAAACCCCAGCATCCACAAATGGAAAAAAACAACCCCCGGTCATTCTTTGCATCGGAATGGCAGGTTCAGGCAAAACAACGTTTATGCAGGTGCGTAGCTTGATAATCATTGCTTGAATGGATCGCATTATCTAAAACCATTACACTTATGTTTTTTAGCGTATAAATGCTCATTTGCATGCCAAGAAGACCCCGCCTTACGTGGTGAACCTTGATCCTGCAGTTGGTAACCTACCATTCACAGCGAACATTGACGTCCGCGATACCGTAAACTATAAGGAAGTTATGAAGCAGTAAGTATATTATTACTTTAATTTGTTGTGTATTGACATTTCCCCCAAAAAAAGGTACAACCTCGGACCAAACGGTGGAATTCTTACAAGTTTAAACTTGTTCACCACCAAATTTGATCAAGTATTGGATTTAATCGCCAAGAGAGCTGACAGCGTTAGGTAAACATAAACATAAACGTAAAGAAAATGAAAAAAGCTCTTACTGACTAATCTACGATCTTAGCCATATCCTGGTAGATACACCTGGACAGATTGAAATCTTTACCTGGTCAGCATCTGGCTCTATTATCACTGATACTCTTGCTTCAACCTATCCTACTGTTATTGCTTATATTATTGATACACCCCGTACTACTGCGCCTGCAACATTTATGAGCAACATGCTGTATGCATGTAGTATTCTTTATAAGACCAAACTGCCATTTATTCTAGTATTCAACAAGACTGATGTAGTCTCCCATGAATTTGCTGTCGAATGGATGACTGACTTTGAAAAATTCCAAGAGGCCTTGAGTCATGATACTACATACATGAGTAGCTTGATGAATTCAATGAGTTTGGTCCTCGACGAGTTTTACAGTCACCTGAAGGTGGTAGGTGTATCTGCAGTGACCGGTAATGGCGTAGAAGATTTCTTTGCTGCTGTAGACGAGGCAGCAGTTGAATATGAAAGGTAAACTGGTTTGAATGATAAATATATCCTTGCTATACAAACAGACACAAATATACCTAAAATTTATCTTTTTGATATATACACGTATATTCAGGGATTATAAGCCTGAAATTGAAAGAATGATCAAAGAAAAGGTATATAACAGTTAAAAATAACAATAATCTTTCACTTGTGTATTGTTATTTAACGCTTTCATTTATTTGTGTAGTTGGAAAAAGAAGAAAAGGAAAGACAAAAACAATTGGATAAGTTGATGGGAGATATGAAGATGACCTCTGGAACTGAAGTTCCTCTGGAAAAAACAGGTACATGATACAAAAGAGGGGGCACACAAAAATAATGAGGAGAATCTAACGTATATCATTGGTATAGATGAAAAATGGGAAGAGGACATGGAGGACGAGGACGAGGACGATTATGACGAGGAAGAAGATGGTAAGTTGAAAGAACAAATAGGACAACTTGGAAAAAAGGCTTACTAACATGTCCTAACCTTTAAACAGAAAATCCCTTGCCTGCTGCATCAAAGTATCCCCCCTCAATTTCGCAACAAAATGAGCAGAAATTCAAGTCTTGGTTATCTCAAGCAAACAATACCGACGCATAATAAAAAAAACAAACAAACAAACACTGGGTTAGATGAAGAACAAATATATAAAACCTTATAAACACCAGTCTTGTACAACCAGCAATTGTAATTAGGGGAGAATATAATGACAAAATAAAAGCCATAGAAGCTTTTATAATAAGTAAAAAATAAAGCATAAAGAATAATAGTAAAGAAGGGGGAGAACCCTATTATAACGATTAAAGGCAAAGGTAACACTATACTTCACATATATTCCTGGCTTAATAATATAATTTATTAGATCTCTCTATTCTGGAGACAATTGACATAACGTGTTTATATAGTGCAGATTGCATAGTCGATTAGCAGGAAGTATCTTGTAACTATTAGTTACAGTAACCTTTTGGTATCTTTTGCTTGTTTGTTTGTTTGTTTGTTTGTTTGTTTTAAAGGGAATGTTAAGTACAGGAAATGCGTACGGATATATATATATAAATGATAATGATAATGAGTGAGTGGGCGAGTGAGTGAGTTTGAAAGCAAGTATGCCGATTATGTGGATTTCAAGTATAGTTGGATTATAGCTTAGGAGATGTCGGAACTGAAGGAACTGCGCGTGGTGGAAACGAATGTTGACGATTCAAGAACCGTGCTTGGGCCAGCGACTGATATATCAGGACGTATCTGGCCTGGTACTGGACAATGAGGACGTGTATAAGGTGATGCAGAATGAATTCTAGTGGACAGCCGGTCGAGGAATCTAGTTCCTTTACCAAGACTGTATTCGCTTGAATCACGTACTAAATTATTGATTGGATTAGATGGTCTTGAAGAAACCAAGTTCATTGATGATTTTGAATAAATAGAAGCCAGATCCCGGATAGAACTTTCGGGTGATCGAGTATAGGTGGCAGGATTAATATTGTAAGAAGGATTACTAGAATTAGGACCGAACGATTCAATAGTACTTGATGTGGTTTGTCGTTTCTTGATTGTTCTGACTCTCTCCTGATCTTCATAGTTACTGGATTGATCGTACGAAGGTCCACTGGTATAATGTGTATCTATTGGATTAGGTGGAGCGACAGAAAGAGCTGCACTATGTCGCTTGCGCATGTAGGAGTTGGAAGAAGTGTGTTTCAGAAGCTTCTGCTTCCGAGGAATTATCTCTGAATTAGACAAGAGAGAGGGTATTGTGTCGGTGTGCCTGATAATGTCACCCGCAGAAAATGAGAGGAAGGAGGAGGATGAGGAGAGTCTCTCCCTTCCAAGACGTTGATTTTGATTATTCAACCGCAAAGATCGGAGAAGGGTTCGAGAAGGCTGCTGGCTTATCCAAGAATCATTTCTTTCGGGTAAATCTTGGTCAGTATCTGTATAATTCGACAGACCGGAAGGGGAGTGTGGAATAGAGTCAAATAAAGGGTCGTAGCCGAAGCTTTCAAACGGATCTCCAGCTGGGTTTTCTTCTGAGCCACCAAACGATGCTTCTGACACAATGCTAATACGAGGTGACATACTGACAAACATATCATCAAAATTGGCCAAATCAGTCTCGGACTTGAGAGCAGGGACATAGTCTGGTTGAAGTTTCTGCTGGATTACATCTTCCCAATCCAACGGATCGAAATAAGAGTGTTCCTTAATCCGGTCAGCACCATCAATACCCCACCCGAGACGCTTGTGAACATCGCGTGTTAGGAGCTAAGGAACACAAGTCTGGTTATTCATCGTTTCTCATCAACATTCCAAGGAAGCTTACCCCAGAAATAAAATCGCGTGTGACTGAATCAAAGTGAGATGGAAACTCGAGCGAGTCCTTTATTACACGATCATACATCTCCGCATGTGTCTCTGCCCAAAACGGAGTCTGTTGGGGGGTTTGAGTATGTCATTAGCCTTTCGTATATCCCCTTGGTACTTGTATTCCAATAGACTTACAATACCGGCAAGCATTTCATAAAGTAGGGTGCCAAGACTCCAGAAGTCAGCAGCATAGGAGTATGGCTCTCCAACAAGAACCTCTGGAGCAATATACTCAGCTGTACCGCAGAATGTTTGAGTAGATGGTACTCCACTCTCTTCATCAACTGGATCATCTGAACTGAATATTTTTGATAAACCAAAGTCTGCCAGGACAATGTGACCATCCAATGCAATCAATATATTTTCAGGCTTAAGATCTCTAATATATTAAAGTACATTATTTTCATTCATTCATTCGTTCATTCATTCATTCATTAATTTATTCATTCATTTGATACTGTGGTCATTATTTGATACATTACCTGTAAACTATCCCATGACCATGGAGAATAGAAAGTCCATGCAGAATTTCTGCAACATATAGTCTAGCACGCTCTTTGGAAAAAATAGTGCACAGAGACATTTGGGTCGCAATGTCGCCACCTCCATAATAATCTAATACAAGATACAGCTGGGATGGCGTCTGGAAGGCATGGTGAAGAGTAGCTAGAAAAGGCTGACCCCGTAAACGAACCAAGATATCACGCTCTGCCAGAGTGTGAGTTACTTCCTTCTGTTGAACAACCCGTTCTTTCTGAATTGCTTTCAGTGCATAGAGCCGAGAATTACGATAGGAGCGCACGAGAAGAACCTATATATATGGAAAGTTAGCTCAAGCGCTTTAGGGAAAGGAGGAGAGGGGAGATATAATAATAATATTTTTTGAATTCATTTCAGTACCTTGCCCATGCAACCCTTTCCTAGAACCTTAAGAAGGTCAAAATCATCAAGAGAAACTCTTGTTGGCGATAAAGGAGATTGAATCGAATCGGACCGAATCGAAGGTGCGTATGCGTCAGTGGACTGACTGGTGTAACTTTGAGAGTGATCGGTGTACTGAGTAGACGGGCTAATCTCACCTGAAGGTGCCGTTTGTAGCACAACCATACTATCTTCCTCCCTTTGAACACTAATAAAATCACGCAGGATAGATGAAATAGAAACAATAGAATGTTGAAAGCAACAATTAAGATAATTCTCTATTTTATCTGCGTTGGATTTCTTGTTAAACGAAAGTAAATTTCGAATTGATCGACGTTTGACAAAGCAAAGTGTTGTACTAGGGTTACTTAAGGCAGGAAAGGGAATTTTGGATTTTGGGTAATGGAGTCTTATCTATGTATCCTATTGTTAAATGAAAGTAATTTTATTTTTCTCAAATACAAACAAACAGTATAAGTTACCTTTTTGTGGAACTCTATAAAATCAAATTGATACCGAATAAGAGACACAGTATAAGTAGGCATTCGAATAACGATATTAAAGACCTATTTAAAATAAAAGCACAGTAAGTAATAATGTATTAGCCAGTGATAATATAGACCCCTAACCGATAAAAGATCATTTTCGACTTGTAGTGTCGTCTCGAACGCAAAGACTGATGGCTTCGCTAACGAGCTCGGCATAACAAAGGTGTAAAAGATATATATAGAGAAAAAGAAAAGAAAAAGAAAAGAAAAAGAAAAAAAGGTAAAAAAAGAAAAGAAAAAGGAGAGGAAAGAGAGGTTGAAATAGTTTATTGTCAAAGGTAAAATAAATTATATTCAGTAAATATAATCAAATCGGTTGCTGTACTTTAACCAGACGCTTCCTCCTGGTGCTCCTTCCATGTCAGCTCCTTGCAATAGCCTCCTCATGAATGCCTGTTCTGTTCGAGACCTGAGAGTAAAATCCCACGTCTTGACTACGCCATCGCACGTTGTTGCCATCATTATTTCCTCCGAACGACTCACTTGAACCTCATGAAGATTACCTTCCACGTTTAATGACCCCAAAAGACTGCCTTTCCAATCCCAGATATTGAGTTTATTATTCAGTCGAGAGCTTGTAATGATTGTCTCGGAAAGAAGAATAATTGTACTCGAGTGACTCTGATGAAGTTCTTGCTCGTATGTCTTGTGCTCTGTACTGGTAAGCCTTTCTTCGAGTAAGATCATTTTTTGAGTTTCGATATTCATAACATAAAATGGCCCAAACACAGATCCAATGCCAATCGAACCATGACGGAGAGATACAGTTAAGACCCCCAGGTTGCGATCCTGCTTAATGGGTTATGAAAAGGCAAAACAAAGATACACAAGAAATAAACAAAATAGTACAAGTTATGCATTACATGTGGGGTAAGTGTTCGAAAAGATATTTTTTTCTGTGCCTCCTGAGCAATCTCACAGAGAAAGCATCATAGAGGATCTGCATTCCCCTCTACCTTTCTATCTGCTTTTAACAAGCCAATTACCTCATAGAAATGTCTAAATATCCCCTCTTGTTCCCCTGTTCTTAGATTCCATTTTCGTACAGTGTCATCAGAGCCGCCACTCACTAGAAAATAATCTTCGATAGTAATGGCTAAGCACACACAAATGAATTAGAGGATGCACATAGATATTAATGAAAATTAAGTAAGATAAGACTTACAATTTACCCAGCCAGCATGACCTCGTAATGTATGTTTAAGCACAAGAGGACTATCGGTGTCTTCATATACATCCCAAACCTTGATTGTCGAATCGAGTGAAGCAGTTACAACGACTTTATCGTCAGTAGCAATGATACATGATATCATGTTTTGATGACCAGCAAATGTTTTGATAAGCATATATCCGTTCAACATACGCTCCATAACCCATATTTGGCCTTTAACTCGATCCAGTCGATGACACCCAACAAGAAGTCTCGTCCCTGAGACTGCTACAGAATGCGTATATGGTACAGTTCCACAGCTCATAGCATCAGGTCCAAAAGGAGCCACGCATTTCTGCATGCAAGCTGTTGATGTATTTAACGTGGTAGAAACATACTGCATATATTCGCTCATGTGGCTATCAAGAAGTCGAGTGTGGGCTAGGTCGTGCTTTTGTAGAATTGGTGCTTTTTGGTCTGCTGTAAGTTGCGGATGATGAGAGTGAGACTGGTGTGTATGTTGAGCATCTTCAGAAAGAGACCTTGGAGATAAAGAGTACTCATTGGCACATAGATGTCTCCAATGCCTTTTGGTCCAGTAGGTTGCACGCGGATCTTGAGCTGATGGCTCAGTTCTGTAGCACTTATATGCAGTATCAAGTGCTGTACGCCACAACATTTTAGAGTTGGATTGGTCTAGAGTGATGTATATTTGTTTGTTGAGCTGTCCAAATACGCCCAGGGACTGTGGTGAAATGAGGGCTATCCAATGGCCAATACAAAGGATGAGTTCTGCAGGAAGGGTCTGGTAATACGGATTTAAAATAATAAGTGGCTCATGTATGCATACAAATAGATGCTATTGTACCTTACCGTTAATCTATCTTTCTTTGATCGCATTATCGCTTGATATCTTCCAAGAATGGTTTGATATATCGAATTGTTCTGTATATAGCCACCACGGTATTCTGCCAGCTGAACCAACATCTTATTAAGAAATACAGCCTCCTCTTCATGGTTAATTATGGTCATTGTAAATTGTATGCTTTAAAGATAAGAAAATAATTAAAACATATGAAAGCAAAAATAATAAAAAAAATAAAGGTCTTATTTAAGTGTTATACACTTGTAAAGTAACACCCCCAAAAATTTCTGTTTTTAATTCCGAATGAGGTTATTCCTTAGCTTTTCTTTTTAAAAGTAAATTTACCGCAGAAATTTTTCCATTTATTTAATTTCGGCTAAAACACACTCCAACTTCTTTATACTGTAGATTCCAAGAAAGACTACTAATTATTTAAGCTTAAAAATGATTAAATACATATGTACAGGATATATATATATTAAAAGGCCCTATTCTATATTTACTTGAAATCGAAATCAACGTTAACAACTAATATGTAATTTATCTTCCCGAGGCTTAATTATAACATTACTTTAAGCACACTTGTCACATTACTATATATAATGTCTGGACCAAATAATTCGCAATCCTAAAGAATAAACACTTTCTCAAAAAGAGAATTAGCCTCAAGAACACCATAATCGTATTAGATCCGGACGAGATCAAGACTAAACAATGGTCCCTAGTTAAAGCGATTGTTATTTAATGTTATTTTCGCACCATCGCATATAATCCAGTACGGTGGTTAGCATTATACTCTTTCAATACAAACGCGGTGTGCTTGCCCCGGGTTAGAAAGTATATAAGTATCTGTAAATGGCCAGATCTGTAGCCCACGAAAATCCCCGTTAAGTGTACAACATTTTCTTCGTGCTTCTCTAATTCTATCAAATAGCATTATGCTTGCCATCGTCGTTCACTACAAATATTGGTTTATTTTATCGCACAGACCTAATCCAATCTACAATAATAACTAAGTGCTTACTTAACTCTAGCTAAAATCAAACTTTTATTCATATATTTATATACCAGTTTTGAGTTATTAGACAAGATGTAAAAAAAAAATTACCTGAACTATCGATCACTTTTTACAGGTAATTCCGGTCAATAACATTCAATTATTTCTTGACCGCCCCCAAAAAGCCTTTTGAAAGGATTGCATCTAATATTCCAATATAGAGTTTCTAGCAGTACTAAATCTAATTGACTTTCCAAGCCTTGTCTTCTAAATATTTTCAATTGTCTTTTTTTTTCGACAGTACTGCTTTTCTCCAATGATGTTCATGTAGTTTATAATATCAGATGTAGTATGTTTGGAATTAAAGAGCCAAGACATACTTAATCAAAATCTAAGAATCTGGTGGCTAAAATATCAACTTTTAGCTGTTTTATTAATTAATGGCAAAAAAAAAGAATCCTGGGAGGCAAAACAAAAAGGTCTATTTTTGGCTGTAGCAATAGCCAATTCTCTCGCTATCTATTTTATTATAGTGTGTGGTTCCTGTATAACCTGCAGGGTACTCAAAATTAAAGTAGCAGAAATTATTGTGGCGAATCAAGATTGAGACTGTGAGACTGCTAACGACAGGAGTTCAACCAAACATCAAGGAAAATCAAGAAATATCGGACATGTGAGCCTATCACTTTGAAGTTCTTCAACATGCCTAAACCTAACACTCTTTATACATTCCTGGCTCTATGTGGCGGTATGGCTGCTGGAAGTACAGTCGTCCACAAGGTAATAGACACAATTATATAATTCTCATCCTCTAACTGTAATTTAATTGCTAGATCATGAAGCCTGATTTGGTAATGCCTCATGTTGATTGATTGTTTTGTGCTGTTACTTATCCTTGTTATTGTTTATTTTCTCTCTCTCTCTCTCTCTCTCTTCGTCTTCTTCTTGTCTTAACAAACAGTCTATTCCAGTACCTCAGCGACCTAAAAAAATCTAACAGAGCGCGTTGATTTGGATAAAAGAAAACGAATTGACTAGTTTAAGGAGATTGATATACATCAGATATTTGATATATTAGATTTATTCAACTCGATTAAAGAAAAAGTAAAATATCATGGTTTAAACGCGAACCCCTTATATTATTTTATATTTTTTTTATATTTGTCCCAGTTAAGGGCCATTGTAAGTTTGCCAATCATACCCCTCGAAAAAGGCACATCTTTTAAAGATATATATCTCTCTCTCATGCAAACAAAATAAGTACTCTAAGCAAAATAGCAACAATTTTCTTGGATTTCCACAGCCCCCATTTCATTTCGCCTACAATTAAAGTGCTTTCTCAAAATAATAGTAATAATACGCATAAAGTATTTCGCATGATATTGTATTTCTTCATCTTGCTCTTCGATCAAAGCCACGAAAGCGACTGACATTTCATTTATTAAACACAGGGATGAATTGTCATCTTTACTTTTTTTTAATAGCCAGAAAGGCAAGTTTACTCGTCGTCAACAACAGTGGTCTCGAGACCTATCATAAAAATAATAAATATAAATAAAATAAGTTCAAATTTAACCATATTTCCTTCCTTTGACGATTTCACAATTTCTCCAACTTACCCTTGAAGCTGGCAACGGGAACGTAGGTGACGTAGGAGTAAAGCTTATCCTTGGCATCCTCCTCATCGTTACGCTTGCGGGCAATTCTGAGGCGGATACGGTGCTCGATGTGCTTAACACCACGAGCCCAGAGAGCCTTGTTGAGTGCGGGGTCGATGCGGACATCCTTGGTGCCCATAGCCTTCTCGGCGAAAGCCTTGATGGCCTTGACAGCATGAGGAGTGCGCTTTCTCAAGGATCTGCCAAAGACATGCTTGTGCATGTGGATGGTGTACTCGCGGGTAACAACGTCAGCGAGGGTGGAACGCTTGGTGGTCTTCTGGTCCTTGGCCATCTGAATAACGTCGAATGAGCATCGGTTGGTTCATCCATCCATGTACTGCTATTTGTCGCTTTTAATCCCAATCCAATTACTTACGGCTCTGGATAGATAAGATGAAAGAAGGAGCTTCTTTGGGCGAGTGTCTCCAGGCTTCTTTGCTTCGAGCAGCTGGCAAGTCCCGGCTTATTCGGACTATTTTACATACAGACACCGGGGGATAATTCGATGTTACAACCGGACAGAGTTTTGTAAGAAGCCGGACTGTGTTTAATCCGCGGACCGAAACAAACCCAATCCGGAAGTCAAACCACAATTGCCTTCTTCACCAATTCTCAAATTACCTTGATCTCACCAATTCTTGATATAATTTCAATACAGTCTCTCTCTCTATATATATATTAATGGGTGCATAAAAAGAATATTCATAATCTGCGGCCTTTTTTTTCAATTAAAAAAATCAAGCTATTTTGAAATCTTTATTAATATTGATATAAGGAGATCTTTGATAGCATTACTTTACTAGTCTTATGTAAAGTTTTTTTCTTTAGTGGAGTTAGAGGGATACATATGGTTTCAACTGTATATATACATTATTTTAAAGTTCAATATTAAAACAACCCTTAAATCTCCAAAAAGCTCGCCAAAATATCCTATGAAGCCTCTCTCTTTTTCATCAGTGTGATCAACTATTTTAGAATGTAGCTTTAAATATTATATCTAGAAAGCTCTCTTATCAATACTGTAACGTATGATTCGATTTAATCTCTATATTCGGTTAATTAAGTTGTGTTTCCAATGTTTAATGGCCTTATAAATGTGTGCTGTATAATAATAATAATAATAATAATATTTGATAAAAAAAATACCAACAACTGTAAAGTAAAGCCTGTTTGCCTGACATTTAGATTACAATCTTCTACAGTACTTTAAGCTTAGATTAATACTTTTCTTAATTTAAGATATAGGGCGTTACTTAGCTATACGGCGATCCCAATTTTTTTTTGTTGAATGTTCAACCCACGCTTTACAGTCTTCCATTGAGGATGCTGCTTTTTATATGACTTGATTTTAAACCATCCTTCTTCTAGTGTGATCAAGAAGGGTGACTATGGTGGAATTAACAGCGGCTTAGAGCCTCTGCTACTGCTGGTTAACCAACTTTTGACCATCCACAGCTTCTTGTTTGATAGCTGTTAAAATTACGTATTCTTATGCTCTTTTTTTCTCTTCATAAAAAATCGTGATTTTCATCAGTCGCAACCACATATTTTGTACCTACCACCAAAGTTCAACTAAAAAATTGCAAAGCTCTAGAAAAATTTCATCCATTAAGCGATGAACATGAAGTGTGCTACTTAAATGTCCCCACAATTCCTGTAGTTGCATCTAAAGTTCAAATTTCATAATACACTGTACTTTCCGACATGATATTTTTGCTACCTCTTTTTGCTCTCAATTTAGATTTTATCACATACTCGTCAAATCTACGATCAAAATAATTCCCTTCTTGTATTTACTATGGGCTCTCATCTTTAATTATATCCCCTTTGCCGCTAACCAAATTGCAGCTATTGCCATCTTAAACATTCGACAACTCGAGCTAGAAGGCTTTAAACAGAGCACACCTTAATATCTTAAATACTTAGCCTTTGGACATATAATTTCCTCAATAAGCAATACAAAAAAAAACTATGGGCTCTCTCTCTCTCAGATTTTTACTCTAATAAACGAGAACAAGAGACTGACTTCTATGTTTGTTTTATTTACTTATCTATTGTATAGTTAAATCTCACGGCAAGAAGAAAAAATATAGTTTATGATATCATAAAAAAGAGGCCAAAGACTCAAGGTGTTTATCAAATATTTACAAAAACCTTTGTACTAGTCTCCTTCTACAATCGAATTTGTTTATAGCGTCTTGGTCAAGAAGTGGCGGTTCTCTCTCAAAAACCTCCATTTCAGCTTTGATAAGAAACCTATAAACTATAATTTTCTTGGCATTTTTGTGGTTTGTAAAATGTATATTGATAATATATCGCCTAGTTTAATACTTATTTACTGTTTACCTTAAAAAATCCTTTAGATCCTCAACACTTGTTGAGAGATCAGCTTAATGCAAAGCAACTAGAATTACTTAAATTTCAGAAAAGTTTAGAAGCCCCAGAAGATCTAAAAAACAGGACATCATATTTATTCAAATTCGTCTTTAACATTCATGGTGTATTACCTCTTGTGGAGCCATCTGGCTTCTCAAAGTCATCGTCATTGATATCTCGTTTATCAAAAGTCTTATTAGTCAAGGACAATCGTGAGGCGAAAACATTGCCTATTAAGGATCGACTCCTCAACTTGTTAATCATCCTTCTTAACAACCTCGCTCTCTCTTTTTTTTTATCTTTAATATGCGATAATTTTCGAACGTATCTTACAATATTGACGACATTATTCTTTTGTCTTTTAATGAATTCTTTAAACTTGTCACCGTACTGAACAATACTTTGTACAAAATTGTCTACAAATTAACTGTCAATAAGGATGTCGCTTTTTTTGGGGGGAGGGATCATACTTTGATATTTGTTGAATGTTTCAAAAAAAAGCTAATCCTAGGCAGACACCGTCTCCTGGTGGGGAACGCAATTTTCTGCTAGCAAACAACATTTTTATTCTCTCGGACCACAAGTTATACTCATCGTGATACGATCTTTGCCTGAGACGGCATGGTATGAGTCAATACCTTTGGAGGAAAGGGTAAACATTTTTACTTCTAATTTTTCAATGCCAAACCTTGGGCCACTTTCTGGTAATATATAGGTAAAAGAAAGAGAAAGGAACGATACGCATAAGGTGGTCAATGAGTAGTAAAATATCCAACAATATTGCGTCACACTCTAATGACAACAACTCCTTATAGCCTTCTGCATAACTGGCTATTGATATAATGCATCTGTGACTAATTATTATTCATTTATTGTCAAGTCTAAACGTAGGGCGCAAAAAGCTATTAATTGAATATATTTGGTGTGGACAGATTAAGAGTTGAAAAAAAAGTCCAATATAAATTCAATTCAATGCATACAAAATTTTACTAAAGCTTTTTTTTTGGGTAAATCAAGAGAAACAAATCATTCTATGAAAATCAAACCATGAGGTAGATCAAATTTTATATAATAGAACTTTCAAGTTATTCATTTACACTTGACTGTAAAACTTCTATTGATGTTAATTGTGCCACTTGATATAAAGCTTGAGATACTAAAGATCAACCAACTTAATATATGATTTATATTCAACAACAAGTTTATGGATAAAATAATTTTTATTTCAATGGTGATATGTATTTTTTTGTAATTATTTATATATTATTTACAAAAGGGAAAGATATATTAATTAAATGGAAGGATTAAATGATATGAACTAGATGAAAGAGGTAGATAAACGACTCATTAGGCTCGCAAAACGCTGAGCAAGATATAAGAAAAGTGTCGTTTTTTTTAAAAAAGGGTGGGATGAAGGATAAGGTTAGCAAAAGAAATATTCTTAAGCCTTGGAAGTAGGGGTGGCTTCGTTTTGGATAGAAGTTTGATCAGAGACAGCTACCAAACCAGGTGAGACATAGTCTTCTTCAAACTCATCAAGATCCTTGCCCATGGACTCAGGAACCCAAAGGACTGTGACGACAAGACCCAAGAACATGACAGCAGCAAAGATACCAAGAGTCTCGGGCAAGAAAGCATGCTCTCCAGGAGCACCGTTGACATCGACCAAGACGTTGAAAGCAAAGGCAGCAATAATGGCACCGGCCTTACCAGAAGCAGCAGAGATACCATGAGCAGATGAGCGGACCTTTGTAGGGAAGACTTCACCGGGGATAATGAAAGTAGTACTGTTGGCACCAAAGTTCTGGAAAAGCTGAGCAAGAGTGAAAAGGAAAATGAATGCGGGAGTGGAGTTGTCACGGAGAGGATAATAAGCAGCAGCAAGAATGGTAAACAGAACGGTTGTAACAGCAAAGCCCATCATCTGGATAGTACGCCGACCCCAACGTTCGATGAAAATGACAGTAAGATAGTAACCAGGGACGGAGCCAAGACAGGTAATGATGATTTGACCAACAGTGTTTGCCCAGAGAGTCTCAAAAGCAGTGGGTTTTCTTGAGTAGCCAATTGCAGCGAGAACATAAGAGTTGTTGAGACCAAGACCGTAGAAAGCAATATCGAGCAAGAACCAGGAGAGAGATGTACCAAGGAGGACCTTGAAGTGGCGCCACTGACCAAAGTAAGCAGTGAACTCGGCCCAATGGTTGCGCTTTTCTTCAACCTTGGTGTATTGCTTAGCAAGTTCTGCTGAAACCTGTTGACCCTTGGCCATGGCAGCAGCTTCGACATCGTGGTTTACATTGAGAGAGTATCTAGGAGACTCGGGCATGGTGAAACGAAGGTAGATGGTGGCAACAGCAGGAACGGCACCAAGACCAATACAAAGGCGCCAGACGTAATCGAGATTGTCGACATCGGCGTTAATGGCATTCTTGAAAATAGCGAGGAGGATAAGAGTGACGATTGCGGCGGCAAGATTGCCAATACCCTGCATGGAGAAAATCAGGGCCATCATCATACCACGACGACCTGCGGAAGACCACTCAGAAGTAATAGTAGCAGACATAGGGTAATCACCGCCAACACCGATACCAAGAAGCAAACGCCAGCAGCCAAGGAAACCAATAGCAGAAACACCACGAACGGCAGATCCAGAAGTAGCACAATTGATAGTTCCGAGAATAATAATCATGAGCTCGAGACCGTAGATCTTGCGGCCAAAGATATCACTCAAGAAACCAAAGGTAAGTTGGCCGATTAAGGTACCGACGGAAGCCATGCCCTTGATAATGCCTTCGATATCTGTGGGCATTTTGCTGTTGTTGTCTTTGTAGTATACGTAGCCAAGCATAGGAGTGACCAAGTTAATGATGAATACATCGTAAGAATCAGTAAAGAAACCGGCACCGGAAGTCAGGATTGTGCGCATGGTGAACCAGTTGAAGCCACCGGCACCTCCATCATCGAGTTTTTCGAGACTCTTGAGCTTCTGTTCAGCAGTAGCAAAGTTCTGCTGCTCGTGGATTGAGGAGACAGAAGACATGATGATAAAGTAAAGAAGTTGTTTATGGATCTGTCAAGGTTGCTGATCGTTTGCTTTTATAGTCTTTTTGGTTGAGCGAAAGTTGTCTCACCTCAAGTGAGGTCGTGTGTGTTTTGTGATTGGTCAGGCGTGATTTGCTTTTTCCTGAATGGGTGTGTTCCATTGTTTCTTACTCTCGGTAAAGCCAATCATCGACGGCCCTTCACACGCGTGGTCTCAGATTGTTTCTTTTGCTGTCTTATACTGGCGGCACATGGTGTCTATACGTTGGCTGTTCAAAATGGTCCGTCCCTCCTTCCTTCCTTGAACATTTTACTAAAATCTAACACCCGCCGGTTTTGGATCTTCTTGACCAACCAACCCGACAAGGTTTACAGGCACAAACCCGAGCAAACGTGGATTGCTCCACAATTCCTATTGGCCATACATCTCACATCTCTTGCTTCCTTCACTTCTACTCTCTCTCAAGTTCAGAAACCTTTTCTGATCTACTTTTCATTCGTCCTTGTTGGTTTGAGCTTTGTTTTTTTTACTACTTTGATTACTTTGACTAGTCAGCTATTCAGATTGCTAAGCAAAAGGCCTGAATGTTAAACTGAACTAATGAATTTTTTTTTAATTATGGCCTCATAATTTAACACCGGTTAGAATCACTAATGGCCAATGCTATTAAACATGCTCCATCTCTTTAAAACCGTATTCTCGGATTGACCCTTTTCTCCCCCTTAGCAACAAAGATCAAGGTCTGATATTTTTTTTTAAAACACAGAAATACTTTAGACAACCAATCAAATTCTTTTAATTGACAACGCTTAGCCAACGGTAGGTTCACTGTGTTTTATTACTGTCCCATGTGCCCTCTCGTGATCCAACATGTCTCTAAAGTAATATGTTCCACTACAGACAAGGTGTATAAGTCTGACACCGAAATAAAGCTTATTATACGTACAAGAGCTTCAAAAGCAACCTAAGGCTATATCAAAAACATAAAATAAAAACGAATTAAGTCGTACGATGCTGATCCAAATGTAAATACTGCTCTTTCAATCAATTCAAAGGAAATCCTTGCAGATATCACTTAAGTATCAAACTCTGATGAAACGAATTGATGTGAATATACAAAGCGTATTCTTTATCTGTTTCAAAGATCATTTTTTTTTCTGTTCTTCTTCTTCTTTCGCTTCTATCGACTGACTTGTGCGTTACGTGAAAATTCTTTTTTTTTATCTAATTATTCACTTATTGATAATAATAAAGCTTAATACACACACACACATAAAAACCAGCCAACTAACAATAAAATGACTTTAAACAAAATCGTATATACAAACCATCTTATTTATATTGTTTATTTTATCTTTATAAAGAAAAGAAAAGTCGTACTTATAGTAGTTATTAAATACCACACAAAAAATATATTAAGACATAAAAGTACACTATTAACTTTGATCTAGATAATAATTCTAACATAACTAAACATTAAACCTCTTGGTCCAAGAAATACACAGATTTTCTTTCATTAATATCACTTAACTTATCATAGCAACGTGGGCAAAAAAAAAGAGTAACAAGATTATGTCCAGAAAAGGAAATATTTCGTTGTCCTTGTCTCTATCTTTGACTTGATCTTTCAAAGCCAACAGCACCAACCCCTCCCTCATCCAACTTAATTTGACCTTGCAGGCTTTTATCAAACAAGCAGATTCAATGACTATTGTCGTGGCTACCCCAGTTCAAACATTTGCTAGTCCCAAAAAAGTGCTTATCTCAGCACCAGGAAAGGTCATCTTGTTTGGTGAACATGCTGTTGTCTACCAAAAGGTATTTTATCTTTCTTTCTTTCTCTTGTTTAATTAACTCATTCATTTAATACATTGTAACATGCGCTTAAAATTATAGACAGCCGTAGCTGCTTCATTGGGACTTAGATCATATCTTTACCTTGAGCAGCGTCAAGATGGACAATGCCATTTGTTGTTACCTGATGTTGGTATTAACAAAACTTGGGCAATCAAAGACATTCCCATGGGTCAGGCTCACATTGACATTGGTTTGTTTTGTTTTGTTTTGTTTTGTTTTGTTTTGTTTTATTGTTGTGTATAATATTTATATATTTATTCCTTTATTCGTTAGATGAGACACATCCAATGTCAATGCCTGAGGAACTTAAATCTCGTTTAGTTACCCTGATGGGATCCGTAACTAATGCATCACAAGAGAGTGCTATAATGGCATTCCTGTACCTCTTGGTCATCCTCGGCCCTACCCAAACTACTGGATTCACCTTGTGCATGCGCTCGTTTGTGCCTGTAGGAGCAGGACTCGGAAGCTCAGCCAGTTACTCGGTTGTACTTGCAACTTCGCTTTTGATTTTATTTGGTCACCTACCATATGATTTTGCAACTTCGACAAACAAAGAAGTTTATTTAAATAAGATTAACGAGTATGCATTTAAAGCCGAACAAGTTATTCACGGTAATCCAAGTGGTGTGGATAATGCAGTAGCTACATTTGGTAAGTAAATGCCACACGAGAAATATCTTTGTGCTTATGGCACTTGTGCCTTTTTTGTTGTTGCAATTATTAAGTGTATCATATCGTATCATATTGTACCAAAACTAGGTGGAGCAAAATCTTTTATAAAGGGGAAAGGATTCTCCACACTTGAAGGTTTTACCTCCCTCCGTCTTTTGCTCACCAACACCCGAGTCCCTCGTTCTACCAGTGCATTAGTAGCCGGTGTAGGTGCCAAGAGAGCACGTTATCCTGAAGTGATTGATCCGATCCTGGACTCTATTGACAAAGTGTCATTACGCTGCAGAGATGCACTGAAAAAATGTGAAAATCAAGAATTGACACGGGGTCAATTAGTCGAAGAATTGGAGGTATTTTATTATATATATATATATATTGCTCCTATTTTCTTGTATAATATTAATCCAAAGGTCTACTTTTTTTTAAATTTTTTTTATCTAGGATCTTATGGATATTAACCATTGCTTATTACATGCTCTTGGCGTGAGCCACACTAGTCTTGAGACAGTTAGAAGCATAACCGCTAAACATGGACTCAAGACAAAACTGACAGGTGCCGGAGGAGGAGGATGTGCAGTAACAGTACTCAGAGAGGGTAAATAAGCAACAATGGCAATATTTCTTTGGTTACCGAATACTAAATTCATGTAATTATAAAATAGATACCCAGCAAAGTACTATTGACACTGTAGTGAAGAGTTTGGGAACCCAGGGATATGACTGTTACCAAACATTGGTTGGTGGTGTAGGCGCCGTGGCAATCGAGCTGAAGACTGAGGACCATTCATGGCTGTTGAATGCTTCTAGAGATACCCTAGAGAGTTACGTTTAATTGGTTCTATTGTTATATTCATTTATTTTTAATAACAATAACAGTAACGATAATAATAATAATAATAAAAATAAAGCTGGTGTGGACAGACTAAAAGTTCAAAAGAGGGCAAAAAAAGGGCAAAATTCTTAATCGACTCTAATTAGCTAGTTTTCTTCCATTGTCACTAGGATTGAGAAGAGAAATATTTTTTTATGGAGAAAATGTGCCATATAATGAGAGGTCTAGAAAAACACGCAATAAAAGGGTTTCACTTAAGGACAGAGAGGGGATTATAAGCACAACTTTATCTAATATGCATTTTTGAACTAATTTTGAACTTTTTTTAAAAAAAGGTGTGGACAGTCATATTTTAAGATGGTTGGCTAAGTTCAAGATGGACTTGTTTTACCCTTTTTTGCCCCCTTTTTTGAACTTTTAGTCTGTCCACACCAATTGTATGATGATAATAGACAAGGCGGTGGTTGTAAAATAAGCATGTAAACTATTCCTCCCCCAAGATAAATGTGAACCCGAAAATTTTTCTGATACAGTCGCATCACTTATACAATTTAAGGTTAATTAGATAAAACCTACTAATATTTTATCATGTTCCTGGAGTAGATATGGTTGCTTTAATATTTAATAGTTTAGGCTCATTATGTTGACATGACTAAGAAATTAAAGGTCAAGATTTTCAAACATAAATCTTTTCAGTGATGAGCATTATGCTTTGTAAATGGCTATTAAGTTGCGACTTTGATATAGTAAAATCTTCAAATCGCTCAGTCAAGCTATTTATTATGTCATCTGAATATAACTGGGGGTAATTATCAAGCAGCTCTTTTATATACTCGATATGCTCGGTTGTAAATGAACTTTTCGGACCACTGTTTTCTTCAAACTTTTTTTATATACAACCTCTTCTGTCCCTTTGTAATACTTCCACCATATTAACGCAGTGCGATAATTAATATTTAAGTATCTTGCAACCTTGGCCACTAGTCTACGCTCTTGAGGACTTTCGAAGATACGTTCTATAAATGCGCCTCTGGTGAATTTTCTGTAATTTTTGTATAACTTCACTGATGGCTTCGAATTATTAGGCTTCGACTACTTTCTAACTGAGGATTCTTCAAACAATTTCTTTTCGGGGGTGCTTAACGCTCAAGTAGGTTTGTCGACTAATTATTGTTTCAAGAACTATGTCGGGACCATCGACATATGTTAAAACATCTTTCATGAGATCGTAAACTTTTTCTCCATCTTCATAAAAATAAAGTATTCAGCATTATGCTAGATTTCTATTAGGAAGAGAGGGACAAAAACAGGAGATATGCGACAATTCGCAATCTTCCCGCCACTTTTAGTTCGCTAATTAAAACAATTTAAACTATAGACATTCCTTTTGTACTTCCGACATTTCTTCTTTACTCCCGACATTTTCCTTTCTAATCCCGACATTTATTTTTGAGAAAGCGCCAAATTCCATAGGTTTGACTGTACACAATGGATACGACTTTCTTGTCTTGCAGGTACGACCGAGTTAGTCTGTGGTACTCATTTGATTGGCCCACAAAACTACGACTTGTAGCTGATTCGCTAACCGCACATTGACTTCTGCTATTCTCTTTTCACTTTCATTCACCATGGCAGACACGTTAAAAGACATTCCTGAATTCTTCGAGTCTGAACTTGGAGAGTCCATTATCGCTAGAACTGACGCCTTGGGTAAGAAATACACGAGCAGCCTCACCAAAAAATATCGAGCTGTTCCTGGGTGACATGCCAAGAAATAAAGAGGGGAAAAGCATGACTACATAGATGCCAGTAGCCATGAAAGTCTTCCAACCTACATTACTATTTCCAAGGCCCTCTTCTGAACACACTGTACTTTTAGGCGCATTTCGTGAACTAGGCCCTCCCGACCTGTGCCACATCATCAAAGCTAATGCTAAACCTGGTGTTAGAGAAGTATGCTTAGAGGGAGAGAGAGAGAACTTTTTTAAAAAAAACAATATTTAGATAAAACTTTATACGTTTATATATTTATATTTTTCTGCTTGTTTTAACGCGTCTCGGGTTATACATAAATTCTTATTGATAATTTAATTAGATTGGAAGCTATCATTATGTATCTGGTGTTGATGCATCATCGTCTGCTACTTTAGCAGCTTACTTGAATTCTTTGACGTACTCCATGGTAAATAATTGCTGCCAAGAAATTTCTAGTTATATTTTCGAGTGAGACGGGAAAAAAGAACATCATAAGAGTAATATAGATATTTTATAATACATAGGATGAATCTCAATCATGGTTTACAAAATCCAATGCATGGAGAATTAGATCTGGGATCTACTGGTAAAGTATAAATATATCAATATATATATATATACAGAGAAAGAGAAAGAGAGATAGAGATAGAGAAGAAAGCAAGCTAAGAAAAATACAATAGCTCATTTATAATGGGATTTTAGCTGTTTTAACGCATTCTCTCGTGTGGATGTCCGTGTTGAAGTGAAGATTCCAGGAGGTGTTGAAAGTTACTATGTAGATGTGCGTGGCGAGAGGTATGCATAATATGTTATTTATGCATATGTCAATATTTGTTGACTGTCTGTGTGTGCTTTTGTAGACACGAGGCCACTGCTTCAATCTGGCAAGAGACATACCTGTCGGCGATACTCAGAGCTGTCTTATATTCGGATGACAGTTATTATCGCCTGGCTGGTTATCGTAAAATAGATCCAATCACCAGTCTTTCCGCCGAGGCACGCTTTTTGGAAGCTGTAGAAAATTTGTTCTGGAGAGGTATGGGAAGGGTTCTACATAATGATAATATAGTAGAATAACAATAATGAATACTTTACTTAGGATGGCAATTGGGAAGCAAGCCTGAAATTCAGGTGGCCACTTCAGTACATAATCATCTGACAGCCGGTGTGATGAAGTACTTTGGGGATAGTTTCCGCTATGGACCGGCAGTGCCTTTATTTGAGAGACATATCCTTTTTATATAATTTTATTAATATGGCAGCGATTGTTATGTGTAATGAACAAGACCCATTGAGAGTCGTTATTCAGACTTTGCTATTGACAACAATGTTTTTCCTTAACCTGTTCTTTTTTTTTCTCTACTGCAAAAAAAGGATCCTGAAGTTGGCGCACTTTTAGCTCAGGCTTATATAGGCCAGAACGAGGAAATAAAGGCTGTCAAGGTTCTTCATGATGACCTCAAGCAGACTCCTATGAGTTATCCTCTCTTGCATGTTCAGGTTGATTTTCTGAGAAGCAAGGTAACGATTTCCCAGAGAACAAATGAATCGATCAAGAGCTCATTTCTTATTATTATTATTATTATTTTATTCTTAACGGAAAATGATGTGTAGGGTCAATATGATATGGCCTTGAAATTGGCCAAGTTTGCCGTTAATACCACTCCCTCCGAATTTCTTACATGGGCAAAGTTGACAGAAGGTATTGTTACTTGATCGGGATGGCCACTGTTTGAATAAGACTAAAAATAATATGATTGCAATTTTAGTGTATATTGATATTGAGGATTACAAGAACGTAAGTCGAGAGCTATATATATATATAAACCAATAAAATACAGTAGTGACCTGCACGTACTAATCTACATCTGTCTATACAGGCTCTCTTGACCTTGAATTCTTGCCCCATGTTCACCTACAGTGAGCGTGATATGCACCGTATGCCTGCTCCATCAAAGACGCATTTGCCCATTAAGCCTGATATTGTTAGCTCAGGTGTTATGGAGGAGGATTCTGCTGGAAGAGAAACCGAGGTAAATAGCGTACAATCATACACATATACTTGTAATCTTAATCGGAGATCTTATGTTAACTATTTCATAATAGGCAGATCCTAATCTCTTGCGTTTGCCGGCCCCAGCACTCCACGGAACTTTTGCCAAGGCATACACTCTCTTGACTCGCCTGGCAGCTAAGATTGGATGGGATGATTTGTTGAAGTGCAGATCGGTTGTATTCGTAATGGAAGAGGAATACAGAATTCAAAAGGCAAAGGAAGAGGAAAAAAAGACAACCCACAGCCCTACCACAGAGTATTCTCCCGTAGAAAAGCCTATCAGTGAAAAGAAGCCTATTGAAGAAGAGGCCTCTTCTGAGGATGATGAACCTCTTAAATCCAACGAGGCTGAAACAAAGTCAGATGAGTTGGTCGATAATATGGAAAATGTGAACTTGGAAGATGAGGATAAGTCTAGTTCCCCCAAGGTGGATGGACCCAATATCACTGCTCCTTCTCTTGAGCGCCCACAACAGGCTGCTGAAGATAATAAAGAGAAGGACTTGGAGAGCAAGGCACCAGATGTCAGCTTCTCATTTGGCAACAAGCGTCTTTGTGAGCGCTGGCTCGATAACCTATTTATGGTTCTTTATGAAGATCTTCGTGTGTACACCTTCTGGAGAACCGAGGCTGCTCATTACCGTGCGCAACAGATGTCTTACCGCAAGACTGGTACTGAGTGGGAGTTGATGGGTGATTTGGCCTTGAGATTGTGGCATGAGGTAAGTAAGATACAATAGTCAAAAGATATGTGTATGGACATATTATTAATGCCTGGTTTGGTTTTAGAATGAGGCAAAAGAAGCATATGAGCAATGCCTTGATCACAAATTCTCTGCAAAAGCATGGATGAAACTTCTTGAAATTTATGCCAAGGAAGGAAATGTTCAAAAGGCTCTTTTAGCTGCAGTAAAGCTGACTGTTTATCATGAGCGTTGGTACCACGAAATTGTGGTAAGTAGTCTTTTTCTTTTCTTTCTCGATCAATTTTGAATGGGCTGGCTAATTTGTTGTGTTTCAAAGTACCCCACTGAGATTGCATGCAACCTCAACAAGCTTATCAGAAAGGAAGGCTTGTCAAAGATGCAGAACATCTTGACATCGATGAACTTGCCTCGTCCTGTTGAAAAGTTGATGACACGGTACTTTGATTACGGAGAGCTATTCAAGGTGGAAGGATATGAACTTTAGAGAAAACAGAAGGATAGTTATAATTCAGTCAGCAGAAACAATAATAAATGATTTCCTAATAATAATATTTTTTCAACCATCTTATTAAATCTTTGTAAAATCAATTTGGCTTTTGTTTGCTTGTTTGTTTTGAACTAAAATTCATATTTCTTGTTTCAATTTTTGTTGTTGCTATGTAGGAAAATAGATGTAATTATCAAAGCTTAAAGTTTTTTTATTATTATATTTTCATTCAAAAAATAATGATTTTGTGGTAAAAATATGTAAATGAATTTTGCAAAGAATAGAAATATATATATATATATATATATATTATTGGTATCAGACTATTGATTATAATAAATTCCCTTTTTTTTTTCACTTTTCACTTGTTTTAAGGGTGGAAGTAGAAAGCCAAAGCAATGATAGCATATGAAGCCTATAAATATATATATGTATATATTGTAAGTATGGAGATTTATACATAAGCTAGTCATTTTCTTAATATTGATATTAGACTTACCAACAACATGATGCCTTCGAACCAGTTGGAACGACCATCCTGGATAAGGTAGTTGACGATCATGACACTGGCAAAGAGGATGATGGTCTCAAAGTTCTCAAAGAAAAGGGTCATGGGCTGACCAATGACCCATCCAATAATAACCAATACAGGGGTGACCAAAAGTCCGATCTGGAGGGAAGAAGAGATGGCGATACCGATACTGAGGTTCATCTTGTCCTTCATGGCAAAGGTAACTGAGCTAAGATGCTCGGCAGCACTATTGATATGATCGTTTGTTATTAGACTTTGTTCTTTTTTATTATTCTTATTAAAGTAAGCAACCTACTTTCCGACCAAAGGCAAAAGGATGATACCGACAAAGGTCTCGTTGATTCCCCACTGAGTGACAACTCCCTCAATTCTATGTAGCGTGTGTTAGCGAGATACAAAACGAATTCTTAAAAAGAAATAATCGTGTTTAACTTACGCCCCCACCAAGAATTCTGCGTGGAGAGAGACAAATGCAGCAATTGTGATCAAGCTACGGATATATTTATAGAATGTGTTATTTTACATGTTAGATCGAAAGAATTCTGCTGTAGCTGTAGAGCTGTAGCCGGAGCCTTTAAATTTAGAGGCAAGAAAATGATTTTATAAAACGAAAGCTTACGAAATAACGGAAAAGCTAAGGGTGGTGGTGGGAACTTCGGCCTCATCAACTTCATCTTCATACTACAAACAATTAAATGTGTAAATAAGGCTAAACAGAATTGGGTTTTAAACTCAAAGTCTAATCAATGTTTACCAGGTGGGTGTGGGTCTTGAGCTAATAAATAAATAAAGAAAAGTATACACAGAATATTGTTCATAGATTAGCTTTTAATGAGCTCATCAATTGTTAATTTATCACACTATTATTACTATACTATTCTTTACCTGGAAGATCAAAAACAAAACGTAGACAATCAACAAGATAATGGCAGTTCCGTGACTGATGTTGAGAATACCAGCCTCTCCTCCATCACTATCGTTGATGGCACTGGCGCTAAAGGCAGCAGGGACCAACAAAGAGAGGGTAGTCAAAGCAAGGAGAGAGGAAGATGTCTGGGCAGCTTTTTTTTAAATAATAATAACAGTAGTAATTAAAGTACCATGAATAAAATGTTAGTTTAAAGTGTGTGAGAATAATTTTTATATATAATCTTACCAGTAATGTTAAAAGTCTGCTCGGAACGGGGAGCTCCACCCATCAAGAAGCAGAAACCCAAGACCTAAATATAACAGTAATAATAATCTCAGATAAATACACACGTATGTTGTTATATTCATTAGCCGGAATATTTCCACTAACCAAGAGGATGTTGGACAAGATTGAACCGAGGACGGAGGCTGGTGTACAGAGTTTGAGAATGAATGCCTAAAGAGTAGTCTATCCACTCACCTTGTACGACGCGAATCAATCCTTCTTTCAATGCAATGATGCCAAGAATAAGTTCCACGGCGTTTCCAAAGGTGGCGTTGAGAAGTGCGCCCCATGTGGAACCACAGCGCAAGGCCAATTCTTCAGTGGCTGTTATATATATTAAGAAAGCAAACAAACGCGTAAATTAAGAGCCTTGATTATTTATTATAGAGAGGTTATATATTTTATTTTATATATCTATTCTTTCATTACCAAAACCAAGTAACTTGGCAAGAGGGATAATGGCAATGAAGTTAAGCGAGAAAACAACAGTATCAGCCACATCCATGGTGGATACAACGATTGCAATGGGTACAAAGATCAACAGCCAGTTGAATTTCGAGGACTTGGCTGTGGCCTTGAATGAAGACCAGAATGTCACGGGCTTATAGTCGCTTTGACTAGCTCCAAGAAGAGGTTCGTTCTCTTGGCTCATCTTTTAGATATCAATACAGAAAAGCCGAGGGAAAGAAAGAAAGGAAAAAGAAACAAATTGGATTATTAGTTAAAACTTGCCCACATTTATATATGATTATCTGCTTTTGAATGTTTATTGGAAGGTTCTTAACAGAAGGCACTTTTTTTTTATATAGTGCTAAATACAAGAGTCTGTTTTTTTTTGTTTTACTGGTGTAACAAAGGAATCGTTGCACTGTTTGGGCTGTCTTGAAATAGTTTTCGACGATGTCAAAAGATAGCTGCCAATTTCAAAGATTCATATATTCTCTACAAAGACTATTACTAAAACAGACCTCATCACCGAAATATGCATATCCCACTTTAATAGACAGCATAATGTATTATTCTTTAGAAAAATAATATGCAAAATTAATTAATTAAATAAATAAATAAATAAAAATTAAAGCAAATAGCATAAAATATTACTGTACGATTGTATAACTGTGCTTCCAAGGCATTCATATTCTTGTAATGCCAAACCCAGGCCAAGAACTTTTTGTTTGTATGGAGCGGAGCTCTGGTTTATTGGTGGGACTCTTGTCCAAAAGGCTTAAGAGGCGTCACAACTTGTTTTTGGGTTTTCTATTATCTGTATGTTTTTGAATTTTTTGTGTTTTGTAAGGTGTAGAGAAAAAGGAAAAAAAAAAGGCGAGTTGGCGAGATATCTAGATAGGATACGGGCTTTGGTCAAGGTTTTCTTCAGCGTGCAAGCGAGAGAGCAAGGAGTTGGCTGTGGTTATAGCGTCGGTAGCAATAAAAGGTGCTTGGTCAAAGACAAAGGCCCAATGGTGGCGCCATACGGCCAAGAGAGCAGATCCAAAGATGGAAGCAGGTTCTAGGGTGGGGTCAAGAGGAGGTGGGAAGGTAAACTTGTATAGTGCATTGTGAATGTCAGAGGTCTGAGGGGAAAAACCAAAATGAGTGTGCCAAAAGGTTTCCCAGAGGGGGAGCTTGAGTGGGCAGGTAAAGAGAAAATGGTCCTGAGACTCATCAGTTGTACCGCAGAGAGAGCAAGTGGCAGATGGAAACGCGGTAGGGACACGATGATGTAAGGCTGATCTACAAGAAATCTTGCGATGAAGCAACCGAAACCAGATGTTGCGAGAGGCATAAGGAAGGACAAAAGACCAGAACTGACGCCATTCGATGGCACGTATATCCTGTTGCATATCCTCGGTAGAGAAAATGGCAACTTGACAAGAGGAGCGATATCGGCGTGTGGACAGACGATTCCAAGGAAAGTTAGGAGATAGAGTAGACAAAAGTGGAGAGGGGTCAACTTCAGAGCCACTCCGAATCATCATGTCCGGGAATTGAGCCGTCAAGATACTCTGGGGAAGGCAAGCACGAATTACAAAAGTATGAAGAAAGAGGGAGTGGTCATCTAGACGAAGGAAAAAATTGCGAAGGATTCTTGGAGACCGAGGGAAGGAAGACGAGAAACGCCGAGAAAGAACTTCCAAGTTTGGGTCAATCTCATAGGCATCTCTGATCCGGAGGTGACGCCAAGAAGAAGGAAAAACAGGGAGGCCGTGTGGGACAATAGTGGCAGAAGCCAAAGGAATATCCAGACAAGTTTCCAGATTTACCACAGTAGAATCAAAGTCATGAGGTAGGAGATCGCACGCGGCAAAGAGGTTAAAGAAAGGACTGGTATACGAGCGAAGGCGACTGTGTCGGAGGTCAGGGAAGACAAAAGGGAGGAGAGGGTGAACATCAGGCAGGTGATGTCGAAGAAGGTGTATCAACCAAGGCAATACCAGACCCGAAGGAGAGGAAGGGGAGCGGAACAGAGGTCGAAGCCAACGAAGCTGAAGAGCACCTTGCTGTAACTTTGGGTTCAAAACCCCTAATCCGCCAAGTTTCGTTGGGAGACATAAGGTGTCAAGTTTAACAGGTGGGAAGGTGCGGTGCTGAAGAAAACGGCCCATGAGAGATCGAACCTTTGTAAAAAAAGTTCCAGGAACGGAGACAACACGAAGGACGTGCCAAAGCTTTGACAAGATGAAAGAGTTTAAGACAGTAGAGCGACCACGGAAGGACAAGGCCCGGGAGAGGTGGACATGTGAAGCACGTTCTATCTTAGCCAGGACTTGTGAGCAGAAGAAATTTCTTTGAGGAATAGAGGAGATAATTGGAAAGCCAAGATAGCGAAGAGGTTCAGGGGAGCGACTGTCATGCCAATCAACAATCTGCAAACTATGAAGGGTATCCATCCAGTGAGGGTGGGGTTTGCCCGACAAAGAAAATGCTTGAGTTTTGTGAAGATTGATGCGTGCATTGGAAGCAGAGGCATATGTGGCGAGGTGGTGCTGTAATCGGGACATATCTTGGATCTGTGGGAGGAAGACAAGAAGATCATCTGCGTAGGCCAGTAGCTTAATGGGCGGAGGGGAGGGTTGGTCGGGAGTACCTTGTATGTCGAATCCAGGGAAGTGTGGATCGTGTATGAGTCGGCGCAAGAGAGGCTCGAAAGCCAGGTTGAACAGAACAGGAGACAAGGGGTCACCCTGCCGGAGTCCGCGTGCTTGACTCAGAGGGCGAGAAAGGAAGCCATTGACGTTAATCTTAAGGTCGGACGAGAAGAAAAGATTAGAAACACAGGTTATAATGGAAGAAGGAAAACCGAATTTGACAAGAACTTGTTCAAGGTAGTCAGGGTGAACCCGATCGTAAGCCTTTTCCTGGTCTAAGAGAAGACCAATTCCAGAGTGACCAGTAAAATTGGCATGATCCATAACCAGCTTCGTAAGTATACCATTGTCAGCAATGAAGCGACCGCGGACAAATCCTGTTTGGTACGGGGATACGAGATCTCCAGCAGCTTCGACCATGCGCGCATTGAGAAGCCGAGTAAAAACCTTGGCATCAGCGTTGATCAGAGCGATCGGTCGCCAATTTTTCAGAGACGAAAGATCGCCTTTCTTTGGTAACAGAGAGATACACGTGGTTTGCCAAGATGAAGGGAATTTGGCACCATTGAGAGCATCATTGTACACTTGGAGCAGTAACGGGGAGCAGGAAGGGTGATTGAATACAAGTTGAAGAATCTCATAAGGAAGGCCGTCTGGTCCTGGGCTGCTTGTTCTTGGAGAGCGGGACACTCCTTCTCGTATGTCATCGATGCAAAATTTGGCAGTCAATGAGGAACACGTATCATCAGAGAGGCAGAGGTCGTGGGGAAGGTGGTTGAGTAAAGCGTCTATGGCTAATTGATCTATTGGTTCAGGTGTATACAGAACTTTGTAGAAAGCAGCGGCAGCGTCAGTCATGCCATCAGGCTCAGTGTGCAAGTGGTCAGTGATGGGATGGCGTAGATTGGTGATGTTCTTTCGGGTTTGACGTTCTGCAACTGTACGCTTGAGGTAGCCTGCAGAGATCTCTCCATTCTCCCGCCAGTGTTTTCCTGCGCGCAGAGCAAGGATTTCCACTCTCTCCAGTTGTACTAGTTGTAGTTGTCTTTCAATGATGGGCAATTGAAAGTTTTGAGCGGGTTGTAGTCTAAACTTGAAGATCAGTCTGTCACGTTTACTTTGAAGGCGAGCCTCTAAAGTAGTGAGTGTCTGGGTGCGGCGTCTAGTGAAAGACTTGATGAAGATAGTTAGATCCAGGCCAAGAACTTCCAATTTGGTCCTGCAGCACTAGCGTGACTGCTAAAACACACTTCCGAAAACTCCGAGACCTCAGGGCCATATTTCATTTTTTTATATAGATATAGATATAGATGTTTTTTATATACGATTTAAAGATATAAACAATCCATTTGCTGTCATAATGGTCAAAGATTTACCCAGCGATCCCCCAAATAATGTGAAGAGCAAAAAAGCACGAACAAAACAACTGATGAATGACATACTCCTGGGTGATTTGGAAGAATCAATGAAGTTTGGCGAACTTCAAGAAGACGAAGAAGAAGGAGACGAAGAAGACGGAGACGAAGAAGACGGAGACGAAGGGGACGAAGAATACGACGACGACGACGACGAAGAAGACTTTTTGGAAAATATTGATGCTTCAATGATGGAAGATATTGAATATGAAGACGAGGAATACTTTGATGATAATGAACTTACGCAAGTATACTTATTGATTGATTGATCTTTTATTGTTATTAAACAAGTTAACAATAAGGAAGGAAAGAAAGAAAAAATGTAACTAACTTGATATTTAAATACACAGAGAGATGATGGAGTCTACTCGAGAGGCACGTAAAAATCTCAAGACTGGTGCAGCGGACGAAATGTTAACAGAAGATATGGAAGATTTCACAGACAATCTGGTGGCAACATCCGGTGTAGGAAAGTTGAGAGGAAAGACCAGACGGCGAGTCACAGCTGGTGAAGTGCGCCTATCAGACGAAGTCAAGACATTGCTGGGAAATGCAAACGGGCTCTATATTGCTAAAGACTACGGTGCAGCTATTGCACTACTACAAGAACTGATTACAAAACACTCAAATGTCCATCAGGCATGGAATACACTTGGTCTAGTGCACGAAGAAATGGGCAATAAGGACAAATCACTTCAATTGCGTATGGTAGCTGCTCATATGTGTGGTACAGATGCAGGATTGTGGAAAGAGCTGGCTGTGAAATCAATGTAAGTATTAAATGTAATGAGTATTGATATCATGATTGAATTAACTATCAGTTAGTGAGAACGACGCAACTCAGCAAGGTCTTTACTGTCTGACAAAAGCACTTCAAATCGACCCAATGGACGTTGACGCTCTTTGGGATCGCGCATATTTACACAAACAATTGAAACAATATGATGAATCACTTGATGGCTTCAATCAGATCCTTGTTATCTTGCCTAACCATTTCAAAGTCATCAACGAACTGGCTCAGATATATCGTATCAAGGGAGAAACAAAGCAGGCCATCAAGCTTTACGAAGAAGCTATTGAAAATGTGACAAGTAATGGAAACTACTACGCTGATTATGACGAGGACGAGGATGAAGATGGTGAAGACGGATTTAGTGACCGCCTTGGGTTTGCTGAGATCAACATGCTCAGTGAGTTATATTTGATTCTAAATGACTACCGACGTGCCTTGGATTGTATTAAAACTGGTATCCGACATGTCCAACATCGTCAGGACGAAGTCTGGTGGATTGATCGTACAAAGGATGACGATGAATACTTTGGAGGAGATGAGGAAGAGAGTACGGATGATCGTTTGGATCTGCCAATTGAACTACGTGTTCGTATGGGTATTTGTCGTGTTTATTTAGGACAGCCCAAGATTGCCGGGGTAAGAGATATCTTTAGCAATAAATGGGATTATAAATGCAATATAATAAAATATATTGACATAAACATACGGATCACAATAGAAACATTTTGAGTACCTACTCAAATATCCTGCCAACACTTACCCAGATCTTCATCAAGACATTGCCTATGCTTACTTTGATAGACGTTACTATGAACAAGCTTTGAATATATTTCAGCGTTTGATCGATTCTTCTGATGCAAGTACTTTTTATATATAGATTTAGAAAACTCGCATTTCATTTACACTTATTTTCGATCTATAGCAAGTTGAGGTGGATCTCTTGATCCATACAGCAGATTGTTATCGTGAAGTAGGCGAGCTTGAAACTGCGGTTGTATTTTATACAAGTGGTAAGTTCATCTCAACCTCTACTGGGACCCCTCAATCAAATTCGCTAACCAAAACAAAACACGTAAATCAAATAGTTTTGGACGAACAACCAGACAATTACGAAGTTGTACTGTCATTAGCACAAGTGTATGAAGAACAAGGGAAAGAAGCAGAAGCTTTGGATCTTGTTCAGTTTGGTAATTATCATCAACATTATTATATGAGATATCGTGGTTTGGGGATTAAAGAAGGATATTGATTATAATTCTATAATTTTATTAATGCACTCTTTTCTCTCTATCTCTCTCTATTTCCTTTGTTATACAGTGATTACTAAAAAGAGAGAAGCCCGCGGCTTGAAAAAGATTGAAGAAGCAAAACAAAAAGGAGAACCCGTTGTGACAATGGAAGAAAACGAAGATTCAAAGGAAACTCTGGCAGATGTAATGAGTCGTTCAGCAGCTGAAGCTGAAGCCAAAATCAATGACAGAGCCAGAAAGCTTGAATTGGATAATACAAAGAAAGCTTCTATTTTCGATGAAGTTCATAAGACTACGATGGCTGATGCTGCACGACAGCGGCGCAATAGGCTTCTGAAAGAAGAAGAAGAGCGTATAAACCATGTAGCAGCTTTATTCAAGAAAATTGAGGAACTTGATAAAATTATTGGCTCCGAGGTTGTTAAAGCCAAGAAAAATTTACACAGAGATTATGTTCGAGCTGCCCAAGATCTCTGGAGAGAGTTCTCATCATCAAGAGCTTTCTATCTTTCTAATAAGGCTACGGTAAGTATATTTAACTAGCAACATGTACAAATCGACCCTAAAGAAAAAAACTAACATTGGTATTAAATAGGGAAAACTAATCCAAGGTTTCTATGTAATTCGTAAATCGGGTATTCCTGAGCCTGGGCCTAATCTGGAAGCCCACAACATGGCCAAGCGTCTATTCAACAGTATTACGAACAAGAAAAAAAATTCATCGGCCACCATTGACTCGTATCAAGAATACCAGCTGGACGAAGAAGAACAAGAGCTAAAAGATAAAGAGGACCGAGATGCAGAAATGACTGCTGCCGACAAGTTCCGCGGGTATTCATTCGATAGATGGCTCGAGATGATTATCAGAGTAAGTAAAGAAGAAGAAGAAGAAGCCTTTGTTATAGAAAAAAAAGAAAAAGCTAAATATGTTTCTGTTTAGTATGCTTATTCACTGACTTGTACCCAACGTGCTGAAACTGCATATGAGGTGTTAAAGAGAGCTTGTGAAGCTATTGTGTTTTATTCACAACCCAAAAGAAAAACAGCTCTTAAGCTAGCTTTACTGGGTAGGTGTACACACACACAGATACATAAATTGTTGCATTGGAAGCCAAAACAATATAATAATAATAATAATAATAATAATTAAAACTTATACTTAATTAATAGGGTGTGCTCTCATCAATAATGATGACTTTGAATCCAATCAAGCCATACGTTGGTTCTGCAACTTTTATCAATTCAAACATGATCCTTACAGATTGTTTACTGTATCAGCCGGTACTGACGCACATGGAGTCGCACAGTTTGTTGCAAATATCACACAGCGTTACTTTGCACGTATTATCCGGTTGATGGATGCAGTTATATCCAGTTACATGTATAGTGCCGGACAGGATCCCAAGGAAGCCAATATTGAGCACATCAAACTTTTACATTCTGCCATCTTGTCTATGGATATTGATCCAAGTTTTGCTACTGAACAAAACTATGGTAGATTTTACCATATACCTGAGAACATGCGATTACAGCTTACAAATGATGGAGGAAACCTTAAGATGGCACAAGTGGACCCTATTCTTCTCACAATGTTTGGTTCCATAATGAGTATCGGAAGAAATTATCTTTCAGCAATCAGTAAGTTTAATAATGCATTTGTATATTGCTTTGATATACTGAAAATAATTGTGCCTATGTGTGTGTCTATAGTGTTCTTATTACGTGCTTATGCACTTGCACCAAATGATACATTGATTACTTTGTTATTGAGTATCAACTTTATACAGCGCGCCATGCAAAGTAGAACGGATAACAGACATATGCAGATTCTCCAAGTAAGTGTATAAATATATTACATCTATGCTTTGGATATATTCTAATACGCCATGAAAAGGGAATGGTCTTTATGAACCAATATAGCAACGAAAGAAAATATTTACAAGAGAAAGCCTACAATATGGGACGCATCTTCCATTTCCTGGGTAAGAAATTGGTTTCTTTTACAAATATTTTACACACCTTAATATTTCTTTTCTCTCTTTAGGACTTACTCATCTGGCCATTCCTCATTATGAAGAAGCGCTTTGCCAACCTTCAGCCAAATACCAGGGTATTCGCAAAGCTCGTCCAATAGAAGATGTATATATGTGGCCTGTGGATAATATGTATAAAGATGAAGATGACGAAGATGATGAGACCGACCTCAAAAGAGAAAGCGCACACAACTTACAAAACATTTATTTAACAAGTGGAAACTTTGCTTTGGCTCAAATTCTTTTAGTGAAGTATTGTTCTGTGTAGCTTGGCTTATAGCTTATCTTAGCTTAGCTATATATATATATAAATATAAAATATAAATGTATTCAAATATAAATAATTAGCCTTTTTCTTTTTATATATATATCTTAATACATTTACTTGTATAGAAACGTTCATTTTTCCTTAATAATAATAACAGTATTTTTTTTTATTTGCTCATTTTGAATGAATGGTCTCTGCAAGAAACATCAATGAAATGAACACTCTTTGCCTCTTGTAAGCAAAAAGAAAAAAGAAAAAATGAAGGAGATGAAAATGAAAGAGAAATGCTTATATTATCATAACAGGATGTATGTATATGTAAATTGTAAAAGGTGCAAATGAAAGAGTAAAGAAATAAATTGAATAAAACAAGCCTGTTTACTGTCTATAGTTATATATATATATATATATATATATATATATATATATATAACAAACACATACACGTCTAAACCAGCCCAAATCCCTTTGCATTCTCAATAGCTGTTACTAGCCGCTCTTCTAGTTTCTCTTCAGAGCTGTATTCCGGTAAAAGAAGGCGGGAAAAGCATGTCAAGGCTGTAGGTAGACGATCACTATCTGGTCCATTTCGTTGAATAATAAATGAGAGTTCCTTAAGTCCGCCAATAGGTACTCGATCACTTGCTGTTACAAACAGTAGTAATTCTCTCTTTTGATCAGGACTCAGAGAATTATGTACTACTGACCAGAATTGTCTGCAAGAAGTTATAGAGAGAATTACATTAGCTTCAATTATTTCAAAATGAAAAATAAAAACTAATAATAATAAAGCCAATTAATAGATTTTTCTTTTTACCTAATTGTAGGATGGTCTGCATGGTATCCGTCGTCATAGTCTGTAACACTTTCAAGATCTTCCATGCAGAGATCTTGACTTCCTGGTCCTTGTCTTAATCCGCATGCAACAACTTGTATTTCTGCCGCAGTAAAAAGATCAAGAGCACGACTACCGATAACGCTCCGGACACCACGTCGTAGGGCAAGAATAGCATCCCGCTGAGCGCGATACATAAAATATGTACAATAATCTTGAACAAACGCTTCTCGATTGTTATTTGTGACTGGTATTGATTCTCCTCCAGGAATCAAGGGAACTGTAATAATGCCTTGACCAAACACCTGGATCGAGATCTCATAGTTGCGATCAAACACATCCTGAACTTCATCTGGCCATTGTAAGAGCTGTTCAAGTCCAGACGCCAGACTTGGCCAATCAGTATTAAGATCAGAAAGTGTAAAAAGCGAATGATTATCGGCTTGTGCATCGACCTCCTGTTCGGTAGGTGCTACCAACACTTTCCAAAAGATATCTGGAAAGGGTAGGTTGATCATAATACCGTTGTAAATAGCCAGTCCAATCATGACTCCTGTCATCTCGTAGTGTCGGACAGTGTCGGTATCCAGATAGGGGCGGATCCAATACAGACGACTTTCGGGATCCATCTCGAATAGCCCCAGTTCAGCAGATAAAAGTTTCTCAAAAAGGACGCCAAAGAACTCTTTCTGTACTCCGCCCTGGTCCATACCCTCTTCACCACCTTCAACAAAGCGTACCTTGAGAGGTTTCTTGATATCTGTCCATTTACGCGAAACTTGATCCCAAGCATCCTCTACAAATGAAATACGTTTGATTTCAAGTAATAAATACGGATATGTCGCAGTCCGTAGATTGGTTTCTAAGTTCCGGACCATTCGTGGCGCATCTGATAGTAGTCGCTGAGCGTGCACAACCAGAGTGTGATTCACGCAAGCATCTTCATATTCAAGCGACATTTGAGCCATGGCATCCATGTGTAATATCTTGCGTTTGACATTTGGTGGAAATAGGAAAGAGTAGTTGAACCAAGAAAAGCAGTATCCACCCCCATTGAGCGGTGAGACAGTGGTGGGTCCACTAAGAAAGAGTCGGGTGCGTCTGTGTGGGTCGGGTAGACAAAGTATATCGGTAGACAAACGTCCTTCTCCATGTAAGATAACACGCTTCCAGGTGCGATATTCTTCTTTGATATTAAGTTTTCGACAGATGGACTCATTATAGAACACATCTGGAGATAGCGGCGAAGATAGGTGCTGGCTAGCCTGATCTACAACAACAATTGTCAATAGGTGGATGAATATAGAGATTTTTTTTTACATACATAGCAGCTCAAGACATTTGACAGTTAGAATAGCAACATCACTATCCCCATGCTTGTACGGTCCAGTATGAAAGTGATTAAGAAGATAGTTCTGGAGATGGTCAACCAGGTGTTCAAGCGTAGTTGCATGCATCCTGTGATATACATATATATCAGTACACAATACATAAATATATATATATATATATATATATATATATAAACAGCATAAACAGGGATAATACCTTGAAATCATCTGTAATAATAAATGTCTAATGAGGCTTTGCTTACGAGAAGCAATAGTACCAAGAATATGAATATACTTTTGAGTGAGGACAGTGGACCATCCTCTTTGGGAAAGAATATCGTATGTTTGAGAGTAAGCTATCCAAGCGGATAGACTGGTAAGTGAGCGCGCCCATTCAAACATGACAGTGCGATGTTGAATAGTGCTCTCGTTTAATCGTCGTACTTCTGTCATTCGGTCAAGATTCATGTTCATACGATCTAGGAGTGTCTCGAATCCTTCGGCCATGTACCCCATTGTTTGTTGTTGTTGTGAATGTGGCAAATGATTGAGTTGATCAAAGAAGGTTTGGAGTTGACAAAAGTCAATTTTCTGTACAGTTTGCTCTTGCCAATCTATCCCATCTCTTGCCAGGAAGCTGTTTCCAAACCCTTCCCAGTTTTGAAACACTCCTCTACACCAACGACCCATTTCTAGTGTATCACCCAAACTCAGAAAAACTCTCAATTGATGGTCTGCACTCTTTTGATTGATAGCAATTGGACGTATAGCCAGTAACATCCCGTCTTCTGTGTCTCCATTGACTTGATCACTAAAATGATCAGTCGATCCATCACTGTCAAGAAGATAATAGCTCTCTCCTTCTTTCTCATCGTCTGTTTCTCTCTTTGCTTTATCGTCGTCATCGTCGTCATCTTCATCTTCCTCTTCAGAACGATCGTGGCGACTTTCCATGGTGTGCCAAATACCCCAAAATTCTGACAGCCAATCAGTCTGGTGTTCTGAACGTCGAGAACGTTGGGATAATCGAGCGGAGCCTTTTGTGTATTTTCCAGCATCTATAGAGAGTCTTTGACGTGGTCGAAAGCCGAAGAAGGAGATAAATGGAGATACGATGAGGGACGGAAGGCGTGATGGTGACGATATTCTAGTATCAGTAGGAATATTAGTAGCAGTAGATTGAGACGGAGAAGGAGGAGTGCAGAAGTGATGATCAGGGCGAGAAGCAAGTTGAATGGCCATCATAAGTGCTGCTTGATGGTGAAGATTCAATATACTACCTATAAGTTAACGTATATTACAATTAGATACATGTTGTATATTTTATCATTTTTATATATCCCAACAAGCGAAAATAAATAAGAAAAGCAAGAAAATATGTGTACTTATGCTTATGCCTACGTCTATGCCTATTTCTGTGATTCTGATTGTGATTATGCTTATGCTTGTATATACGTATATAATACATGTAAATATATGGATCTAGCTATCTTACCTCGGCCCGTGGAACAAAACCGATTTTGGCAGGTGGTTTGGCCACACCCTTGGGTGAGTTGTCTAAAATACTTTTCAATTCTAATTTCATATTCCTGCTTAGCTTCCTTGAGCCTCTTTATTTTCTGTGATTTTGGTCTCGGGTCAACGGGGGGTGTTGGTCGAGTCTTAGTGTGGGATGGAGTGGGTGCGAAGGGCAATGAAGAGTATTTTGGCTTGGGAGGACAGGGAAAGTGCTGACATACACTATTAGGATTACGTGTGCCATGGATAATTGTACATGGTTCTTTGGGTTGCATGAGAGCATCGGGCATCTTGACTGCGGGTTTCATTGTAGGTGGTCGTCGCTTGGTTTGGTCTGATTCTCCATGTCGCAAATCGTCTTCATGGCGGTTGGTCTGGCGTGTGTTATAGTCGAGATTCTCTTCATGAGAACCAAAAGACTCGCTTGTTTTGCTTTCCTCGTCTCGTGGATAGTGTGTGTTGGTTGGTGGCATTATTGGTGAAGGTGGTGGTGAGTAGAGAAAGGCTGAAGGCTGGGTGGGTGAGTCTCTGGCGTCAATGAAGGTCGACATGGAGTTAGTAAAAGAAGAGGCAAAAATAAAATAAAAAATAAATAAAATAAAGAGGCTTTGTTCGGGCGTTTTGCTTAAAAGTACAACAACAGACTATCAAAAATGGAATAGGTAAGTTGAGAGTACAAAAAGAAAAAGAAAAGCGGAAAACGGGGATGGAAATCGTGGGTTTCTCCTATGGTGCACGTGATCTGAGACCACCTGAGTACAAAGTTTCGAATTTTCTTGTGGTGCAATGAAAATGTGATAGTTTATTAATAGGGGAATAACCTCTGACTTTGTTAGATCTGGTAAATACTGATATAGTATGATGTGATACTATTGAATCGACGTAGATGAGATATAAAAGTAGTATTTGCATAATGTCACATCTTTGTATCATAGTACAAAATAGGGATATGCCAGTCACAAAAGACGAATTGCCAATGTATTCGTTTTAATTGGTGACTGAGATGGAATATTGAACTATCTAATTTCCAAAAATAGAGTTTGTGAATTTCTGGAAAACTTGCATGAAGTTTGAAAATACTATCCTTTATTTTACAAGACATATATATATTATGCAAAATAAGAAGAAAAAAATGAAACTTTGCCTTGGATAGTATAAAGATTAATATATTATACACGGCTGACTTATGGTAAAGTAGTGTAAGCTCGGGATAGAGAATGATCAACAAACCATTCAACATAATTGTGAATTATAAAATTACAAGCATTTTTGATTCCCAATGAAAGGTTTTTATCCCAGCAATATAATTCATATTCATTTTAGATTTTGTTACCAAAGTAATGATATTAATAACAACAATGGCTGTTCAACAAAAGACAATACGATGTAATATTAAAGAGAAAAGAGAGTTTCTCTTTGTATGTAGGTTTAATATTTGCAATTTTTAATGTACCTTTTCTTTCATTGAAGAAAATGTAATACTAATTAGTGTATTATCACAAGATACAAGCCTTTAAGAACTTATTATTGTTTCATTATATTCATCGTATCAAATAATTAGCGATAATAACGTATTGCTTCTTTTGCGAGTTTTTTTCACTAGTTTTGTGAAACTAACAACAACTGCATCAACAGAGCAGATTTCACCCAATATAGCATGATATTTGTTTCTTGTCATAGGCACATTTGTCAAAATTACTTTGGCTCAGCTACGCTCGTACTAAGAAATATCTCTTCTTTTCTTTTATTATTAGTCAAGCTCACCATGAAGTACTATATTATATTACAAGAAACCCATATCCTTCATAATACATAAGTTATTTTGAGATAATATGATTGTGTACACAAATTTTGAATACATGTCAATATTTCTCATGTATTTTTTTTTAAAAAAAAATATTCGGAAGACGAGTGCCAATTATTCCTATAAAAAAGTCGTGTCGCCTGCTTTGAAGACCATATCGCATGTTTAGAAATCAAATGTAGTACGCTCAACAAGAAAATAATAAAAATCTTTCATCCTTAAGATATATATGTATTGGTATTGTGACATTATTTCTATGTAATTTCTAGAAGCAAAAATACAGCTAGCAAGAAAATAGCTGCTTAGACCAATCATAGATCATAATATTATTCGTATTTAGGGTCCTTTTTTTGGAGGTATTTCGCTTAAAAAAAACTGTCTTAGGAATATCGAGCTCCACTAAATAATAAGCGATTGGTGAAAATATAGTCAAGTCAACCCGAAAGAGGAAGATATTTCCTCAAAAAGGTATTGGTCCGATCACAGATATTGTGTTTCTTGAAATACTTCCTTAACCTCAACCTCATTTTTTTTAATTAAAAAAAAAGATCGATGTTTTTAGCTATTTTCTTTCACAATGTAATGATCCGTTGTCTCGGGTTAGCTTTTTAAGGGTTCCTTCTATTGTGTAAAAAGGTTAGCTGAGTATTTATGTATATATAATTAGTTTGTTTCAAGATAAAAACAGAAGCCATTGCGTTTGAGGAGTTATAAAACAGTAATGAGGTAAATCCCATGAATTTATCTAAATATTTAGAGAATATAATAGTTATGGTTATAAATCTGCTTGAACAATTGAGCAGTCTTATAAAAGTAATATTGTTTTTGAAGTACTGATATGATAATAACACTAATACTAAGGCTAAAACTAATAGCTAGCAAGATATTGAAACGAAAGATTTAACAGAAAAGGTCGGATAAGTTGTAATAAAGGTTGTCGTACATTATAAATATAATTTAAAACATACTGTGTGCCATCGTGTCAAATATTTACCGTGAGTCGCTTCAAAGTATGCTTATTTTTCTATGTAGTTAAATATTTGGATATTACGTTCAATAATATTTTCTAGTTTATAAGATTTGTTCAAATGATACCCATTAATTTTACTGTCTATATACGTACCTGAAACAGACTATATGAAAAGGAGATGCTACTTAAATAGATTAATCATTAGAATCAGATCACTTGTTGTTGTTTTTGCTGTAGTCTTTCTAGGATTGTTGGACAAAATAATTATTAACGTCACTCTCTATACAAGGATTTTAAAGTTCCTTTTTTTGTCTGTGTCAATAACTCTATTAGGGATTGCTCAAAATGACTGTGCTTTTACTTTAAATAAAGAAATACCAGGTAGCTATCTGTCTGATCCCTTGTGCTCCTATTGAAATAAATCAGAAGATGAGATTATTTAACAGAGTATTGAATATAAAAAAGGGAGACTCATAGGTTGTGTAATTGTCAATATTAAATATTGCCTTTAGCGTATAACTAGTTTTTGTTTTTTTATAAAATAAATAAAATGAAAACACTTTCAACATTTTTGCTTATTTATAATAGCCCATTAAAGTGTTTACTCCCTATTGCATATCACTCAAATAGACAAAAAAGAGAGGGGATTCTTAAGAAGAAATAATCAAAGATTTTAATTTACAAAAAATCTTATTGTAAACAGCCTTGTTTAGAATAGTGTCTTGGATGTGTATTACGGACAAAGAGAAAAAAGAAAGAAAGACAAACTCCTTTTGATAGTAAACATAAATATAAAATTAAGAACAAAAATCTACGTTTCTTGGCATTTTATCATAGTTCCATAATGTTTTACTAGAGACAAGTAATTTCAAAATACTAGGGCATGTTCGGGCAAAAAAGGTCTTTTAAATAATTCTTGTTTTATTATTACTATTTTCTTTTTAAAAAAAGAGCCTGAACAAAAAAAAATAGCGACCTCAAAGCCAAGAGGTATTAGCAAGTAAACAGCAGAGTACCAGACTTTTTATTAATATTTAAAGAAAAAAGATTCTCACTATGGCAAGGGACACATTTTGATATTCTCAAAAAAAATATCTGTGCCATATACCACTGCTTTTTGAGTTTTTCTCTTTGGGTGCCTTTATTTCTCCACAAAAATTGGGCATCACTTTTTCTAAAGAAATAATTATAATAATTAATGTGAAAATTTCATACTGGAATTAGTAAAAAGGAAGGTACTTTTGTTTGATTTTGTAGCTTCCTTCTTTCTTCCCAAGAATCCTTGGGCCGGTTAAAGGCGAAACACAGAATATACACATTTGTGATGCAGACAATGGCTGCCTCTCCGTATGTATTCTGCTTCCACTTCCCATAATACCTTCTAAAGCCTTTAATTTGAGGACCTACACCGGACCCCCGATCACCAATGCAGAGTATTAAAGACTTTTTGAGGAGGGATTATCTAAAGTGATATCTATAATAATATGGAGCTTTGATTTGAAACGAATTGTCATCTGTTGGAAAAAGAGCTATTGTATTTTTTTTGCGAGTAAGTCTCTGATCTTGTTAGCCTTCATATAAGACTTATATCTAGATTCTTTATGTTATTCAATCGTCCGGTATAACTTATCCTTGTCATCTATTGTCCCCCAATTTGATTTGCATTCCTTGATTTTCTTTTGGAAGTTACTGTCTTCCAGCAGCTCTAACTCTCTTTCACGGGTATATTCAAGTGTCTTGAATTTCTTCTGTTAAGCTTTAAAGTTCAGAAAAAGGAACATCCTTTGTTTTTCATCCTTCTTGTATAATGCGTGGACTTCTTAAAATCTGTGCTTCATACGACTGTTTTTTCTCCTCCTTTACGGTGCCATCGGCTCTTATTTTTGATCCCGATAATTGTACATCTTTAATTCCTGGTAGACATACTATCCGATGTGCAAAAGGTAGACCATACGATCTACATGCTTTCTGAATTTCACCCATATCAAATACTGTTGCCAAAATGCTCTTTTGTCGGCGTATGAAACGAATATTATACTTTTTTATATTCGGGGCTTCGTCTGTCACACAAAGTCAGCCTGTTTCTCGTTATTTTCCCTTTCAATTGTTTGACAGTCCTTTTCTATCTTTCTTCTCACCCCCCTTTCTTTCTCACTTTTCAAATTCAACGCATGACGACTCCTGTTCAACGAAAGACCACCCTACCGTTTCCACCATTGCCACAAAAGGCAGATGCGCCACTCAAACCCACAAAATCACGCAAACCTGCGATGACAACTGGAGATCTTGCTAGAATGGTATTGACAGGATTAGGATGGGCCATTGTCCTATTCTTTGTAGGATCTTACCTCATCACAGAGTCATGGACTTGGGGATACAGGGGAAAGTGGACAAACATCAATAATTACCTTCCTGTAAGTCGCAATAAATCTTTAAACAATATCGCTAAAAGAAAACATTATTAGCGTAAGGAACTTGTGTTTTCAGAGGAACAGTTGTATCGTTATGATGGCAGTAATCCCAATCTACCAATCTATGTAGCCATTGAGTAAGTTTATCTATATTTTCTTTCTTTCATCAATGCACTTTTATCTTATGTATATTTGTATCAGTGGTGATGTGTATGATGTTACAACTGGCGCTGGATGGTATTCTGTGGTAAGTACCTTTGCCCAATTGCTATATATTATAGTTGGCAAAAAAGTAGACTTATGTGTTGAATAGGGCGGAAGTTATCACCATTTTGCCGGTAAAGATGCAGCCCGTGCTTATGTTACTGGCTGCTTTAAAGAACATATCACACACGATCTTCGTGGTCTCACCACCGACCAACTCAAGGTATAATTTACGCACAAAATTTATGTAATGAATCGGAGGACTTAGTATTGAATTCTTCTTTTTTTATCTTTGTTTCTTTCTCAAAAACAGGGAGTGGAGCATTGGAAGAAATTCTATCAAAACCATCGATCATATTTCCGTGTGGGGCGTGTCTTACATCCTCCCATTGACGACAGCACACCTATCCCAGAACCTTGTGAATCTGCGGTAGGACAGAAGCCAAAGGGAAAGGATAATTAAGAATTCGATATATACATACATACATACACACACATATACATATACATATATATCTTGTTTTCATTCATTTAAAGCATCTCTCAAATGAGACTAGAAAGAGACATATACACGCAGGTGTACACACACACACATACATATATATACATATATAAAAGAGAAAGTGTACTGTATTTCTTTTTCTTTTTTTTGAGTGTCTACTTGAAATCAGCAGCCTTTCCAGTCTAGAATAATTATACACAAAGTATCAGTAAATGATACACCAAGCACACACAAACACAAAACATGTCCTTACTGTCAAGAGTCCCACAATAAGACCAAAAAGACCAAGGACCGATCCAAAGATCTCAACAACCAAGACCTTAACAAACAACTGGGGATCCTGGGCATCGGCTAAAGCAGCACTCGAACCTGTAACACCGACACATACACCACACAACAAGTTGCAGACACCAACTGTCAAACCACCCCAAAAGATAGCATGACCTATACATACATAAAAAAGAAGAATATATATAATTTCATTTAAATACACCTATATTTTTTGTGATCCCAATAAATTAATATTCTTATAAAGTTACCGGTAAAGTAGTTAGAAGGGGTATAGAGCTGATCGGGAGATACATCGCTGAGCTTGGAGGAGTAGACAATAGCCATAATGACACCATAAATAGCCACGACTTCGCAGAAAATAATGGAAATCAAGTTACGGGACTGGATACGTGGTGTCTTGACAGCACCACCGAGCAGTGAAGAGCCAGTGATAAAAATACCCCTAATAATAAATTAATATATGCTAAAAAAATGGATAATTCAGTACCAAGCGGCACCAGTGACTGAGAGACCAATGCAGAGACTCATTCCGAGCAGAGCCCAGATAAAAGGTGAAGTTTCTTCGAGCAACTTTCCAACATTGAAGGCTTCACCCGTGCCAGTCAGGAGCATGTAGAGCCCGACAATAGTCACGAGAGAGAGTGTACTCCCGGCAATGGACGTGTAATAATAGCCAGGCATAGATGAAGAGAAGATGGAGGAGGGAACAAGGCACGCTTCTCGTTTCAAAGTAAGGTCGCTCGAGAACAGGTTGAGGCAGCGCTCCATGACGTCACATTGGTGTGTCCCTAGCCATGTCCGTCAAGAAAATGGACTGAAGAAAGGGATCCCACTTTGGATATCAAAGTGGCTTATTACTTCTCTTTCTTTCCACGTCTTGATTTTTTTTAAATACATTTCTCTTTTCTTCTTGCTATTTATTACTACCACTACTACCACTACTACCACTACTGCTATTACTGCTATTATTATTCGATAGGCATTTTATACCCCAAACCTTTATTGTTAAATTCAAAGTAAAATAACATAAATAAAAATGCAAAATTTTAGAAAATCTACCAAACGAATAAACTCCCAAAAACAGAAAACCAGACAAGCAAAGAAACCAAAAAGAAACAAGTGAGAGATGTATGAGAGGGTGACGTACAAAGGTAGTACGTTTTATGCACCTGTTCTATTTGAAGCTCCACGTTTCTTCCCCTTGGCTTGCATCTTTCTTTTTCTCTTTTCTTTTATAAATTTCTTGAGCGTAGGATGGAAGGGGTGGGCGACGCATTGGTGACAAAGGAGCAACCAAATCCATTGGTGTTTGGCTTGAATCCAACCGAACAACCACAAGAATATACTATGGGAGAGAAGGCAGTGATCCAATTATTGTCCAAACTAGATAAAGTAAATAAGCTCTTTTTTTTGTGTAGCTGTGACTCAACTTGTTATTTCATAGGGATTGCAGACCATTGCGAATCTGCGATCAGTACTGACATTCAAGACAGCAGAGTTAAATGAAGTACTCGGACAGCTAGAAGTTATCCAACAAGCAGTCGTGAAAGTAGAAACAAGTACATGCCAGATCGAATTAATCCTTAAAGACTTGGGTTTATCAGAATCTCAGGCACGGGAAGCCCTGCTGATGAACGCCCATGCCAGTCTTGAGGCTGCTATCCAATCCGCCTCTCGCTTGTGTGATGGATCAAATCATGTGCCTTCTATATTATTAAAAAGCACTAGCAGTGGAAGTAGTGGAAGCAGTAAAAGCAGTGGTGGTTGTAGCAATACTCGTATCATTAATTACGAGTCTACCAAAGAAAGAGTGTTTGTGTCCAGAATACGCTACAGACCCGATACCAAACATCTTTTAAGACAACTAAACGGACTGTTGAGTGAGCTCGATCTTGATGAAGCTCGATTCTTTGAGAAGATTGGCACCATAGGTGAGTACGAGAATATATATGGGTTCTATGAGAAAAGGGAAAAGAGAGGCAAAATAAGGATATATGCACTAAGAAGCAACCACCGACAGATGATGTGCAGGTGCTGCAGAAGGCCTGTGTTGACCTTGATATCTCTCGGACAATCGCTCTCTCGGCTAAGAGTAACATCAAACGAAGAGAGCTTCTTCTAAGGAGTGCACGTAGAAAAAACAATTTGGAAGAAGTGAAACTTGTACGATCTGTGTTTTTTTTAAAAGAAAAATTTTGAAATCGATACTTATCTAAACTACTTTTTTATACAGTTAGGACATAAAATAAGGGAAGGAGTGACAATGTGGAAGACCTACACCCGAGACGCTCCCATGATTGTTAATGGAAAGGACGTGCTCATGACACTCGACATGGAAGACGAACTCATGGCCAAAGATGCAAGTCTCAATATTATAGATCATGTTTAATTCCCACCCCTCATTTTTTTGCCTTCTAAATAGTTGCCCGTTCATCCTCAGCGACTCTCAATCGACGGTCAGTCTAGAAAGAGCTCGCCCACACCTTCAGCGTCTGCCACAGCACGCAACACCCGTATCTCTCTACAAACACCCCCAGACTCCTTCCCACGGACCATAAGACGTACTTCTGTTCCAATAACTCCGCCAGAACATTCTGTCCTATTTCCTGTTCCTTCTAAACGATCGACCCCTCGCCCGTCATCAAGTATCAAACCTGTGACGATAATCAAACCTTCAATGAGTATTAAGCCAACGATTAGTATTAAGCCCTCTGTGAGTGTACGACCATCTATAAGTGTTCGCCCTTCAGTAAGTATAAAGCCCACACTCTCCAAAGCAAGCACCACACGTGTATATCCCTCACCTCCCAGGGAAACCCCGGTGTCTGAACCACCATCCAAGAAGTCACTTATCAAGCCACCAACTCAACGTGGACCTGGATCCACTCTACGCTTACGTAATATGCTTGCCAAACGGCAGCAACTCCCTCCCAAGCACCCTCTCGACTCTACAGATTAATTCTCTTGCTTTGCTTTGCTTTGTTTTATTTTATCGTTATTATCTTACTTTTTACACATAAAAAAAGGGTTTCTCCTTTAGCACAGTCACAGGAACTAGCGGCATGAAATGGAGATCCAATCTTCTTTTTTCTTTTTTCTTTGGCTGTCGAATTTTTTTTTACCAGTTGTACGATCGTGAATGGTTACACAGAATCGTGCACGGTGACTCTAGGCATAGTAATCTATTCTATTACCAGTTGCTGTACCGATCCACACTCAATTAAAACATAGCCTCGAATAAGGTCTGATGACCAGCACTCCTTTTTAACACATCCATTCTCAAACCGAGTAGAATCCGGTATCTCAACACTGTCCGGAGACTCATAAAAAGACTTGATCTTGGCTGTTGCTTCTTCAGATAATTGTTGACAGCTGGTTCTTGAATAAATAATACTGCTCAGACTATAGATATGATGCCAGGCTTTATCATCTTCTCTTCCGCCTTTACGGACACATAGTAAGTTGACTCGCTTGTCTGGAGTGCATGTACTGTTTGGCAGATTAAAAAAGGTTGTCTTGTTAATCGATAGCTCTTCAAAGTTGGTATAATGCATGTCAAAAAGGCGTCTGGCAGGCTCACTGTCTGGACACTTCCCATAGACGTTGACCTCCAACAGATACATATTCTTTAGATTCAAACATCGCGCTGAAATATAATTTAATATTTTTGCCTCCATTACTGCTTTTTCAATCCGTAGCTTCTTAAGAATGTGACCCGATATCGGGGTTTCGGTTGTATTGAGAACCAAAGAGGAAGCCGTCATAGAAAGATCATCAAGATTTGGACAATTATCCAATAACATATCGATTGCCAAACAAGTATTTTCACCCAGGATTTCCACTCTAGTCAATTTATGAAAACCATGGAGACTCATCGGGATTAAATGTGTATCATCAAGGATACCCGAAATTTTTAACTGTAGACCAGTTAGACTTGCAGCAGTTGAGCGAGAGGCCGCTTGCAGGACGTCAATGACGGACAATGGATTGGAAGGGTGGATGTACACGGTGTAAAAAAGAGTTCTTAGAGCCGTCTTTGATCGCGCCAAAAGATTAAAGAAAGCTTGAAAAGGCCACGTTTTTGAATCAACACCAGTGATGTGTAGGTTCTCTAAGCACTTGAATGCCACCGGGATGTCTTCTAGGGCACTCACAATATCTGGATCGGGCCCTGAAGCTGCACCGCTGTACACATCCATATGCCATCGTAATGTTTGTATCTGAGGATGCTTGTAAGCCCAGTAAACAATCCACATTAACTGTGTTGTATAAAACCTTGTGGTTAATGACACCACCTGTGTTTTGGATACTTTCGGTAAGGCTATTATGTCTGCATTTGTAAGTGCGTCAAAGTTCCCCACCATTGTGAAGCTTTCCAAATGAGGGACGCGTTGATGTATTGCATTGACATACTCAAATGTAAAAGGCTCATGGCTGTCCCACATGTCCGATGGCAATGCCAGTGATTTGAGTTTGGGAAGGTAACTAAGCGATCGTAGAAAGTCTGTTCGCGTAATGCCGTCAAGGAACATCGTTAGGTCCTCCAAGTCTTTCCATGCCTCCCAATTCAAAGGTGATGTAAAGCATCCCCGGTCTGCCGATCCCTTTTCAAATTCAAGTTTGGAAACACCCTTGCATTCATTTTGTAAAAGTACCAATAACGGCACCGTCAACTTTGCTTGTTTATGAAATGTGAGGTCGCGTGTATACTGCCCGAAATCGAAGGCGTTATGCTCTGGATTAGTAATGGTTTCCGCGAATGAAACGAGCCATTTATGCGACCAAAAAGCTGCACGTCTCCACAGTTCTTTTTGGAAGGCTGACTGCCATCCATGGCACACACATGAACAGGTCTTAACATCAGTTTTTGAGATTCTACCCGCAATCGATTCCAGAATTTCTAAAGGCAATTCAGCTGGTGTCATAAGTGCGTGGGTGTAGGTGTAGGTGTGGGTGAATTTTTGTATTTGTTTTAAAAAAGTAATTAAACAATTAAATATGAGTGTAAAGGATTTTGTGGTTATTTGGTGTTTATGTGCGTGTGTGAAAGAGTATATTTCTCATATATTTTATATATATACCAAGTTTTGTTCGGTCAATGGTTACTCTTTTATTTTATTCGTCATCCAATGGGGGTGACGTGAGATACAGTTTTTCCACTTGAGATTGAGACTATTCTCGAAAAAAAAATTAGGCGAATGAGATATTCTTTTTTTTTCATTGGACGAATAATAATACGGCCGGGGTGGACAGACGAAAACGTTCAAAAAGACGTTTGAAACAAAAAAAAACTCAAACGACTTAGACTTTGACTTTGACTAGCTAGTTTTCTTTCATTGCCAATTAGATTGAGAAGATCATGCTCTTTATGGGAGAAAAATTCCACATGGTGCAAGTTCTAAAAAATTGAGAAACAAAATATTTTCACCTGACGGAAGAGATGATATTATGAGCACATAGTCTTTAATATGCATTTGAACTAATGAACTTTTTCAAAAAAAAAGGTGCGTAGTTATAAATTAATCTGATTGAGTAAGCTCATTTTGAACTTTTGTTTCGAACTTTTTGGTTTGTTCACACCAAATGTCAAGTGTTGCATGAATGAAATTATCGTTTCTTTATGTTTTTTTTTTGGATAATTAACATGTTTTTATCATTTTTATCTTACATTTGTTAATCTATGAATGCTTGCTAGTGAGAACAGCCCTTAGTATAATCCAATCTTGATAAGCCTGAGTTAAAGCAGAAAGCATGTATAGTGTAAAAGGTTACTCGTTTTGAAACTCTGACCGGCTTCCTTCTCTTTCTCTTCACTCCATTTAGAGCATCCACAGTGGTTTGTGTAAACTCGCCGAATATGTAAATTTATATAGAAAATTTAGATTTTTTCATCCAAAGTGATTTGCCTAAATAAATGTTTTAGCCATCTTCTTAGACAATCACGGGGTAGACCTGTTGTCTCCATTGAGACAATTTAATAAGCAATAACCATACTATTCTAAGAAAGACAAGACCGTTTGTCTAAGATTATTTAAATATTTGATACTAAAACAAATACAAACCCATACAAAAATTGAAACTTTTGGTTCAAATAAAATATCAATAATTGGACTTGTTGTTTGGTTTCTTTTACTTTATTTCATATGCTGTATACTTATCTTTTAGCATTTATGATACTACCTCTTCCTAAAGTGTCTTATGTGCTTTTTATGCTGTTATTAATTTTAAGTATTCACTACCCATTTTCACTACTAGTTTGTCTAAATTTATGAAAGCCTTTCAAATTTCTAGAACTATCTTGATAGCCAGCTGTTCTTTTGTGTAAATTCAATTGCTATATGATTTAAAATTTTATCTCTAACTTTAACTACTTCTTTACTGTTTATCTCGATTGGACAGACAATCACCATTGTATATAGTGTATGTGTGTAATAATACGTATGTGATGATGAAAAGAATATATCTGATATTATTGAATTATTTAAGATCTCTGATATCTTCGGAGACTTTAAAGCCCTTTTAGCCCCTGTAGCTCTTAAATCCATTAGGGCCTCTATAATTCTCATATCCCTCGTACTCCTCATACCCCTTCTACCCCTCATATCCCTTAAACCACCCAAAATCTTCCAAGTCTTTAAAGTCTCTTAAGCTTCCAAGGTTTTTACAGCTGCTAAATTCTTTGAATTATCTGATGCTTTTGATACAATCAAAGCTTTATTTAATAGAAAAAATAAAGTTTTCAATTTTTATTATACATTTTTCTTAGTTGATATTATTTAAGAAACAAAGAAAGTAGAGAATTAAAAAATCTTTAAATTTCTATGTTGTTAAGACAATGCCATTAGATTCTTTTCAAATGAAGAAATATTTCAGTTAGTAAACTACTTTATTCATACCTTCCAAAAAGTCATTAAGTAATCTATTTTAAATATTGAGCTAATTTAAAGAAGGTTCTTGCCACGTTACTTTTCCTTGTTGTTTATATCAATTGGAAACGCAATTACATTGTGAGTTATCTGGGCAAGAGTAATTCATGAACTTGTTTTAAAAATATAGAAGGACCAAATGTAAGCCATTTGAAAAGTATCTCCCTTCCTTTTTAAATATATAGAAGATTTAGTGGATATCTAGATTCAGTGCTTCACTAAAGCATTTGAGCAATAAAAATAGATAACTTCAGGCTTAAATAAACTTCTGTGGATGCTCTAACTGTTTTATTAAAGGAAAATGGTATTGGCAAAGCAAAAAAAAATTCAACTATGATCCCTCTAAATGACCTATCATTGCTTTTGGCACCTGCATGAAAGGCAAATATACTGTAAAATCTAAAGACCATCGTGCAGGAGTTGTAGGTGTTTTGTACCGAGCATTAAAGAAAGTATAAAAGGATGAAGACTTTGTGGCAGATATTGACGAGTGTAGAACCTCCAAGGTAAACATAGTAAACATTGTAAGCTTGGTTTATTTGTAAGGCTTGGCTGAAAATTCTTTCATTTCTTTACTATAAAAATTTCCCACCTTTGTAGCCAAAGTAACCTTGCAGTTATTTTAATTGATTTCATAAGCACTTTTGCTTTCCAGAGTTGTGGGAGGGTGTGGAATATAGATGCGAATGCCTCAAAAAATATAGGCCAAATTGCAGAATAGGCTTTAAATAACAGTCATCGACCAGCTTTGTTCTGTTGAGATGGATAGTCTATTCTCTACAACCTATATCGCACTATCGAACACAGTTTTATTTATACGGGAATTTAGATTTTTACAGATAAAATATTTTACAAAAAATGTCTGAAAAATAACTGCTGTATTTAAGATATTCTAATATTCGATATTATTATATAGTAAGTTAGACAGAAGGGTTTGTCAAAGAGGTCTATATAAATCATTATCCAATATGAAGCTCCTTTCTGAAACAAAATAGCAATATTTCTGATCCATTATAATTTGGGATTATACTAAAGAAGTACTTGAAATTATTATCACAGAGCTGTTAAGGTGACTAATATCTGGGGTAACTGGTTATATCTCAATCACTATAGAAAACATAGATAGAATAACTTTTAACAGGATAATTCAATTTACAATGAGATTTTTTAAACATAATAAAAGAGTCTTACAGTGCTTACCGTCCCAACCTTTCCTAAACACAGATATCACCAACGATGATTTGGCTTATCTTTTCTTTATTTAAAACCGAGTTCTTATTGGTCTAAAAAAAAGGAGTTCTCGGAGCCTAGCAACAAGAACCACGCCAGAAAACAAAATCAGGTTTCCCGATCCAAAGTATTCTTTCTTTTTGTTCCTTTTGTGTATAAATGTTTCACATCTATACACAGACACTTATAAAACCAAGCACTCCACAGTACGGAAAATATTTGTAAAAAAATAAATAAAAAAATAATACAAAGGCCATTTATTGATACAAAGATTCTTTGTTTTTGATTATTATTCCTTTTGCTATGTTTCATGAGTTAACAGTTAAAGCAGAATCCAAGGCATGTCTTATATATAGGCATTAGAAAGAAAGCTATAGTGGTTTCAAGAATAAATCTACATGATCTTATAGGTTCGTACTGTTAAGGGCTGTGGTATCTTCATTTTTTGAAAGTAATAGTCAATGTTTAACGGGGGTCTGCTGGTTTTTTCTTCCAGGATTAATTTGAATTCATGGATTGAGACTTTTCGCATGCTTTAAAAACACTATCTAAACTGTTTTCTTGTATTGTTATACTCCTTATTATAATTAAAACACTAATAAAATCAGATTTTTTCTAATACTTTACAATAATTAAGATTTGAATGAAAATAACAAGAGTCCAAGCTTACACACGTTAGTGTTTCCTCGTGAAAATTTATTCAAAGAAAAAAAAAGGATGAGTATTTCAATAACGGCTTTGCACAATCAACGGTGAAGTTCCGTAAGGACAGAACGATTATTCGGAATTGCTTTAGGTTCCGGAGAACTTGATGTATTTTTTTTTGAAGGTTCTTCTTGACAAGGTTAACTAAAATTCATGTACTGATAATATTTATTAAAATATCCTTCCTTGGAAGAATAGCTATAAGAAAGCTAGTGAGTTTAATTTATGGATAAGGATACTTTGTAAGCCCAAAACTAATGTCTATTTGTCAAGAAATAAATAAAAGCTTATAAATATAAATTAAATTGAATTGAATTAAATTAAATTAAATGATATAATATGCTAATCATAAACTATAAGCTACAATTTATGTAAACAATTGGATAAGATGGTTTCAAAAAATAAAACTTTGTTTTGTATAAAGGTAGGTAACTATAAATATTATTTGTATGTATATGTATGTATGTATGTATGTATGTATGTGTGGCTTGGTAGGTATATGCTGGTGTATGTATGTATGTAAGTATGTAAGTATGTAAGTATGTATATGTATATATATATGTATATGTATATGTATGTGTATGTGTGTAAGATACGTGTTTCAATCCAGGTCATCAAGACTCTTGTCCCAAAACTTGCTTTGGCTGCTTGCAGTGGGACTAATAAAATAAACACCTATGTACCCACACCTTAACTCAACATGACCACGCAATAGATTTCTTTTCCAGTCATGAGAATCTGCTGGCCCGGTATAGTTTCTTGGAGGGTTTGTTTTGCTGGGTATATTTCTATTGCGCTGAAAATTGCGGTAGTATTTATCAGCGTACTTTGATTCTTTCTTATTCAATTTCCTGGTTCCATATGAGCAGTCATCGTCGGTATCTTTTTCACATATTCTATATATCCAGGTTGACTCTGTCTTCTTTTCCATCGTGTCACTGACCACAGATGGTGCACAACTATGACCCACGGATGGCTGGGAAGCAGTAGGAGCGATAAGATTAATGAGATTAATGATATTGCTAATAATCCATATGTTGTCTGGTAAGAATATGACAGCTTCAAGAATAAGGACCTTCAGATGAGTATAAGACATGTCAAGCAGTATACGTCCGTCTCTTTGGGAAAATGAGCCCTGTATATCCACACGTGAGAGCCGCATATAGTTCAAGCTTCTACAGCGGAATGACAGGTAGTTGAGCGCAGCCGGTGTAACGAGAGCATATCGGATGTCTATTAACCGTAACCCATGTTTTGGCGAAGTTTTTGATGCATTTCTCCCAATAAGGAGCTTTCCACTTGATATCCTTAGTATTTTGAGACCGGGACATCGATAGAGAAGGACGTCGAGTACTATGGACGCAAAACATCTGTCGAGAGTAAGCTCTACCAGTCGTGGGCAATGGTAAAAAGAAGCGGTGATGTTCTGATAGTTTAGGAACGTTAGGCTGCTCTTAATAAATAGTGTTTCAAGTGTATTTGACGATGAATTTGTGTATCCCCTTATGAGCTGTTTGAGTAATTTCGGCCGATCGGGCGAGAATTTGTATTCATGTCTCAAGTTTTTAATCGGTATATTGAATGAATTCAATAGCTCGCACAGCACAGAATAAACTTTTTCTGAATACATACTTCCAAATATATCTACTGTTTTCAAATGCGGAAACGCATACGGAAGTGATGCGAACAACGATGCTGCCTCGTCTTGGTGATCGTCGGATAAGCTTCCATTCCCGTAGACCTCCCAGCGGAGAGTATGGACACTCGGGTATTTGCATGCAAAATAATATATCCACCGGTTGCTAACACTGCCGGTATCCATACTAAAATCTGTCAGATTGTAGGCCGGTGTTACGTTTGCAATACGCTCCAAGTCTTCCGTGGAAGGAACACAAAAATCCACATTGATAGATAAGCTCTTGAGGTCTGGTAGGTAGAAATGAAGCAACTCGAATATCTCCAATGTGAATACCATTCGTTTTCTCTGCGCTGTCTGAGAAATATCCAGATGTTGAAGGCGGGGTAAACAAGAAAGTATATCCAAAAGTTTTAGCTCAGCGTAAAAAATGTCTCGCTTGTCCAAATTGATTCGTAAAGTTGTCAGTGCTTCCCAGATCTTCCAGTCTGATTTGCTTCCAAAGTTGACTTTGCTTAAAGACCTAGATTCGATCCAAAGTCTTTGTACGTTCTTGAAGCTATTCTGGATGAGGTACAGTTGGTCGTCTGTGGCTTTGAGCTTCTTTGATAAAGTCAATTCTACAACATGCTTTCCGTGTCTTTGATAGGCTATTTGTCTTTTTAAAGGTCTTCCGCATATGCTCAGGAGTCTTTTCTTGTCTGAAACATAGAGTACATTCCACAGGTTTTCTTGAAAGGGCGTTTTCCATCCGCTACAGACAAATGTACAGGTATACTTGTCTTGGATAGAAAGGAGCCTGGCAATACAGGCAATTATTTCAAAAGGTAAATCAGCTGGCAACATGGTAAAGAGGAGTTACGAACCTTGTTTTTCAGAACCAAGAGCATTTCTATTTAATAGCTTTTTTGAACAAGATTCTACGAACCCATAAAAGGCAATGGCGCAGTTTCAGTAGACTTGTTGCATACAGTCAGTACAATGGATTCTGTTGGACTATATAAATATATTGCTTGGTCAAAAAACTTTATGTTGGTTTCTGGAGCACATATTCTGATGTATAAATACCCTTTTTTTAAAGAAAAATATTCAGTAAAATCATTTTATTTTTTGCTTATACTGCGGCTATTAATTGCCATAGAATAGTTATTCATTTTTACCAGAAACATCAATGGACGCAAGAGGTTCATTAATAAACTTTATATGAAGAGCAGCAACTGTTCTGTTGAATGCTGTTATGCTGTCTCTTGACCAGGATTGTAAAGATACTTCTTCGTCTTTATTATTATCATCTTCATCTTCAACATGATTTCTCTCATTCCTTCTCCCCCTCCTCCCTTTTTTTTAAAAAAAAAAAAGATTACCCGGGTTCTTTATCAGTAACTTTCAATTTTTTCTCTCTTCAAGCCAAGAAGAATCTTGGTGATTACATTAATGAACTCTATATTTAAATAAACCCATATTATGGATAGGCTTTGGTAAGTCTGTCTGAAGAAGAAAAGGAAACTTTATTTAAAAGCTTCTTTCTTGGAATTTGTTGCCATTTACTAGAGATTGTTATGATACTACTCATAATTGGCTTTTTTTTAGATGACTTTAAGCTATATATATGTATGTCCTTTCTAAGTAACTTTGCCCAGGAACAGGCTTGACGTCGAAAGCCATCGACAATATTAAAACTGCTCTGTTAAACGCCCAAAATGATTCAATAACAGAATCTAAATTAAACAAGGGCACTCACTTAAACGACAGACTAATATATATATATATATAAATCGTTGATATTGAATCTTTCTCAAAAATTCAGTCAACCGTTTAATTCATAGCAAAACCAATCAAGTACTAATTTGAGGTAGGGAACAATTTAGCTATTACTACCTAATTATATTCCTGGCCCGCCTTTGGGTATGCCATCTCCATAAAAAATATACAAAAATAAAGTAATCAAGTTCAAATTCAAGGCTTTTGGAAGACACGGGGTTAGGCCCCAATTTTCCCATCGTATGTACCAACACATTATTCGATTGTGTTTCCAAAGACCTAATAATTATCAACTTTACAACTTCTTTGTTAAACGTACAAAAAAAACAAATTAAATTAGAGAGAAGTCCGAGCGATATGATACTCACTCTTATGTCTTTCTATAATCAAAATCATTGGATATGGATTTCTCACTGATAGTAATTGAAATATAACTCTAGGCTAACGTACTTTCTATACAGCGAGCTATAAGATACAGCCTTGATGCCTTTGACAGGTTCAATGGGCACTCGTTAAGCATGGTCATATGTATAGATCTTTTGTTTAATTTTGTCTGTTAAGACACAATTCGAGGTGACCTTTTTGGGTTCTACAAATCCACTTGCCCAACCTTGTCCGGAGAAGTCGCAGCAAGCAGAGCAATTGCTGATCATTACGTCTTTGGCAACACAATCAGAAAATGTATATATATATATATATATATATATATATGCTATAAAATGCTTTGTCATTTAGGATTTCTCAGACCACAGATATAGAAGCAAGATTATTCAAAGATGATTGGTTTTTCAGCTTAAAATTTGTTAAACAATATTGTCTTGAAAAGCCGCGATTATCTATACAGCATCTAGACCTCTTTATATTTTTGGATTTTTGATCCAAGGTTTGTCAAGAGCAAAAGAAGAAGAAAAAGAAAAGAGCTATCTATAGATTTAGTGGACTATATCGTGGTTTCTCTTGTTACCTTGTAGAGCCATTACTATTTTTACAATATCAATTTGTGTGCTACTCTAGTTTGGGCTAATTTGTGTATTTTCACAAGTGTGTAGAGGTGTGCTTCAGAAGAAAAGAAAGAAAGTGCGTTAAATCTGGTACAGATATGTATATGGTCCCCCCCTTACTGCAAGTCATCTGACCACTGTATAGATATTTGAAACATTAACCTCGGAATGCATGCGGAAGGCTCCACCACCTATCCAAACACACACACACACACTCTTACACACGTATTTTAAAATAAGGCTTTAAAAGCTTTATAAACAAGACAATATAAATAAAATAAAATCTCTAAAAAGCAAGATTGGATCTGTTATACTGTATTATAAAAGATTCACAAATGTAATTCAATTAGGACTAACTTACTGAATTCACATAAGACTTCAATTGACATATGAAAAAGTACGTTTGTAAAATCCTAGGGGTCCTCAACACTATTAAACCTTCGCACGATTTGGAAAGCTTCATTAGCCAATGATACTGATTTAAATACCAACCATTCAATACCTTGATAGAAACCCAAACAAGTTTCTTTTTCTGGACTGAAAGTGACACTTAATATTTACCATGTATTTCATTGTCCTTGAAGGCTTTACATTATTTTTGTTATTATTTACTTGATAATTTTCTAATAAATCCATTCATAGCTTTGTAAGGGGTGATTGGAGCTGTGGCGTACGTAATTTTTTATCGGCTTAACCAATTGTAGAATATACATCCAAACAAACTATGAGAATAGTGGTCAGCACCTAGTACAGCCTTACGAGATACTATCTAGATTTGATAAATCATACAGGTCTCCTGCAATTGTCTGGCGAGCTGACGAATACACTTCTTCCTTTTACCATGGCATCAACATTACCATTCGAGATCATTTCCAACATTGCAGACTTACTTCCTAAAGAAGACCTAATTCATTGTATTCGGGTTTGCAGAGCATGGGTTACACCAGTTCAAGAGGTGCTATGGCACACAATAAAGATCAATAGCCCTACGAAACTTAACGCGATTTGTTACATACTCGCTAGCAAGAATAATACGAGTGGAATCAATCATTATACACGAAAGTTATTATTGGTGGATGGCCTTGAAACGAGCGATACTCAGCTTCATCTTATTCAGTGTCATTTTCAGAATCTACAGCACCTCTTCATAGAAAGAAAGTGTCTAAGCGATCATGAGTTTGGAAAAATGGCTGATTGGAATATGTGGAAATTACTTGAAGAGCTGGATATCGACTTGGATGGATTGGACTCAGTTAATGCAAAGGACGAGTTTCTCAAGATTCTATCCTGTTTACCTAGCCTTGTAAGCTTGAATCTTACTCAATTCTGGCAAAAGAGAAACTTGGCATTTGAGTTGGGCGACTTTGAAGAGATTCATACCCATTTACCACGCTTAAAAAATATGTCTCTTTCAATCGATATACATGTCTTGTCTGATGAAGACTGGCCTTGCATTCTTGCCGCAGAGCCAGCTCTGGACCTTACCCACTTTAAGCTTAAATTCGGTTGCATGAGCTATCGATGGTTATTCTATTTCGCACGCAAGTACCCAAACATATGCAATCTTGAATCAGAATTTTTTGAACACTACGCGCGCTCAAAGGAGGGTGAAGATGAGGCTATCATGATGTTCTCAAACGCTCCATCACTATTCTCTCACTTGAACACTGTTGACCTTAACACCGCGGGATATTTTGAGCGAATACACACTCTATTTTGGAAGATTTCTCAAGCGATTGACATGCCAATTAAAAATCTTAGCCATGCATTGGTTATATCTCCAAAGAAGGCTTATCTGGTTGAAGAGTCAGTTAATAAATACACGCATTCATTTTCTTCTACTCTTGAGACGCTTTCGATGAGATCCACTGTCCCTTCCAGTCATCTACGGCCCATTACACCAGAGTTCGAATACTGCCCCCGTCTAGTTGAATTAAATCTCGACAAATGTTTTTCGTCAATAGATTTGGATTTTATCTTGAGTCGTTGCAAGGCATTAAAGATGCTGAAGATGAAAACGAACCTGGTTACAATCACCGTAGATGCACATTATACACCCGAAAGGCACAGTCTACAAGAGATTCATATATCTGGTGCAAGTATTGGTTCGCATGTCTTGAGCTATCTATCATTCCGTTGCAGACAGCTCAATTCTATGTATCTTGACAACGTAAAAATATTGGGCAATCTCTGTCCAGAATCAAAAAATATCAGGATCAAAATGCCTTACACTAGCCTAAAGGTTCTCTATTGCGACTATCTTTCATTTCATCCAGCCGAAGATCCCAGGATAAATGACAACATGATTTCTATTCTACTCATTAATCAGACAGGAAATTCCCAATTTCCGGATGAAGATTTTATAATAGAAGATATTGTTGCTCACAATCCCCCGTATTCTGCCAAGCTTGGTTGGTATCTCATATCCCGACATCCTGTGCCTACAGACAGCAAGCGTTTTGAAATGCGAAGGCTTCAAAAAGAAGAAACTGAACGTGCAACCGAGTGCTTTATTAAGTCTCAGAAAAGGCTCGATTTATCTAGTAATACAGATATCCAACACCCCGGTATAAAACACAGATTTGAGTATGAGTTTGATAAACGTCTTACTAATGGATATGCGACGATAATATTTAAGGATATTGCCGATATATATGTAAAACCAAATGTAGCCAAAGTTACTTGGGCTAAAATAAAATAAAGCTCTAGTGGCTTCCATTGCTTTATATATTACAAAATATATGCAGTTAATTGTCGCCTTTACTATTATACTGGGGTTAATAGACCCACAGTCTTGGTTTGACTTTTATAAAACATAGACAAGTTAATACATGCTTGTAAGAAATATTTAAATAAAAAATATAAAGTCATAAAGAAGAATGAAGTGTTAAGAATTTTAAAGAGCTCAATACTTTTTTTATAAGCGAAAGCAACGCAATATGAGGTATAATAGACTTCCTATGAACCTAAATGCACCAATGGCGGCTACAGCCCAGAGGATAAACCCAGTGTAAGAAATCCCGACTGCTTCTTCGTATGCTTTAGCAGTATCAACATTATAAGACGGCAACAAAGATTGAAGGCTTCCGCTTGTTATTAATGCAACAAGTAATGCATTGCATCCTATCCAGGTAAGCACTAGGCGTGTTCTGAACCCTTTGTAATAATCATCTTGCTTTGTTTTTGGCGGTCGACTCTTATATAGTATAGAATTGTTAATAAGATCTTCGATAATGAGCTCTTTCTTTTACCTCTCGTATTATTTCTGGTTTCTGCTGTAAATTTATCAAGGCGTTTTCGTAGTATGCATTTACTGTATCTGGGCTGTAGGATAGCTCCATTTCTACAGCCTCGATACCTTTTTCGTTGGTCGATGTGTGAGCTACACCCAAATCCATTTGTAGCGTATTATCTCCTTTAGTTCCCCAGCTGACATCATGAGTATTACAAAATGCATAGACATTCAAGATGTTGATATATGTTGGCAGCAGTAACAAATACTGCAAGAAACTAGAAAACATATGCCACGGATCCATATATAGCAGACTAGATATTACATAGAGGCCATATGTCGATGCCAAAGACACAACCACATTACAGAAGTTGGATTGTCGCATCATGATTAAAATGTTTCCCATTGCACCTTCCTTGTTCCATTCTTCTGACTCTGTACCATGTCGAATGCTCTGGTATGACATCCAGCCACCTGCAAAGAGAATATAAGTCATTATGAGACTATATGCCATTACAGAAATAATGAACATCCATTTTGATCTATAGGTATATTAATGTACATATATATATATGTGTGTGTTAGCCTACACTTATATGTATATACAATATCCCATTACCCTTGAGGTCTGTTTCCCATTGAGCAGATGAATGCAACAACAAGTAAGAACATATAGAGTCCTCGTAAGAGTTGAAACATTATATTGCCCCATCCACCTCCAAACGGATCCATCTCCGGACTTGTAAGGGATTTAGTTACAAAGTAAAATGTAAGATAAAAGTTGGCCTGCAAATCAAACAATCATCAAATACGAGCCAATACTGCTTTAACAAAACTTACCATGCCAAGCCAACTAAAAATCAAGCTTATGAAATTAAATATGAATTCTAATGTTAATGCAAGCTTTCGGCTCATAGTATGATTTGTACTCCAGATACGTTGAAAGTGATAAAGTGAGTATACCGCAGCAAAAAAACTGCCATTCAACCAACGCCTCCTCTGGGATATGAATTCTGGTAATTGGTCTGGACAGTCAGTCTCACCAAACGCACTCTGCACATACTTTAGCACCCATTTTTGATGTTTTTTAGCCAACAGTTCAAAGCATAGGATTCGATCCTCAGCAAGGTACATATTGGCTGTAAATATATCCGAGTCTCCACTATTCTCATGCCCTTCACCAAGAAAGTATTTCTGTAACGGACCTAGAATAATTGAAACCATAAATCCAATATATATTTTTCATTTGCATTTTCATTTGCATTTTCTTAATATCACATAAAAGGAATAATTAATCTTACCGTTTCCATAAGCATCGTTTTGCAAAGCTGCATATCGATACGCCGAAAATGCGCCTGGCAATACGGAAATATATCCAAATACACTTTCAAGTGGTTTATCAAGAATATTTGACATTTTGTACTCAAAGTTCTGGGCTGCAACCAAGGGGTTTAATAGATCCAAACAAGCAGTTCCTTTCATCACACAGATTTCGCCGCATGCACCCCCGACATTTTCATTAGTAGCAAATGCCTTCCAGAGGTGATAGATTGATGTGTTCCCGGGTCTAGTTCCAACATCCAACAGAACACAAATATTGGGGTTCAAGACTGTCCCAAATGCATTGAAAAACCACCGATGAGAATTGATCTTCTTTGCGTTTTGTTCTTTGAGGCAAAAAAGGGTTTGGACCGGCACAATTCCTTTTTCAGCGCCCTTGATTTTCATGTCTGAGTCTATAGATAGCTGTGTGGTGTACTGCATTGTGTGATAAGGAGGTAGGCAAGTAGATTGGTATATAATGTGTAAGATCCGATGACACATAAACAATCATATATACATTATATGCATGTTTGTTCTTGCACTCACTTCGTACAGATGCGCTTGAACAGGCTTGTCATTAACCATATTTTTGGCCACACCTTTTTGATATATTCCCATTGTTGTCAGCACATCCAAGACACGAGGATCGCATTTCTGGCGCCCGTCTGCTACAATACACACTACTACCTTTTTCCATCCTTCTGCGTTCCATACGCGTGAACGAGAGCGAGAGCAAAGGTGGGCAATATTCTTCATCACACCATGCATTGTCCGACAGAACAAGACCTCGTCTTCCTAAAAGAAAGAAAAAAAAAGAAATCCACACACATTTTAGTTGAATTCACAAATGAAGTAATATTTGTTTTGGCAATAATTTACGTTGTACATTGTCATTACGATAAATAGCTCTGTCTGTCTTTGCATACACTGAGGACGTAGTGTGTATCCACTTGTTGCAAATGCATCTGGATCACATGTGACAGCAGTGTAGCGCATCTGGCTAAACTCTTTGTCCTTGCGTGCACTTGCTTCCAGAAGACGTGCAGGTACAGGACAGTCCAGTACCAGGTTTCCGTTGACCAATTCGACCGTCGTAGTCTTTCGCGGTAAAGATGGATTTACAAATCCACCTACCATTTGGGTCATAGGCGGTAAGCTTGACACATTAGGCCCACTACTACTCGGACCACCTGCATGATAATGGTTATGGGGGGTTGGGAACCCGGTGTACAGAATAGGCCCGTAATTATTGTTGGTTTTTGGGGTAGGTGGGCAAAAATGGGGAGCTAGAGATTCACGTAAAGGGTGTCGATCGGGAAGATAGTGCTGCATAGTGGGCGTGGGTGCGGCAGAAGTGGCTGTATTTTTTGCTGTGGTTGCATACACAGCAGCAGGATGGGACTGTACACTTGGCATGGCCAAAAAAGGGTGTAAATGTTGGTTTTTGAAACGATGTCCAGGTGTAGAGAGCGTATGTGCTTGATCAGAGGCTTCCATATTTGTTGAAACAGGGACTACTTTTGGTGATAGAGTGCGTAAGTGAGACTGAATAATATGTGGAGATTGATAATTGTGAAGATATCCGTGCTCGTCGCTGGCCATGTCAATTAGGTAAAGGTATAGATATATAAATATAAATATAAATATATATATATATGGGTATGTATATGAAAGGAGAAGAAGGTCAGGACAAGATCATCAAAATAATTTATGCTCTAGGTCTGCTTGTTTTCCTTTTCATTCCTTCAGCCTCTTTTATAGACATTTTGCTTGTATCCCAAAATAATAATAACGAAGAAAGTTCTTTTTTGACCCCTTTATAATTCCATTTTAATAATCACTTCTATATATATATATATACATAGTGATAAAAATAATAATACTTGCTTGGAATAATTCTTATTTTACTGCAACTGATAATGATTAAAGGTTGGTCTACTGCTAATATTACCAATAAAGTACAATTATATATTATATGTTGAATTCTTATTCAAGTCAAACATTCTCAATCCGTTCATACTATGACTTTAACAGAGGCGCATATTATCTCAATGTCTAGATTACAAACCAGACCAGATCCGTCGCCTGCCAAAGATCATGTCATACATTTTCAACCCTCTCTATCTCTCTTACACCCCCTCTTTTTTTTTGAACAGTAACAAAAGATAATTAAGATAATAATATGAGGTACACAAACGTAAAGAGATCGTACGACCTCGTTTATCTCTTAAATCAAATTGTCCAATTTTCGGGTTCAATTCTTCCACTCAATAACACTTCATTAATTAAATAAAGGTGCGATACGATGCGACATAAAGCGATAGAGAAACTGTATTTCTTTGTCATTTGTTATTTCTTTTTATTGTACTGAAATTGATTCTGACAGTCGAGCTCGATAGATAAAGAATAATTTCGTAATTTATTTCTCCTGCAAAAGAAAAAGAAAAATATAGAAAAAAATTGGTATTAGATAAATGGTAAAACATACAACAAAAATCTTCGTATGAAACTAAACACAGAAAAATTAACTTACGGGGATCTCGACTTCACCAGCATCAATAGCGTCGCACAAGTCCTTGGGGCTCTGACCATCAACGGTGCAACCAACAGAGTTGGCGGTACCGAGGATCTCCTTGACAGTACCCTTAAGCTCACGAGCAAGGGACTTGAAGCGCATGGTGCGGGCAACATCGATAATAGCCTCGAGGGAGACGTTACCGCTGTGCTTGATGTTCTTCTCCTTCTTGCGATCTCTTGGGGGCTCGTTCAAAGCCTTGATGACAAGGGAAGAGGCGGAGGGAACAACGGAGACCTGGGCCTGGCGGTTCTGGATGGTCAACTGAACGGTGACACGGAGACCCTTCCATTCCTTGGTACCCTTGGCGATATCTTCTCCGACCTTCTTGGGAGACAAACCGAGGGGACCGATCTTGGGAGCGAGAGCAGAAGAAGCACCGACCTCACCACCTTTATTTTTGTTAATGTATTTGAAATGGATGTAAAGATAATTAGTTTTTTATGCTCAAATGACATTCTCGACATTTGGACCACCAAGTCCAAAAGGAAAGACAAAAAAAATTAGATAAATAATAGGCAAAAAACTTACCAGTGGCGCGAAGGTAGATGATCTTAACCTCAGAAGGATCAAACTTGGGAGGCATCTAGTGTGGTGATGTAAGAGAGGTTCATGGCAATATTGAATAAGTATCGGACAGATGGATGCATTGATTTTCACACTGCTTTTACCTTGATAGTTTGAAAAGGAAGGTGCAATAACTTCACAGCCTAGCATTCATTACATGAGTAATATTTAATCCCCGATAGGGAGATGCGGGCCGGACTGCCATTCGCATTTTGCTTATGAATATAAAAAAATATAAAAAAAATGTATATATATTTATATAAAAATTGGGCCTCCATTTTCTATGGTTCTGACACTTTACTTTTATGGTATCGAGTAACTGGATTTTCCAAAAGAAATAATAAAAAAAAATTATCGCATTTTTGAAAAGATTTGTAACAAGATTCTATAGCTTCTCTCTTATTCTTTATCTATTTATCTATTTCAACTTTTGAATCGTTTTTAAATCTGCTCACATATATCGGCAAAGAAACACTGTAGATTAGCACAATGGCTATATTTACTTCCATACAAGAGCTAGATAATAGTAATATATTAAGGATTAATAAAGACAGACAATTGAAACGAGCTTTAACATTTACTGCATTATATAATATTATGAAAACCAATCGCAGTTTCTTTAGCAAATAAAACACTATTCTGTGGGGAGCAATATAATAAGGAGATATTGGATCAAGAGAAGAAATTTGTAAAGACTTTGAGCCCAACTATGTAAAAGAGTTAATCCAAACAACATTCATCTTATATCAGTAATACTCAATAAGCGGTATAACAAGGGAATAACTGGCGATAATCGTATTTTGAATATATATATACACGCCTTTGGTTAATAATCATGCCATTTGACAGTAAACATTCCGTTGCAATATTTAATCCTTTGATTATATGATTCATACGATATTTAATCCTGAGGTTTTGTAAAGCTCATTCAGTGTATATCAAATATTTAAGTAATTGCTTAAACAATGCTTAAATTATATCCATGATTAAATTTTCTATTTTCCATGCACTTTGTAATTCTAGTATTGAATACATGTAAGCTGGGAGCAAATAGCACAATGTATAGATGTTATATATATATATCAGTAGCTATGTTACTAAACCATGTCCTCTTGCACTCAATATACTTAATAACGATTAAAATCTCGTTATAGTAATAAAAATATCGGATTGATCTCCCAAGTCTCTGCGCATTTTTTCTCTTGATCCAATATGTCTTATTATATTATTTTTTTTTTTGCTGGAGTAGCTGTAATCGGTTTTCACAGTATTATACAATGCAAGAAATGCTACAGCTCGTTTCAAGGTTTTGTATTGATTACTCTTGTTATTAATGTTCTCCAGTTCTTGTAGGAAAGTAAATAGAGTCATTGTGTTAATCTACAATGTTTTATTGCCGAGATGTGTGTCCAACTTTAAAAACGATTCAAAAGTCTTTTATTTAAAAAAAAACAGCAAGAGAGAAGCTATAGGATCTTGTTACAATACTTTTTACAAAAAGAAGTCTGTATGCGTTTACAACAATATAGACGTCACTTTATTTGGGTAAAGCAACCGTGAGGTGCGCACAGAGATTCCGAATCCTTTTCCGGGCTGGAACCGGCTGGGTCCGTTTTCTTTCCAGACAGACAGACAGACAGAGTAGCTGCTCCTTTTTAATATTCCTTTTTTTACTTTTTATGCACCATGAGTGACGGATTGCTTAGAAGGCATGCCCACATGAATTCAGGTAAAAGAAGATTATCAATAAAAAAATAGAGTAGAATAACCACGTATATAAGTATATATCAAAATAGTTGTACCTTTTCATTCTTTATCATGTTGAGGTCTATCAATTTGCCTAAACTTGGTTTACATAAATAATAATAATAACAATAATCATTGCATAATACAGGTGTCATCCCAGCATCTGTTGAAGAACTTGCTCAAAAGCATGATGTACTTTTTCAGAAATATTCTCAGTAATGTCACTCTTGAGATGATAATGATCGTTCATCTCTAAACTACTTTTACTTGTTCTTGTACAACAAATACAGACTTAAGGCTCGGCATGTCGTATTGAAAAACGCCGTCATCAAGGCATGCTTATTATTATTATATATACATATAAATATATATATATATACTTATACATACATACAAACATATGTATTAAGGTACATAAGAGTCATGTGTACTGCGGGTCTAACTCTGCTAGTTTAGGAAAAATCTAATAATGCTGTCCTTCACGGAAACGTCAAAGAAAAAGAGAAAGAACTGAGAAAGGTTGGAGACTTTTATGTGTACAATACTTGTACGATTAAATAACTAAAAAAAAGAAATTATGTGTATGTTAGCTACAAGAGCAGCTTGACCTTTTAGCATTTCACAACGAAAGGCTCACCAAGCGTATCGATGCCTTCCAAGAGGGAGATACTGTAAGAAATTCTTTTTTTTTGGAAACATTGACTTGTTAATGGCTTTTATAAATAAATGATAATCGAGTTGGTATACTAAAGCTTCTTTTTTTCTTTTACTCAAATTATAATAATTATATAGAAAGGATCTCATTTTTCTCTTCTTGGTGGACCCGTAAAAAAAGAACTCGAAAAAAGTACACAGGCATTGGATGCTGCGAATCAAGATCTTGCAAAGAAAATTGAAGATAATGGTAAAAAAAAACGATAGAAATGAAGAATATTTTGGAATGGGACAAATTTGCAAACATATGAACAAATATTATCAAATAGAACGTCTTCATGAAGAGCTGTCAGAGGTCAATCATATCTATACAGAACATGCCAACAGACTACATGCTCAAATTTCAGAATATGAGAGAAAAATCGAGGAAATGCAAATGGAAACGTCTACTTTACAGAGTGAACGAAGAAATCAGGCTGTTGCTCTAAAGAACGATAAGGCTACTCTACGAAACGAACTAGAACGGCTTCAAGCTGAACTTCAAGAGTAAGTAAACCTTGATTCAATTTACTCGACTTGCTAAAAAAAATATCTGTACCTTTAGAAAAAATCGAATTCTTGGGGAAAATGAAAACCACATGCGACAGGGGGATGTGCATTTGGTAGAAGAAATTAACAGTCTTCGTGGCATACTACTTGCAAAGGCAGGGGATGTAGAAGGAAGAGATACAGATGAGTTGTTTGAAAACGTAAGTTTGCTACTATAGTGTGTGTAGAGATATTCAATAACAAGATTGGATTTTGACGGATTTTTATATGCAGAAAAAACTAGATCAAATAATTCCTGCCTGTGATGCCCTGCGAATCTTGGAAGAGCAAGCTAAAAATTACATTTACGCTCTTCGTGAACAGGTAAAAAAGTGGTAACTTTGTTTTTTTTAGAAAGAGTAAAGTTGAATTGAAAATTGACTAAAAGAAAAAAAAATCTCCCTTTTATACTCCATTTTTTGAATGTTGAACTTACAGACAACCCTCAAAGGTTTACCGCATGAAATTGCTGAGAAGCTAAGAATTTCCAGTGAGACCTGGTCAGAAGAAGTCCAGAAATTAGCACAGGCATTAGAAGAATCTGAAAGTAAGTTTTAATATTATATATTATCATTAAATGAAATTTTTATTTATTTATATGTTTGTTCTCTTTCGTTTCCTCCAGCCAAAGCAAAATCTTTGTCGGAAAATTCTACCAAAAACAGTCAAAAAATCGAACAACAGACTGCAGAATATATTTCAAAAATTGCAGACCTTGAAAAGACTATGAACGAACTTCAAGCAAAACTACACGACCAGGAGCAACTGGAGAGAGTAAAGCAATTGGAAATCAAGAACGGTGAACTCGAGAGTCGTATAAAACAGCAGGAGCATGAGCTAGAAAAAACACTCCAAGAACTAGAAAATATCCGATCCATCCCACTTCCTGTAAAAGAAGACGTAATACCCAAAGAAACAAAGGATCAAGAGGTCCAGGTTAATATCGAACTTCCTGTTCCTTCTCCTGTTGCCGAGGAAGTAACTCAAACAGAAGAAAAAGAAAAGGAAGACGAAAAGGAAGAACCATATGTATATCCTCAGGCAGTAATTGAATCTAAAGAATCCATAAAATCAGAGACAAGCTCTTCAGAAGATGAAGACGTTTTTGTATACCGCGGCAAAGACTCTTTGCCGGAGCCAGAGAATAAGGCGAGAGACGAGAAACTGGTGGTTGAATCTCTTCCTATTCCCGTTAAAGTACAACCAATATCTCAAGGAGATGATGAGATAGATACCCAAAAGTCTGAAGAAACAGAATCTGTAAATGCAGATTCAGAAAAAGATTACGTGACACCTGAAAGTGTTGCTGCAAGAGAGGCTACTCTTAAAAATTATTATGAAATGCAAATACGACAATTGACAGAAAAGGTCAGTAGAAATGTGCATCTAATTTTGTTTTTTTGAGCATTTCTTAAAGAATACAAGCTAATATATATTTATAGTTGCAAATGGCTGACAGCAAGGCAGTACGATTCTGCAAGACTGCCAATATACTAAAAGAGAGGCTGGTAGAAAGCGAAAAAGAAGCAGAGAAAGAGAGTGAGAGATACAAACAACATGCTCAAGAAAAAATAAAGAAACTCCAGAATGATATTAATATATTAAAGGTAACGGAAGAATCCATGAATTTAATTATATAGGATATAGTATATATGTACTCCAAAGATGAACATTTTATGCTTATTATTGATTATGGTTTTTTAGGAGGAAATGGTAACAAAGGAAACAGGTTTTAATAGCCAAATTAATATGATGACCGAATATATTTCTCAACTAAATCAAAACCATTAAAGCTGTCTATTCTATGCTCTCAATAATAATAATAATAATAATAATAATAATAATAATAGTAATAATAATAATGTACACTGTAAATTCAATAAACCCCTCATATATTTACCAAACATGGTTGGATCCCCAGTCTTGTTGTCCAACTCTAATTCGATTAAGTATCGTGTATTTATTACGTTGATTTACTCGAATGACTTGCACTATTTTTTAATATTTAATATCATATATTCTGTATTAGAAAATATGTATAAATCGAGAAAATACCCTGATAATTAATATATCATATTCTATATATTTAAAAAGGAAGGGAGATACTTTTCAAATGGCTTACATTTGGTCCTTCTATATTTTTAAAACAAGTTCATGAATTACTCTTGCCCAGATAACTCACAATGTAATTGCGTTTCCAATTGATATAAACAACAAGGAAAAGTAACGTGGCAAGAACCTTCTTTAAATTAGCTCAATATTTAAAATAGATTACTTAATGACTTTTTGGAAGGTATGAATAAAGTAGTTTACTAACTGAAATATTTCTTCATTTGAAAAGAATCTAATGGCATTGTCTTAACAACATAGAAATTTAAAGATTTTTTAATTCTCTACTTTCTTTGTTTCTTAAATAATATCAACTAAGAAAAATGTATAATAAAAATTGAAAACTTTATTTTTTCTATTAAATAAAGCTTTGATTGTATCAAAAGCATCAGATAATTCAAAGGATTTAGCAGCTGTAAAAACCTTGGAAGCTTAAGAGACTTTAAAGACTTGGAAGATTTTGGGTGGTTTAAGGGATATGAGGGGTAGGAGGGATATGAGGAGTACGAGGAATATGAGAATTATAGAGGCCCTAATGGATTTAAGAGCTACAGGGGCTAAAAGGGCTTTAAAGTCTCCGAAGATATCAGAGATCTTAAATAATTCAATAATATCAGATATATTCTTTTCATCATCACATACGTATTATTACACACATACACTATATACAATGGTGATTGTCTGTCCAATCGAGATAAACAGTAAAGAAGTAGTTAAAGTTAGAGATAAAATTTTAAATCATATAGCAATTGAATTTACACAAAAGAACAGCTGGCTATCAAGATAGTTCTAGAAATTTGAAAGGCTTTCATAAATTTAGACAAACTAGTAGTGAAAATGGGTAGTGAATACTTAAAATTAATAACAGCATAAAAAGCACATAAGACACTTTAGGAAGAAGTAGTATCATAAATGCTAAAAGATAAGTATACAGCATATGAAATAAAGTAAAAGAAACCAAACAACAAGTCCAATTATTGATATTTTATTTGAACCAAAAGTTTCAATTTTTGTATGGGTTTGTATTTGTTTTAGTATCAAATATTTAAATAATCTTAGACAAACGGTCTTGTCTTTCTTAGAATAGTATGGTTATTTCTTATTAGATTGTCTCAATGGAGACAACAGGTCTACCTAGTATATATATATATATAATGGTTAGATCAAGTTTAATTATCCTTGGGTTTAGTTGATTTATATGCATAGGACAAATATTATCCAAGTAAAAAACACACACACACACAATAAAGTAAATGGCTAATAAATCTCACTTTGAAGAATACAACAATCTTCTATTGCTCCCTCCTAACGTTTCAAATCATAGAACCATTGTTTACAAGTAATAAGCATACTATTTTTTGGATTAATGCACTCGTAAATAACTTAAGAAATATATTCCCGCATGTATCCACTTGTCAAATTAGTTATCGTAAATTCTATTCTCTTTGGAAATAGTTCATAATATTTAAGAATTTGGCTATTTTAGCGACTTAACAACAGAAATAGAAACATCCAAGTGTAATCCTGTATATCTATACATCAAAAACAATCTATTGGATCTCAAAGTTAAGTATTACAGCGAGTTTTTTTTTTAGTCAAGGAAAAGGTGTGGTAGGTTTGGCTTTGAGATTTAATTATATCCCTCATCAGATTTTCAAAAAAATTATCAAAGGTGTACACGAGCCTTTGATTGCTAGAAGAAAAGAAAAGAAAATACGCTAATTACCCAATAATAAACTCTCAGAATAATTCTGTTAAGGCATGGGCCGGTGAACCTAATCGATTCCATAACCTTGGGTGCACTTTCAATGTAATATGAAAACTAGCCTTGGTTTGTTTGTTTTTTCTTTTGACGTGTGGTTTGAGTTAACCCCTCATCAGAATAGACTCAGAATCTACCTTCAATTAAAGCGAAATTATAAAGTGTATATCAAGTCTGATTTATTTGAACTGGTAGAATATCATAGTGTGATTTGTATTAAAAAAAAAGTCTCGATTCTACAGCACAATAAATCGTGTAAAACAAAATATCACCTTTACTATATTGTTTTTTTTATTGATCTCACATTTATTACTTTTGGGGATATTCACTAAGATGGTATTATTATTACTCTCAATTGTGTCTGTGTGCCTTCAAATATTTTAAGGTCACTACAATATCAACCTGTGTAGTACAATCAATGCTCTCATAAATTGCCTCTTCTAGATATATCCTCTATAGTCTCTGAGGGAACACAGGATATATAGAAAGAGGGAAAAGGAGACATGCGTTATCTTTAGAGATTTTGTAACAATAACTGACCCAGTGAGCCACTTGTCTTTTACATACATCACAAGTTATGGATCCTACGTCAATTGGATCTACAGTTTCAACTGAAAAAGCAATTGACTGTATTCACAAAAGCTTATAACAATATTTATTGTTTAATCTTGGCTAAATGTATTCTTATGAATAAAAAAAAACAAATGACCAGTAATACTTTTCATATTGCATTTATTTATACATATAAAAAATCAAAACTAAAGAGATCAACGTAAATATAGTATTTTCTATGAGACATTTGCCAGCTTGAGTTCAAATGCGTGAATACAAGGTAACACAATGGTATGTAAGTGAGAGTGCAGTAAGCATTCAAAGTAACAAAGCAGTTCTTCATCCGAAACTCGCTGCTAGCACTCTTGTCCTTTTTTTATTCTTCTTCTTTCTTTAATTCATAAATACACCAGTAAATAAGAGTATAGCTGTTACACTTGTTACACTGCAAAATATGTCAATTTCCTCTTCAGGTAGAAAGGTAGGACATAGAAATAGAAAATCGCTCATGTTGAGTCAATTTCTGGATGAGAGGATAACTTCAAATGGTCTCTCAACTGGCCACTGTACCAACGTATCGATGTATTTCTAGCCAAAACTAGATGAAAAGTTATGAAAACTCAATCTTGTGAACACAACAAGACTATTAAAAATCACTTATCATTTCCCTCCTTTTTGTGTAAAATCAAAACTGAATGAAAATGATCTCTAGTAACAATAATATATAAGAAGTGTACATATGATAAAAAAAAAATTTTTTTTGATACATGAATTCCAGTAAAAAAGTTATATTGTCGCTGTCTTGGCAAACATACAAGTATTATTATTGATAAAAAACACCCGTAGTCAGTAAGCGTATGGACACATGGGTGTGTTTTTTGCTGATCTATATTTGAGAGTAAATCGCGCTTCGTTTGGACTACAATCTTGTCCAAAATTGGTTGAGCGATTAAAAATCATATAGAAACTTTCTTTTTTTTTATGCTTCAAGCTATCACTAAGTAAACTTGAGTTAATAACGCTATAGACTGATCATTAAGAGGCATTTTGCAAATATGCTTTCCTTTTCAGCAACATTATAATAACTAAAACAAATCAAGATTTCCAAAAAGGACAGTCCACTTACTTATCATAATTATTATGGTGAACAGAAAAATGACATATTTTTCAATCTCAATATATATATATATATACCCCTCATTTGATCCCCATTATCATATTCCCTTAGTATATCCAGACCATTTCTTGTAATATCTTCATAATACTCAAACAAGTCTTCTTCAATTGAACCGATCGAAAAAGGACTCTACTAATGAGCAGTAACAAGAAAGACATCGAAGAAGGCGTTGAACACACCCGTGTCATTCATTTCGAAGACGCAGAAATCAAGCGTGATGGTGCCAACCTTTCTCATATCCCTCTCCATGGTCGAACCGGTACTCATGAATCGGCTGGGCAAGTGATTATTGCCTACCGTACTCTCTCTATTACTGTATCCGAGAACCAGACCAAAGGAAAAACAAAGGCCAAAAAGAACGACTTGAGTGAAGGTAAAGAAAAAAAAATACGATGACTAATTGTTTGATTTTTAATTTTACTAATTTAATCGTTTTAGATCTTACAAATGTCAACTACCACAACCTTTCTATTCTTGAGCTCTCTCAGCAGTACAGTACTAGCATAGAAAGAGGTCTTGACAAGGAACAGGCCACAAAACGTAGCGCTCAGTACGGCAAGAATGCAATCTCTCCTCCTCCTAGTAACTGGGGAAAGAAGCTATTCAATTATTTCTTTGGTGGTTTTTGCAGTCTCTTGTGGTTCGCTAGTATTATTTGCTGGTGAGTAGCCTTGAAAGCAACTTTTCTATATAAAAAGAAGCACACTAATTCATTCAATCATTTTAGGATTTCATGGAAACCTCTTGGAAACCCAAACCCAGCCCCTCTCAACTTGGCTCTGGCTGTTATTCTTATGTTCGTCGTCTTTTTGCAAGCCTTTTTTAATGCTTGGCAAGATTGGTCTACCAACCGTGTAATGCACTCTATCAACAACATGCTTCCCACCCAAACACTGGTACAAAGAGAGAACAATGTGATTACTATCGATGCTGTTGGTCTTGTCCCTGGTGATATTGTCCATGTCAAGATGGGAAACAAGATCCCTGCAGATCTACGCCTTATTGAAGTTTCTGACGATCTCAAGTTCGATCGTTCTGTTCTCACTGGTGAATCCGAAGCCATTCCTGGTACTGTTGATGCTACAGATTCCAACGTTCTCGAGAGTCACAACGTGGCTATGATGGGTACCCACTGCTTGAATGGATCTGCTGTTGGTGTAGTAGTGGCTATTGGTGACAACACATTGATGGGTCGTATTGCCCGTCTTTCTCTGGCTGATAATGGAGCCCGTACACTTTTGCAAATTGAAATTTTACGCTTTGTTATCATTATTGCTGTTCTTTCTATCACTGTTGGTGCTGCTTGTATTATAACCTGGGCCGCATGGCTTCGTGTCTCTTATCCTGACTTCTTGACTGTTTCTAATGCTTTGATTGCTGTTATCAGTGTTATCGTTGCTTTCGTCCCAGAGGGTAAGTTTTATATATTTGTGTGTGTATGCAAGGTTTGGAATATGTTACTCAATTTTTTTTAAAAAACTTTGTTTAGGTATGCCTGTTGCTGTTACACTTTGCCTTACACTTATTGCCAACCGTATGAAGAGAAACAATGTTCTCTGCAAGGTTCTTACCACAGTCGAAACTCTTGGAAGTGTCAATGTCCTTTGTTCTGACAAAACCGGTACTCTCACCGAAAACAAAATGTTTGTGTCTGATGCTTGTATCTACAACGAATATTTGGCCTCCCATGTATGCCGTGATGTTTTGGTTCAAAGAGATATCGAGGTAGTCAACAAGTATGCCCTCTCCCACCAGGTTGGCCATCTCCAGGCCGTTTCTGCCCTTTGTAACGGATCACGCTTTGACCCTGAAACCATGCATGAACAAGTACGCTTGAGAAAAACTTTTGGTGATGCCACAGATTCTGCTATCCTTCGCTTTGCTGAGCAGACCAACCCTTCGTCCACTGTCGCCGACTGCCGTGAAAAATCAGAAAAGATTTTCGAGATTCCTTTCAACTCCAAGAACAAATGGATGCTTACTATTCACCGCCCCTTCCACCCTGACATGGCCAACGCTCTCTCCTCCAACACAACGCACGTATCCACTGACGATTGGGTTCTGATCTGTAAGGGTGCCCCTGATGTTTTGATGAACCGCTGCACACATGTTATCTTGCCAGATGGTGTTGAGGAGCCATTGACTGATAAGCGCCGTGAATTGTTGGAAGAGGTTCAGACTCGCTGGGCTAATGACGGAAAGCGTGTTTTGTTATTGGCTCGTCGTGTAATTAAAGCTAGCGATACCCCCAATAATATCCAGGCCGGAACATCAAGCTTTGGTGCCTGGGCTACACAGATGAACCAGAACTTGGTTGTAATTGGACTTTTGGCTATTGTTGATCCTCCTCGTGCTGACAGTGCAGAGACTGTAAAGATTTGTCGTCGTGCTGGTATTCGTTTCTACATGGTTACTGGTGGTAAGTTTTAGCTCTTCTTCTTTTTTTTGTTAAAAAAATTGTATATAATGATTTGTTTTATTGACCATCTTGTTCAATAGATTTCCCTACTACTGCTGCTGCAATTGCTCGTCAAATTGGTATCTTTACCACCGCCCATCCCAAGACTATCAAAGACCTTGATCCTTCTAGACCTATAGACCAGATCCCACGATATATCCAAACTGAATTCAACAATTCTTCCAGCATTGAGCTCACTCAGAAGGGTTCCTCTGAGACCACTCTTGAGGATTCCACTTCCCTTCTGTTATCCGGAACCGATCTTATTACTCTGAACGATAACCAGTGGGAGCAGGTGTGCCAGTTTGAAGAGATCGTATTTGCTCGTACTTCTCCCGATCAAAAGCTCAGAATCATCAAAGAGTTCCAAAAGCGTGATAATGTGGTTGCCATGACAGGTGACGGTGTTAACGACGCTCCTTCTCTCAAGGCTGCTGATGTTGGTGTAGCTATGGGCGGTGGAAGTGACGTGGCCATTGAGGCTGCTGACATGGTTCTCTTGGACCAATTCTCAAGTATTATTGCTGCTATCGAAAACGGTCGTTTGGTGTTTGATAATCTCAAGAAGGTTATTCTTTACTTGCTCCCGGCTGGTTCCTGGTCTGAGTTGTGGCCTGTGGTTGTCAACATCTTCTTTGGATCTCCTCAAACCCTGTCCTCTTTCCAGATGATTGTTATCTGTGTTTTGACTGATCTGATGCCCTCCATGGCTTTGATGATGGAGAAGCCAGAAGCTGGTCTTCTTACACGCTTACCCCGTCGACCCAAGCAAGACCGCCTTGTGAATGCTCGGTTATTGATGCAGGCTTATGGTTTTATTGGTATTATGGAGATGGCCTCTTCTATGTTTATGTTCTATCTCTACCTTGGAATGAATGGCTTGCCCCCAAACAAGGTCTTCTTCTCTTTCTCAAACTTCAACAGTCCTGATGGCTATATGGGTTACACTGCCAGCGAAATCAGCAGCCTCCTTTACACCGCCCAGTCAATTTACTTTGTTAACCTGGTCATCTGCCAATGGGGTAATGTCCTCTCTACACGTACTCGCCGCCTCTCTCTCTTCCAAACAAATCCTCTGTGGGGACCCAGCCAGAACTTGTATCTCTTTGCTGCCATGATTGGCTCGCTTATTATTGCGCTGATTATTCTTTATGTACCCGTATTCAACACATACCTCCAGACTTCACCTATTCCCGTCAAGTTCTGGTTCATTCCCTTTGGATGGGCTGGTATGATTATGGCTGCTGATGAAACGCGCAAATTCCTTGCCCGAACATACCCCAAGGGATTCTTTGGAAAACTTGCTTGGTAAAAGCAAAAAAAAAATTGTATACATATTTATATAGTTTTTACTTTATTTTATTTTTTTGACCAACTTGTGTCTGTCTACCCCTTACATCCATCACCTGTGTATCATTTTATTTTTCTATTTACCCAGTTACCCAGTTACTCTAGTATTTGCTTTATCGTCATCATATATCCAATAATAAATATTAATAAATAATCATTAGAAATACATATATAAAACAACATTAATAATAATAGCAATTGTATGTATCAAATGCTTGAATCTGTTTGTCTAAATATAAAGACTTTCTTGTTTCTTTTGGAGAGGAGGAGGGCGATGAAATGACTGTATAGATTTGAGAATCAGAATCAGAATACGAATACGAATAAATACATTAACATTAATCATGGAAGAATTCATTGGTTGGCTGTTTTTTTTTATTATTATTTCTTGTAAATTTTGAGGTTGAGAGCTCTAGACCTGACACGCTTAATTAATCGTAATATCTTGGGCTCTTTGGTTTTCATCGATTAATATCCAACTTTAACCCGAATTATTAAAACCAAGACAAGATATTGTCGGTAGTTCTTTATTTTATTTCTACACTTGAATTTGTTAGGCTATTTAAAGATTTATGAATATAAGGCATGCATGTATGCGTAAATGCGTGCATACATACGTATTATATGTACTATTTTGTTTTTTTTTCTTTACTTGGTAGAAAGCGAACATAATTCAATTCTTGTTTAAAGACGCCTATTGCCTTTTTTTTTTCTTTTATAACCCTTTTCTCCTATTAAAAGTAGTGTGCTTTTATATCAAAGAAATATCATTATCAGAAGAAAAGTCACAGTAAGGTCTGAAATCTGTATAAAGCAGAAAATGTAAAAAATAAAGATTTTTCTGTTTAAAATGAACTCAATGACGTCCAGAATTTGTTAATATAATTATATTAATGCTTTCTATTATTTGCCCTTTATTTTTGTAGTGGAAGAATCGATAACCGATATCACTAGTCCTATCACTAAAACCTCTCTGATCCTACAAAGATAATAGTAATAATAATATTATTATTATTATTATTCATTTATAAAATATATACAATATATATATATATATATATGTGTGTGTATCGGAATATGCCGGTAATCGGCGGATGCTCAACAAGTGTCAGCATTACAAAATTTTATAGTCTCTAAAATAGAACCCAATGCAAGGCCTTGTATAAAAACCCAAAGAAAATATATCCAAGTTTACGTGTATTAAATGATGTACGATCCCAATCCAACTGTCTTACTATTACTTTTTGATTGATTCATTCATGGGCCTTCTTGAAATCAAGCTAGAAAACCAGACATTGGTCCTCAGAGGCAACCAAGAAGAGTCACCGGGATGTGTTTTACGCGGGAACCTCTCCTTACACCTTGTGGAGAAAACTCGCCTAAAGTCACTCTGGCTTCGGTTACTCGGACAGGTCAAAGTTGAATGGGATGATGGTAAGTTTCTGGTGTAATCAACATCTCAAGGACTTGTGTACTCAGTACTATCTGTAGACAACATCCGCCGGTGGTCCTCAAAGGTACACTCAATCAAGTCGGTAAAATCTCAAAAGACAGAAAACACCTTTCTGGAACACGAGTGGATGTTCCTAGCCCCTTCAAAACATCCCCATACTTTCATGCCAGGTGTATACACTTATCAATTTGAGTTGATTTTACCTGGTACTCTTGCCGAAACCTTGGATTTGCCGAGCACTACAATTCACTACAAACTCAAAGCTATGGCAGAGCGCCCGGGCTTTACAACAAATCTAGTGGCAAAACAGAAAATGGGGGTTGTTCGACATTTACCTCCTAGTATACATATGCACTATCCGATACGGGCTGTCGAATCGTGGGCTGGCAGACTACAGATTGAAGTGATCTTGCCGAGGCGACACTATGAACGAGGAGAAGGAATTGATATTGAACTTTCGGTACATATTTTACCAGAAGAGCTACGTATCCGTAATCTGTCCTGTGCCCTCAAAGAATACCTCACGATTTTCACCAGCTCCAAGAAAAAGACCAAGACACGACTTACTGGTTTTGTTCGTGACGACAATTTTCCTGCAGATGAATATGTCACCAAGCTTGAACATTTCTGTATTCCACAACACACTCAATGGGATACAAACAACGCATTATTCCATATTCGGCATAAAATTCAATTCATCATTTCCCTTATCGATCGTTACGGTCATGTAGCGGAGATGCGAACATCTTTGCCTATTGTGATAGTCCCGCCAGTAGAAGAAGTGAATGATCTGCCGACGTATGAAGATTCTTGGAGGTCAGAAGCCGTCTGCCCAGCTGCATACACGATACCTATGGATAGCGAATGTGTAGAATACAATACATGTGGAATATATAACTATGACGACGTTGACTCTAATTTGTATCGCCTTCCATCGTACAAAAGTACGGCCTAAAAGAAATCTTGACAGATTTTTCTCACTGTAAATATAATATAATTAATTAAGAAATAAATAAATAAAAAATAAATAAAAAAGCCTCTTTGTACAGTAAACCCAACCACCACGAATACCAGATAGATAGTTGATTTACTATAGATTTCTCAATAATAATAATAAAAATAATTATAATTATACATTGAATACATGACAAAACAAAATCAATCCAACATATAAAGATGTATGTATGTCTGATGAGAAAAAGAGTATATGTATATTATATATATACATATATGTATATATATTGGTTGATTGATTGAGTGAATTATTAAGGGTGTGCTAGTAAACACATACTAATGAATGAAGGGAAAATAATTAAAGGGTGTATAATTTAAAATACGTAAGGAATTAAGATGTATGGTACTCTCTCGCAATATCTCTCCCAGTCCTTTCCATACTTCTTCTCACAACGCTCCATATCACGCTTAGTGCGGTGAGTGAGGACAACAACAAAGAAACAGAAATAGAAGTAAGGCAAGAATGAACCAGCGCCAGTAATAAGACCCCAGCACAAAGACATTGTCAAATCTGCAGTATAATGGGGCTTGCGGACAACACCCCACCATCCTGAAGTGAGGAGAAGGTTGCCATGCTCGGTTTTGATGTAAGTAGGGTTCTTGATGTGGCCGTAGGGAAGCTGGGGGAAGGCATTACGGGCAAAGAAAGATCCATTTTGCTCCATGCGGAAACGGTTCTTTTGGGAATTACCAGTATCGAAGAAGTAATAGGCCAAGAGGAGGACGACGAAAAGAGTGGCAGTGTAGGGCAAAGAGTGGGTAATAGCTTTGCCAGTTGTGAGCTGGTACTTCATCAGGTAGATTGAGGCGTAACAGTAGGTGAATGGGACACCGGCCATGTTCCAGAAAATCAACATGAAACCTACAGTCAAGCCCTTATTAAACCCTGTCTCTATCCCAGTATATATATATATATATTATTTACTTACCATCCTTTTCGTAAAAGATATCCCAAGAAGTGGGAATGCACTCCTCACCCTTCTGGCAAGCATTGACGTAAAGGAAGTGAGCAAGGACCATAAAGCAAGCAGGTCCAGTGACGACACCGGTGAGTTCGTACTGCTTAATCAAGCATGAAACAGACAAAAAGAACAGAATAGGCCAAGGGACACGAATTTCAGCCCACATCTTGAGATCGACATGACCAATACGTGGGTTAAGAGGATAGCCCATGAAGAAATCGTAAAAGAAGTTTCCTGACAGACGATGGGAATTTCCCTTAATTATGCTATCGATTTGAACCAATGCAGTCAAAGTGAACCCCCAGATGATTGCTACAGACATGATTCTACCAAAGTTATCGATGATCTCAGTCAAACGGAACACTCCGGTAAGGTGGAGAACAGCGGCCAAGACAAGAGTAAGATACCAAGACGACAAACCGTTACAAAGGTACTTGAGCTAAATAAAGTGCACCCAGTAACTGTCAGACAAACAACCTTTTTCCACAAAATAATAATAGTAATACTAATGTTTCACCAAAAATCAACAACAAGAAAGACCTTTGGACTTACTCTTTTACCCTTGAGGGAAGGAATGGGGAGACCCTCGACAATAGGTCCAGGCATAATGTAGGCAAGGATGAATGAGTAGACAATGTATCCCATATAAATCTTGGTTGCAGTCCAGTTGGGGGCAGCGTCAGCCACGACTTTCTCGACGATTTCGTGGAGGATGAAGCTGCGGATACCTTCGAAAGTGAATGTCTGAGGGTAGTAAATCTTTCCTTGGTGATATTCGAGCGAGACCCAGAAATAGTACATAAGACAAGGGAACCCGATCATCATTGCAGTGACGCCAAAGGGACCACCAAACTCGTAGACGATCTCGTTGTCAAGCGCTTCATCGCGTTTGGTGATTCCGGCTTTGTGGAGAGGAACACCATTCTTGTTCGTCTCTTCCTTTTTGTCTGTAACAACAGACTCTTTGGACATTTCGAAAAAAAATTAGGAAAGAAAGAGAAAGAAGAAGAAGAAGTGAAAAAAAAATTTAAAAAAAAAAAAAAAAAAACTTATTGACGGTTATATAAATACCCCCTCGATCATGCCCCGGTTGAATTCAACCCTGAAACGTCGAAGAATATTCATAATCCGGATCAATTGTACGCCGGAATATCATCTACTATTTGTACAACCAATATGCCTCTTATGGTTGGGTCCCCTTCTATTGCTTGTTTTGGAACGAATTTAACGACAGGGCCGTGCCTACCTTCCATACCTGTCCCCGCAAAGAAAGCTTGACAAGAACTCTTCAATTCTGTAAATTCTCTTTTTTTTTAGTGGTAAAGCGGGGGAATGAAGGAAACTATAAACCTAATAAGATGTCACAGTATTTACCAGTGTCTACCAATATTTACCCTTTCAATTAACTTTCATATGACTTTATGTGGAGTACACAGTGTTTTTATTAAAGAGTAAATCAAGAGCAGTATAGCCTCTTTAGTTTTCTCAAGTAAATATTTGTATTTGTATGTATTTGTATGTATTTGTATGTGTGTATGTATGGATAGTATTTATTTTCATCTTGTCCGTAAATAATCAACAAACAACATCTGTGGCACCTTCCAGTCTACTTCAATTGAGCACTCTTCTCCAGTGGTAACACTGGCCAGATGAGCCTTGTGGCAAATATACGTTATCCGGCGACCTGAGCTAATGGTTTCGCCTAAAGTAATAGAGAAATAAAGTCATTTGAATTAGTTTAAAGTTCTTCACGTTATTATTATAATTATGTAAAAAAAAAGAAACAAAAGGATTATAATAAATCATAAATAAAATACTAATATAATGCGGACTTACTAAAGGACTCGAGGTTGTAGTAATCACACATCGCATGCACGAACCAGCGTACGAATCGATCACTGATTTCCCAGACTAAACACAGATCTTGGGCATCTACCTCTCCAGGAGGTCTTCTTTGTTGAGTAGCAATAAAGCGCATGAGCTGATCCTCGTAAGATGACACAAGGCCCAAGGGAAGATGTGCTCGTTTTAAGTCTTTACGAACACTACGGGATAGTGGAACAATACTGCGGATTGGAACGTGTTGATTTTCTTCTTCCACTGACTCAGGTTCTTCTTCATTTATTGCAATATTGTTCCATTGGAATATATTTTTTGAACGACTATATCCAGGTGGTCTAAGATCCTCACTATAAAGAACAGCAACAGGATTCTCGGAAAAATTGTCTGGGACATATGAATGATAAGGTTCGAATGATGTTCGATCGATGCTTACTGTTATCCCATCGCTGTCGTCTTCTGCTTCCTTCTTTACCGATCGCTAGATTAGATCGTCGGGAAAGAGTGTCTTTTTCGACAGGTCGTTTCTTTGTCTTTTTAGGTTTAAGAGCATCATCAGCTAAGGAATGTAGCCGAGATGGGGCTACAACTTCAGAAGCTGCGATTGCGGCTGATACATTGGCAAAAGTGTTTTGCTGACCAGTTGGTTGGATCCACTGACCGCCTGGCTGGACAAAGAATACAGTCGAGTCACCGATAGCCATTCGTTCAAACCTACACTACTAAAAAAAACAAAGGTGCCAAAAAAAAAGAGCCTACAAAGAATGTCCGGCTCTTCACAAAAGCACCGGCTCTCCGCCCCATACACACAGACACAGACACATACACAGACACATCCACGCACATGTACTAGCCCGCCCGCCCTGGTAATGACGTAAGCTTCACAGTAAGGACTGTCGCAATAGGCAGCCAATACAAATGGAGAATTGATCCACTTCCTAAAATTCATACGAAAGTTGTTTTTATCTTATACAGGCTGTAGAAAGCCTCGGTTTTTTCTGCTATTGTTTCATTGTAGTGCTATATGGACCTGTTGTATTTGAATATTTACAAACATATGTCGTTGTACAGTATAACGGACCAAACTACAGAAGCCACTCGTTGTGGATCACCGCAAATCCTTTGGCATCGGGGTTATTAAATTCTCATTTGTACACCTCGTGAAGGTAGAAAATCAGCACCCTATTTTGGTGTCTGACATATGCATACTATTCACACAACTATGTATATTGCAAGTGACTTCAAAAATAAAAGCAAAAAAAAAGGAGGAAGACGAAACAACTTCTTGCATAAAGGGCACTCAAACCAAACAAATATTATTGAACGAAACATGTAGTAAGTGGACTTGGTAAAAGAAGTGCTAATTACAAGAAAAAGCAAAAAAAAGAAACAGTTGTCACTGCAACAGTCATACAAAAAGGAGAATCCGCCGAGTGATGAAAAAGAAAATTAGGCTCTTGAGATTTTTCTTCATGGATCGTGTTACATATAGGTACACAACTGTAAATATTGGTATATATATACATATACTTTCTTTTAAAAAGAAAAAAGAATAGATCCATAATGATTATTGTGTAGCTTGATTGTAACATAATATAAATGAAATTTGGTCTCATATTGAGTGATACATAACATAACTTCACTACTAGACAAGAATCCTAGGATAAACTCTGCTTCGATCAGGGTGGATTAGTAAGGTTTGTTTTTTATACACATTACTGCAGCGTATATCCTACCAATTCAAATGCTACCAAAATCTGAACTTTATATAGACAGCTAGTGGTTTTGGATTTGTATATGATTAATATGTCTTGGTGGTTTACTGTTTTATCTTGTTTTTATTTTCAATAATGGGCTACTTAAATAATAGAGTAATATCATTAATAAGCAACCTCTTTAGACGATTTTCTTTATTTATAAAGCATTATGTTTAACGACGCATTAATAATCAATAAAGAAACTCTGACAAATCCAATTTTTTGTAAACTTAAAACATGTATACCAAAATCTTTATAATATTTGGAATGATACTTTTATAATACATAACATCCGTAAATTAGTCTTGGTATGGGCCCTTGTTCACTACCTGCAAAGAACTTCAAAAGCTGTGTTATAAAGCAATAAGAGCATATTTATTACATATAAAAAAAAGCTTAAAATAGGTAGTGTATGAGATGTTGTTTAGTATAAAGATTGCCATTGTACCTAAAACTGCCTCGATACTTTCTATACATATAATACAGGACTTATAGTTATCACAAGCTATTGAGATCTAGAGGCCAGCCATAGGCTTTTTAGGCTATTTTGCTCCGAGTACTATCACACCAGCGCTTTTGTTTTTGACAGATTTGCCATTGAAATACGAAATTTAAACGCATATTATTATTTGAGTATAACATTTTTCTTTCTGTATCTCTAATTTATATAGTATAAGGCTCACCTTTGGCTTTGGCGGAAACTCGCCTGTCTTTGCACCTTTGGAAGCAAATTATGGTACATAATGACGAAGAGATAGGGAGAGAAACAGAAATGAGTTAAGATTATTTGGTAAAAAAAAAAGAGCGTGTATTACACGAAAAATAAAATATTCTCATGGAATATAGCATAGCACACATAGTACTCTTTTGTACATCTTTGTACATATTTGGGTGTATTTAAAGGAATTATTTTATTTTCATCTTTTTTTTTAAAAAAAAAAAACAGGCATGAATTGTAAATTTGTAGCTTGGCCAGGACTGAATTACCTGGCTCCCAAGATTCCTTTGCTTTGAGTTTTGACGTTAAGTTCAGTTGAGTTGTAGAAGTGAAACGTGTCAACACCCCCCCCCCCCTTTTTTTTTTTTTATTTATTTATTTTGCTTATACTTGACGTGTTTGTGATGACAATCTTCTCTTAATAGAGCTTTCTAATACTTACGTACACTATCAATAAAATTTGAGTTTTTATAGAGTTTTTTAGAGAACTGGATCAAACAACTGTCCTAACAAACGTATCAACGATTCATAAACTTATGATTCTGTGTTCTTGTTTTGAATGAATGAATGAATTGATTGATTTTCTGTAGTATATAGCAAATTAGCAATTACCTTAATCAAATGCAAGCCTTCTTTTTTTTTAAAAAAAAAAAGAAAGACTAATTATAATAGTGATAATTGAATTATGGTTATTCTGGTATAAAATGCAGATGCACACAGTGTGTAACTGTTCCTGAAGCGTTATCAACCAAAGACACGGCCAAAATCCAATTGTAGAGTTTGTGTTTCAATCAATTCTGACCTGTATACCACACATCTCACCTTCTCTCCCAGCTCTCAATGACATGACTATGCGTTGTGTTTATCCATCAACATGACGTAGAAAATCTAGAATTCTTTTGCGATGTATGTGAGTATGCAGTGCAATATAGGCACACAAAATATTTAGTCATGTAATCTCTCTGTAACTCATGTGGTCATTGAAAGTACTAGTTTTTTTAAGATACTGTACACAAACTATGAATACACAATACACTTGGTACACTAATTATATATTAACGTATATGTACTCTTCTGTAGTTATGAATGGCTTTCTCTACCAGAATTGATAACAGCTTACTATACATACTATTAGCTACTAAACCAATCTCTTCTTTTATAAGTTATCTTGGGCATAATTTATTTATATAGCCTAGTCTACTACATTATTGTTACTGCTAGACAATGGTTCTTTAATATTGGGCCCTTGTCTCATATCAAGTGCCTTAGTAACTTTGGTGTATCACCTGCTAAAAAAGCTAGTGTTATCTGAACTGCCTGGTGTTTCTGTGGTTATGGTATCCCGTTATGGAAAATATCTGCCAGCCACCTTTATCCTAGGGACAATTGGTTTTTTTTTGTGATGATGCATTCTTGCGTAGTTTTACTTGAAATAACAATGACCAAGTGTAATGTAATATTAAGCATAAAGAGAATGAGAAAAAAAACCATCTTTTTTTACATAGATACAACAAGATTAACATATACATATATCATACAATATACTCGAAATACAACCAGTTTTTCTTGTATTAAATACAAAATTGACTTTGCACGCATACCCTATAAATAAATAAATAAAATACGCTCAAATTATATGTATTTTATAAGGTTTAGAGCTATCAACGGCTCTTTTGTATTATTTGGTAACTATTTCCTGTTTAGAATATCATACTTGGAGTAATAAGCTTTACATATACTATCATCAAAATATTCAATGAATAAGTATCGGATAGATGACCGTTAACTCTAAATTAGATTTTATTTACGCGTTTCCAACATCATCTACAAGACTTAATCTGAACATTTCAAGAGGGCGGGAGGACTGTTAAAATGAAGAAGAAAGAGAAAAACAGCTTTAAAGATAGATATGTGCTACTGTATTGATTGTATACAATTTTTACGTTTTGTTATTTTAAAAAACAAAAGTGATATGAACCTCTTTATATTTAAGCTCTGTAAAGGTCTAAAAGATGTATTACCAGAATTCAAGGAAATCCGAAAAATAGAAAGTTGAGCACCTAATTAACTTTTTTTTTTGCATATTAACCATAGCTAGGCTACCAAATATGAATGTCATCTTTTCTTTCTTTCATTCTACAGATAAAATAGTATAGGCCTACTTATAGCAATATACTTGTAAAATAATAGTAATGTACACTGATATTTTCTCTTAGTAATCTATTATGGAAATAGCTTAAAAATGAATTTAAACGCATTTATCAAGGAGTAGTATGTCCATTAAAGATTGTAAAGTTGTTAGAATTAACGATAACACTAATCGTGTCTTTTCAGCATTTTTTTTTTACCTAAAAATAAGTATGTACGTTGACAATATATATATAATTAAGACACACCTTTTGTCTATAAACATGCTTTTAAAAACCTAGTCTAAATACACACTCACACATACACTATCACTAATCCTTAAAGAGTATTATTGAAAAGTACCTATTTATCTTCTTTTAATATATCAGGGTAATCAGTAAACACGCAGATTTGATTTGTGTGTGCTGTAGATGTTAAGCACCTTCCCAACAACCAAAACCGTCTTTCACCTTCTTCCCCTTTCGAAAACCAGAAAAGATGGTTTTGTAATTATTTTTAGAAAGAGCATTTGGCAGCCGTTGGAAGGAGAGTATTTCATTAATAGCTCGACCTTTGTTTCGATGAAGTGGATCTAAATATAAAAGGGGGGATAAATATTAATGACTCCCATCTCCCCCTTCCAGCACTTGGGGTCTGTTCTATATATACATATATAAAACACCTCCTTTCTGTCTAAAGTATAGCCGAGAAACTAATGAAAGTAGGAAAAAATGATAATAATAATAATAATAATATGGCATAATCGAATAAACTTGACAGATTCTCTTACAAATGTTAGGTGACTGTTGTGGATATTTAGAATGATCTTTCCATTGTTAATACATAGTAATATGTATATGCATTCTAAAATAGAGTAGTTGTCAGATACTCAACATATTCTGTTTTAAGCAAAATTCACATTCTTTCCAAAAAAAATATTAATAATAGTAATAATATTTCTTGTACTTTTTTTCATTTTCAGTTTTCAAAGAATCTGCACTAATAAGATGAATTCATTCAGTCCAAAGTAGAGTATAAAGAAATAGAACAGCAACTAAAAGGATTGTATACATTTAATTCGACCATGCTCTAAAGTCAGTTGTCTTAGTTTGCTCAAAAGCAGCTGGTTTTCATTAAATCTAAGAAAAGAACTTTATACATATGTTTTCTAATTGTGCAAAATACAAGCTTTAAAAGGCTTGTTACAAAGCCTAGACAATATTGGACAAGGTGTTACACGACAAGAGAATGTAGGCAATCCTTTCATTATCTTTTTATGTAGATAATATATCAATGACAGCCATCCAAGTAGTGGACCTCATTTTCAGTATGTAAAAGTGAATATTTTGCTCATATAATGAATAAGCCGGAATCAAGTTTCCCAATAATCAAAATCCCAAAAAAAAAATAGAGCATAATAATCCCATCTTTTAAGCACGGTCTTGATTCTTGGGCGCAAGGAAGAAAGAAAGAAATATTGAAAAAGAAAATCATCTAAAGAAAACCAGGATTTCAATTACAACAGTGAATATTGCCAATGTTGACAAGTGACGTATCTTAACAATTTCAAAGTGCGTTGTGGTGCGAATAGCCATGGATTTGTTAAGAGGTTCAAGATCATCCATGGCTTCATTCAATTGACAATGGAGACTCCTGACTTTGAGGTAAACATTCCCACAACAATATCCCCTACCCCTTCCTTGGTCCTCCATTCTTTATCGTCATCGTCTTTTTTTTTCCTGCTGTTCTTGGGCGTGGATCATCTTTGCGGGATTCCCAAAGTCACGCTCATTGAGAATGAAGAGGAATAAGAAAAATACAAAAAAAAAGCTTGAACAAGTTTATTTTTTGATCGATCTGTCAATAATTATCATTACTTTTTCCCTTAATTCTTCTTATTATTTTGGCTCTCACTCTAGATTGCTTCTCCCCCCACCGATGGCATCTCTGCTCTCGCGTTTTCTTCGCAAGCCGATTATTTAGCAGCATCTTCATGGGACAATCAGGTATGACTAAATAAAAACTTGCCATTATTATTAGCCAGTCATTCTTTCAATACGCGTCGAGTCCTTATTCTTATTATAGGTCAGGATATACGAAATTCAACCCAGTGGAAATACAGCGCCTGTTGCATCTTATGCTCATGAGGCTCCTTCATTATGTGTTACCTGGAGTAAGGTAAATCAAACCACATATTATACGTCTATCTACACACGCGAAAAGAAAAAAAAAAGAAAAGAGAGAATGACTACAAAATATATTACTTTCAACAATACAAAAAAATCTACAAAGAAAGAAAGAAAAAGAAAGAAAAAGAAAGAAAAAGGAACGGAAAGACTGAGACTATGAGACACATTAGGATGGTACAAAAATACTTTCGGGTGGAGCAGACAAGGCGGCTCGCATGTACGATGTTACTACAGGACAATCAACCCAAGTAGCTGAACATGCTGATGCAGTCAAGTGTGTCAAGTTCCTCGACCAAGGACAACAGATCTTAGCTACTGGTAGTTGGGACAGAACCATTAAATACTGGGATCTGCGTTCACCACAACCTATTGGCTCTGTTCAATTACCAGAGCGTTGTTACTCAATGGACTCTGTCGGTAACCTTCTTGTGGCTGCTACTGCGGAACGACACATTTTGTTATTCGATCTGAGCAACCCTACCACAATTTTCAAGGTAATACACACACATAATATATATATATATATATACAAAAACCAGAGGAATTTGGACAACACAATTTAGGTGGAAATGTTAATCACAGAAAAGAGCAGCAAACCATCTCGCCTCTCAAATGGCAAACTCGTACAGTGGCCTGTTTTATAGATGGCAAGGGTTATGCAGTTGGTAGTATCGAAGGCCGCGTGGGCATTCAATACATCGATGAAAAAGAGCAGAGGTAAAAAAAAAGTTTAACTCGATTTGAATGCATTTTGTAAAAATAAGAAGAATGGCAAGCTAATATAATCGAATTCAATCGAATTGAATTGAATTTGTGAACATAGCAAGAGCTTTTCGTTCAAGTGTCATCGAGACGACCAAAAAAACGTGTATTCAGTAAACGCTATCTCATTCCACCCTACTTATGGTACATTTTCTACGGCTGGTGCCGATGGCACCATCAACTTTTGGGACAAGGACTCGAAGCAGAAGCTCAAATTGCTTCCTAATGTCAATGGTACTGTTGCTTGCACAGCATTTAACCGAACCGGAAACATATTTGCATATGCTGTCAGTTATGACTGGACAAAGGTAAATTAAACGTCTTTTCTTTCTTTTCTTTTGGCTTTGTTGGAATTTTAAAATTAATAATGGTAATGGTAATTACAATAATAATCTCGTGCAATATATATATATATATATGTATACTCTTTCTACAGGGATACAAGTTCGCAGGACAAAACCCAACCAATAAAATAATGCTTCACGCAGTCAGAGACGAGGAAGTCAAGCCGCGTCCGTCTACAAGACGATAACTTTTAACAAACAAACAAACAAACAAACAAACAAGCAAACAAACCAACTCCAAATTCGTCGTTTTTTTTTATCCCTTTTCCTTCTACTCAAACTTCACACTTCGTACTTTACACTTCTTTATCTCTCTCTAGCCGCCTCTATCCATCTCTTTCTCATCCTCTTCTTATCTCTTTTGAAAAAAAAGGTTTGCCGATCAATGGGACCTTTTCTTGATTTTATTTTTATTCTAAAGAGATATTAAAGAATAAAAAAAAAGACAAAAAAATAGGAAAGCGTACCAAAAGAACGAAAGATAAAAAAGACAAGGAATATATGAATTGGATTGTCAAGGCAAAAGCTTATTTGATAGAAGCTGTGTCCTGAATTCTCTTTTCCCACACTCCTTTGATAGGTTTGAACCCAAAGGTACGGTTGCGGATTGGCTTGGGACGGGTCGAAGAATCGAGAGAACTGACACTTTGGCCTCTTGGGCGTACACCACTGGTGGTACTGGTTGTGGGTGTAGAAGCACTTGCCTTTAACTCGCCCTTTTCTATGAGCCGTACAACGTGTTCAACACGCGATGGTCTACGACGAGCCAATATGGGAATAACGCTATCGATAGATGCACTTGAGATGCTAGAGCACACCGACATTGAAGGTGATAATGATGGTGGGGATAAGGGACCAAAGAAATCAAGTTCAAGAGGTTCAAGCGGCGGAAGCTGTCGCTGGCGGCGGCGATTACCTAGGCTAACTGGAGTTGATCTCGAATGGGTTGGAGTGGGAGAGAAGGAAGAAAAGTCAGGTAGTGGGCAAAGGTTGTCCTGACAACCCTCGACTGTGTTTGCAACAGGGGTATCGTCCCAAGGTGCTCTACAGTCCATTGACTCTGGCTCATCCGTTATGAAATTCTTGCTTATAGTAGTGCTAAAAGGACTACTGCTGGTAAAGGACAAAGGAGAAAGAGTAGGTGAGGAGGAATTGGAGTTATTGGCGATGGTATTGGTAAAGGGGTGGGTAGAAGGGGTAGAGTTATTATTGTCATTATTATTATTGTCATTATTATTATCCTCCAGACCGAGAAAAATTTCGAGGGGAGTATCCTTGAGACACTCGGTGTCACCAAGAGCAGAAACAGCAATATCAGCAGCATCAGGGCCTGCGATTAATTTGCGGTTAGTAGGTTCGATTGACTGGGGTCCATGGATTTTGTAGATTGTGGAGAGAATTGCATCGAGAACAAAGAGGATTGGAAAGGTAAAGATTGAATCGGGATTGAGTAGTTTTCGAGGGACTACAAATAATTATAATTATACATTTAAGCGTATTTAATTATAGATTGTATTGTATTGTATTATTTTTTATTGTTAGACTCGAGTTTGAAAATAGAGTAAAATATAACAGGCGCTTGTTACCATCAGCCAAAAGAAAGACAAGGAGAGGAAGGACAGAGGTGAGTGGAATGCGTGCCATGTAAGGTAATGACCGTAATTGGGGGAATAAGTAAAAAAATAAAATAATAACCAGAAGAAGAGAAATAAATGTACAAAATAAAACAAAAGAGAGAGAGAGAGAGAGAGAGAGAAAGGAACGAGGTTTGAACAAAGTAAGACAACACGTACAACCATAAAATAGAGCAAACGGTTATTGAACGATCCAAACGACCGTCACAGGATGGACATCTTCATTTTTTGGCTTTAAAGCCTTTTTCAAGGCATTGGCTCTCCTTAACGTCAATCTTGGTGTGTTCAGGGAGTCGATATGTAGCCAATATAAGGGAAGATCGATTAGTCAATTAATTTCCTATAAAGAAAGAGAAAGAGAAAGAGAGAGAGAGAGAGAAAAGAAGTATTGATGACGTTATTTTTTTTATTTATACCTTTTCTTTTTTTTTATTACATCTTTTGAAAGTGTCTGGGTAACACCAAGAATACAATAACTTGCCATTTTTGTACATTTTGATCTTGTCACTAAAAAAATATATATGTATGTATGTATATAAAATCAGGTGAAATATAGGTAATTTTTTTATATATATATTTTATATTTCACTTATTGGTTGCATAATACACTCCACGTTGGCTAGCAATTTTAATACGCAGAGAAGGCGGAAACATAAAAATAATAATAATAAAAGTAAAAATAAAAATAAAATATACATGTGTGTTTGTGTGTGTGTGTGTGTTTAGAATAACTACAACTTTCTCTTTACTAAATATCCAAGTCTATTTTATACCCTTATACTCATCATGGTTCATCCGATGCATCTAGTGCAGGGATCTGACTTTGCCATCAATGTGGAATCGCCTGAAATAGTACTCCATGGCTCTATTGAGGAATCTGCAGGAGTCATCTTACGGGGATCAGTTGTACTCAACTGTACAGAGACTACAAAGATTAGGTCTATTTCACTCAAATTCCAAGGAAAAGCCAAAGTTCATTGGTCAGAAGGTGAGTCAAGAGTACAAAATTAAGATAGTTAATAAACCTGCTAGCTATAGGTATAGGGTCCCACCAACACCACTACAAAGAAGAAAAAGTAATCATTGAACACGACTGGCATTTTTTGCAACCAACTCGCAAGTCCTATCATTTGTCAGAAGGGCACTACAAATGGTAAATATATATATATATATAAGTATATAAGATGGACCCACAGAGAGAGAGAGAGTGTGTGTGTGTGTGTGTGTGTGCGTGTCTGTGCGTTTATTGAATCTAAAATAAAAATAAAAATCTGCAGGGACTTTGAGTTACCTCTGCCTGGAGATTTACCAGAGACCGTTGACCACCAGATGGGTTCGGTTTACTACACACTAAAAGCAGTTGCAGAACGCCCAACATTCTCTTTAAACTACACCGATAAGAAGAAGCTCACAGTAACTCGTGTACTGTTACCTTCGTCGCTAGAATTGACTCAGTCGGTGGCTATTTCAAACGTGTGGACGGACAAGCTGAGCTATGATATTAGCCTGCCTGGTAAAGTATTTTCCACAGGTGCAACCATTCCCATCACATTTGAATTTGTGCCTATCGCAGAAGATCTCAAGGTTCGGTCCATCACATGTTCATTGAAAGAATACACCACACTTTCTTCTGAAGATCACAAAAGGACCGAGGGAAAAGTTCTTCGAACTATCAAGGACAACCTGTCTGTCTCGCTAGATGGCCTGTGGACAAAGACCGAAAATCTAGTATTGGACCACGGATCGCCTCATATCTTGACTGATTCACACAGTGAACTGATTCGAATTAAACACAAGTTAAAGTTTACTGTTGCTCTTGTCAATGCTGATGGTCACATATCTGGTAAGTGTTGGGACACAAGTGCAACAAAAGAAAAAGATAGAAAAAAAACGAGCCAAAGGAAATAGACATATTTTTGCATGTGTTCTGGGCAAATTGGTGTAGTAGTACCATACCAAACTAAAAGGCAAAAAGAAAAGACGTATAATAGAGGGGAGAAAGATAAAGAAATAATAATGATAATGGTGTGTGTGTGTGTGCAGAATATTACATATAATTTTTTAATATTAAAAATCTATTAATATTAATATTATTAATTTTGGTTTATAAAATTACTTCTATTTTCGTTCTTGTACTTAAACTTTATATGCTTGTGTATGTGTATTTTTTTATAAAGAACTAAGGGCTGCTGTGGCTATTATTTTGGCCCCAATAAGTCCAGATGAAGATATAAATTGGTTACCTGCTTATGAAGATGCTTGGAAATCAGCTCCATATGATCCAAGTACTCTTGAAGAAATGGTGGATAGAGGACAGCTACCTCCATCTGTCGCTTACACCCTGCCAAATGCTGCTGCAAGTCAAGCCCACACCTCTATTGCATCTGAGGATTCTGAAGAATTAGGAGACTTGCCCTCTCTCCCGTGGCAGGGAATAGATCTCTCTCGTGTACCGTCCTACACGACGGCCATTCATTCTAGACGGCTCTATAGTTTTTCGGGTTCATTACCGACCTATGACTCTGTGTCTGTACCAGGCAGTAGATCCTAAAAGAGGCTGAATCCCCTATTTGTACATTACTGTATTCAACCTTTTAGCACATAAGAAAAAAAAATTCAATAGAACACACGTTACACACCTGTGCGAGTACCATTAAAAGTGCACTGTAGTGTAGTCGTCAAACATTTTTCTTATAAATTATTAGACACTTTTTTTTGGAATTTTATAATAAATAACATACATGCTTATACTAACTAAATGTTTAGATAATATATTAGCACATATTGTTTTTTTTTGTGGTGCTTCTGCTGCTGTTGGTCACTATATCTACAATATTAAAGAAAGAAAGAAAGAAAAAATATGGCAAAAATTATAGGTAAATTTAATTGTTAATGTTTGATTGACCTTGGTTGAGAAGGTACACCAATATCACCCATACTGGAATAGGATTCTTTTTTTTTTGAAGTACCGAGTGTTGCTCATCAGTAGTCTGGATCAATATCAAGGTCGAGCACAAAAAAAACTACCTGGTAGGGTATCACCATAGATTATGTCCGAGTTATACCATTATTCGAATTATTTTATGTATGTATTTTTTTTTATATCGCTAAAATAACTTGTCGGTAACTGTATTTTGTTCAAGGTTCTTTTCTTTCTTTTCTTTTTCATATTATAACTTGAAAGAAGTGGCTGCGTAGTTATTGTGATTTAGTACGCCCTGATTTGTAATAATAATATTTTCTTGAGAAATATAAGGCAGACTAGATCTTGAGGGAGATTCTTTATTGAACAACACTACTAGAGCATTAATCTAATATAATGCTCCCAGTTTTAATACCCAATAAGACCATATATATATATGTAAAACAGGGTTTATAAAGAAAAGTTAATAAAGTCCCCAAGAAGATAAATGTCCTTTGTTCAGGATCATATTCTAGATTTTATTATTCAATAAATAATTATAGCAATATAAATAAGTTTATTGTATCTAATATATATTACATAGTATCTGTAGGATTCTCAAGCTCTTGATACAGACCTTTTTACTCAACAAATGACGGGTCCAAGCTAACTTCTTCCAAAAACAAATTGGGAGCTATCTTTGATGTTTGATTGCCCTTTAAACAGTTTTGCAATATCTTTGTTGGTTATTTAAATCCATAGACTTAATGGAATATGACTTTTACAGCATTTTCGATTGTATCTTGGCCGTTTTCGACGGTACCACTTCAAAGCCATAATACTCCTTAGACCTTTTTCTTTTTTTTTCTTTTTTTTTCTTTAATTTCAAGACTTATATTTCGAAATCTCCTCCATAATGTTGAGACAATGCACGTACACATCTGGCATATTATAAATAAGAATTCAAATGCCCGCATATTTAGAGGGCAAAAGAAAAGGCGAATATATAAAGGTAAAAAGCACATGCACTCTAAAAAGGATTTAGATTTTGAATAAAAAAGGTTTCAAGTCTCGAAAATACTGCCTCTAAGGAGCAACAGAAAGAAGGTAAATGTAATGATAATCGCGCTTTTTGATAACTTTCGTATATGTATATAAACTAATGGTTTCTCAGCTTGGAAAACACATACATGTCATATAAAATGCAGTTGATAAAAGCTATAATATTGTTAGTAGCCAAGTTTCTTTTTCTTTAGCTGATATTTTCCCCCGCTCGCTAGACTTATTTTTTTAAAAAAAAAAAAAGTGGTGTAAGCTGTCTTTAATCAATCTTAATTACACTTATACCATATATAGCACATGGAATCAAAATTGAAGTGGGTTTTGCGGCTAGTACTTATACTTTAACCGGTTTTCCTGTGAGTACTTGGTCTTGTCGTCTCTTCAGACTTGTATAAAATCTTGTTTAATTAATAAAATTACTATTAAGCATATAAAAAGCACCTAAGCTTTTTAAGAAGAAGAAATTATACTCTACTGTTTTCTTGTATGTTTTAACCCTTTCATATGTCTGTATGTGCGTGTATATATTTTTATGCAAGTTCGAGCTAATTTTTCTTCAAACTGAAATATTCACAAAAAATAATCATATAACGATATGAGTCTGGGAATTTATTATAGCATATTAATCAATCAAGTCAATATTTCTTCATTGATAGTTAACTGAGCTATTTTTTTTTCATACCAAAGCGTGCCAAAAAATCGCGGAAAATAATTGATAAAATCTTAAAATATTATTTGTTTTGATCAATTAAAATGCTATCTTCCATTTCGCATCAATAAAGTATACTGACTAAAGTATAGATATTACAAATCGAATAAAATTCTGGGGATGATTTTCCATTAGCTTTACTCACATGAGTCGAGAAGGTGCAGTGTGTATTCAGTTGGTGAAACCAAGTGCAATCTGAACTACATAAGTGATGCTGACCAACTTGAGAGGTGCTGTAGTAATATTGTGCAGCCAAAAGATTGATTCAACGAAGAAGGGTTGAATGATTCATTTGAGGCTTTTGGTTTCAACGGCATCATTTTTTCGTCATTAGACAGCTTAATTATGTTAATATTGTTTAATTTTTCAAAAATAGGATAGTAGTTAAATATATACATACATAGTCGATTTGATGAAATAAACTACTCGAGTTATTTTCACAGTGATGAATAATTCAGTTTTGGTTTTGACCCTATTTTTCTGATCATGACTACCTCAACTACAATACATTCAATATCGCGAGTTGCTCGAGTCAATGCTCTTAAAATGAAGTTATTATTTGCTAATGTCTTTCATGGATATTTACAAAGCTGATAGTATTACCAGTGGCTAGTTTGCCTTATTCTATTTTTTTCTCCTTCTTTTTCTTCTCCTCATTCTCCACCTTCCCCTTCTTTTTCTCTGTCTCAATTTTGTACATTTTCAATAGCTGTATACTATGTGCGACGGCCATACTGTAGATTTTGATGATTGAATGTCTTTAGTGGTAGCATTCGATGTAGGTAGCAAGCACTTCCAAAGAGGGTTGGAAAGCGTACAGCCGGGATATGAAACTTAGTAACAAAGGATGTGGGAGTAATATACACAACAAAAAATCCAGATAATAGCTAATATAGGGGTCTTTAACTCAATTCAAACTAATGACAACGACCAGAATGACCTATGTTGTCTGCGATGATGCTAGACAATACAAGGAAAGAAAATAATGTGTTTATATTGCCAAGACCAAGGTACTAAACCCTCTACCTCACAGCCTGTTCAACATCATGTATTACATCTTTTTTTTTTCAAGTACTACTGGTGACACCTTCACATAATGCCGAACTGTCTGCTGGTCCGAAAGGAACACCATCACAATCCCAATAAAATAACAATAATAATAGTAATAATAAAGCGGTACTTTAATAACCTATCCAAGTAGTAGTTTCATTCCATGATAGCAGTGGTTGATACTCTGGAAATCAACTGTGGATATAGCATACAATTGGACGATGATATAAATATTACCCAAAAATTCTCTTCTTCAAAACAAACACCATCTTTTTCGTTTCTCTCCCAAAAATTCTTATTCTTTATTCTCAAAGGTTCTTTTTTAGCCAATCAACAGGCCCTGTTGTCTGAGATTAATCAAGCTTATTTTAGTGAAACCATTCCCATCACATTTGAGCCTGTGCCTATCGCAGAAGATCTCAAGGTTCGGTCCATCACATGTTCATTAAAAGAATACACCACTATTTATTCAAAGTTTTTTTTACTATTATTATTAAAAGACATTAATAAGATTTGTTTTTTTGACATATCAAAAGAGATCTCAAGTGTCTCATTAGAGTGCTTGTGAAAGAAGTCTGAAAATCTTGTAATGGACCAAGGATCGTCTCATATCTTGACTAATTCTCAGTATCATTCGAATTAAAAATAAATAAATAAAAAACAAGTTAAAGTTCACTGTTTCCTTTGTCAATGCTGACGGATACATATCTGGTAAGTATTGGGACACAAGTACAAACAAACAGACCAAGCCAAAAAGAATAGACATTTTCGTGCGTTGTATGTGTGTTGTGTGTGTGTGTGTTCTTGGTCAATTGGTGTAGCAGTACCACATTAAATTAAAAGGCAAAATAAGAAAATAAGAAAAAAAAAGACAGCCACATAAAGATAGGAAAGAGCTAGAAAGAGAGAATGATTTTTGTGTGAGTGTGAAAAAAAAATTAAAGAATTTTTAATATTAAAAATCTATTATTGTTATTTGCTATTTTACTATTAATATTAATATTATTAATTTGGCCTATAAAATACTTCTGTTTTCATTTTTGTACTTAAACTCTATATATATACATGTATAATTTTTTAATACAGAACTAAGGACCGCTGTGGCTGTTATCCTGGACCCAAAAAGCCCGGATAAAGATGTGAACTGGTAACCTACTTATAAAGATGCTTGGAAACCAGCTCCATATGATCCCAAGTGTTCTTGGAGTAGTGGTAAACATATTAAAACTGCTTCAATTCATGACTTATGTTCTATAAAATTCTGCTGGAAGTCAAACACACCTAATTTGAAACCAAAGATTTTGAAGAATTAGATAACTTGCCCTCTTTCCCGTGGTAGGGAATAGATCTCTCTCGTGTACCGTCCTACACGACGGCCATTAATTCTAGACGGCTCTATAGTTTTTCGGGTTCATTACCGACCTACGACTCCGTGTCTGTACCAGGCATTAGATCCTAAAAGAGGCACAATCCCTTACTTGTATATTACCGTATTCATCCTTTACCACATAAATAATTCAATAGAACACACGTCACACAACCGTGCACCTCGTTTTGTATTTTTTTTTTATATATATTTTTATTTATTCTTTTCATAAAACCATTAAGGTTCTTGGTTGGTTGACTGGTTGGCTGGTTAGCTGTAATTTTTATTCCTATTATATTTTTAGTGTTGTCTGACAATAGCTTTTACTGAAAAGCAAATACAGATATCCCAAAAGAAGAATATAATCTACCCAGATTAAAGAATTGTGTATCTTGTTAAGAGAGTTAAAGAAGTAAGTATATATATATATATATATATAAAAAGGTAAAGAACCACATGTGTTCAAAGAATGATTTAGGTTTGAATAAAGAAGGGTTCGAGTCTCAAAAAGACCACCTTTAAGGAGCAAAGAGGTAAGGAAGGAAAAGAAGATATAAATATATAAATAAAAACTCAATCAATAAAAGCAAAGACAAAGCTAAAACCAAGACCAAGACCAAGACAAAGGAAAGGGAAAGGGAAGACAAGGAAGTATAGTACAAACTTGTATCAATTTTTATGTTATAAATATATATATATATTTAAATGTATATTTATACTCGAACTTATTTTTGGGAATAATACAAGCGCAACCTCAAAATATCCTAGAATTCCTTCTCTTTCACTTCTCCCACGCAATTCCCCTTCTTTTTTTTTCTTTCTTTCTTTCTTTTTTCTTCTTCTTCTTCTTTATACGCCCAATCTCTTCTCCCTTCCTTGATCATTTTTCATACCCTAATTTTCGTCTATTAGCCATGCCTTTACAGGCACTCGCCAAACTCAACACACAATTGTCGAGTCCATTCTATCCTTACGGCAAACAATGTGCATCCCGAACTACATCAATCATCCTCATCTCTCTTTCTATCGTCTGTTTCCTATGCTATCCAATCATTCTTACATTCTACGACAATCTTGGTCATCTTAAAACAACACCTACAATCGACCAATTAGACGCGCAATTCTGGCAATTCTCTCCTCATCTCCAACCAGACAATCAATCTCTCGGCTCATCGACATTTTTAATAGCCCAACAGATCCGAATCACAAACCCAGAACGTCAAATAACTCACGATTTATTAAAAGGAGCTCTTTCAATACAGAATGCCCTTACAACTAGTTTTGCCCATGTTGATGGTAAACCCGCCTCCCTGGCTACCATCTGTTTTGGTCATCGTGGATTTTGCGTTGTCCATTCACCCCTTGAATACTGGCATTCTCGTGAATCTATAATCGATCTCGACCAAGACATCGTCCAAACCATCAATCGACAACGTCATTCCATTTCAGATGCCACCGGTCTCTCTCTACATCCTCTCTCTGTCTTTGGAAATGTCACCCTGGATACCAAAGGCAGATTTGTCTCGGCAGACTCTATTGTTTTAACTGTCTTGCTGCACCAGACACCCTATGTAAACGCAAATAAGATATGGGATACCCTTTGGCGCGATATCACTGCAGAACTTGACATTCCTCGCCTTGATATGCGTTACACTACCTCAGATCATGCGGTAGCCTGGCAAAGACATCTCAGTCCTGTCACAAATGAAACACTACAGTACATGGTAAGGTAATACTGTGTTTACACAGGAACCAAAATAAAATAAAATAAAAATAAAGATAAATTGATTTACTGTATTATTATTATTATTATTATTATTATTATTATAATAATAATAATAGCTATCATCATCTCTTTTATATATTTATATTTATTTCTTTACTTGCCTATTTACACAATTAACCTTTATTTTTTTTTTAATTTTTTTTTTTCATTAGTTCAAACTATTTCCTTTCGAAGTTCCTATTCAATTTTTTTTTACTGCACTTTCCTATCTTGCTCTTTTTATTATTGTTTCTTGCACGTTTGGAAAAGCCCAATTGGTGAGGTCCCATTTTGGTCTCGGATTTGCGGCTGTATTTACGGCCATTGCGTGCCACATGTCTACCATTGGAATCTTGAGTCGCTTTGGGTGCGAACTCCAGCTAGTCCACACCTCGCTTTTTTCATTAATAACGATCGTTTCTACCCTTGAAAACGTGTTCTTGCTGACAAATGCCGTCCTCATTGCAGGCTGTGATATGCAAGTCAAAGAAAAGATTGGTCGAGGTAAAGTTACACAGTATCAAACGCCATTTTTCGATTTTATTATTTATTTATTTTATATTTTATATTTTATATTTTATATTTTATATATGCATGTTCGATCTAAACATTCTCTCTCTTTTTTTTTTGATAAATTTGTGTCACCTTAGGTCTTCAAAGTGTCGGTGTTCCCATGACAGCCACACTACTTGCAGAGCTGTCAATTCTATTGATTGGATACACTACCCGTATTGCAGTTGTCAAAGAATTCTGTATCTTTAGTGCAGTAGCTCTCATAATTGAGAATACCTTACAAATGACTTTTTTTGTTGCTGTATTAGCCATTGACGTCAAACGTGCCGAGGTATGAAGAAAATACATATAAAATTTGTTCGTACGAGAATTTTTTTAAGCTATATATATATTTTTGACTCAAAAATATCACCGATATTTGCCATGTATATATAAGTGTATATATATTAATTTCTAATTCTTTCTATATTTTTTTATTCAATTTTAGTTGGCCGATCTCGAAGATAGACAAGTATCAAAACGATTACGAGAATTAGTAAACTGCGATCCAAACATAGATCAAACAGACTATTGCCCTGTACAAGACGTCGATGCTAGTCTAGGAGAACCAAAAACGTGTGCAGAATGTAAACATTTCAAGACACATCGTGTTGTATGCGCCCTCGTTCTATGTCTCTCTATTCTAGTTCTCGCCCTTTTCCGTTCTCAATTACAACCTCCTGTTTCTGCTGTCTCACCTTCAACCGAAATACCCAACAACCACATTAATTCCGACCTAATGGCTATCTCCAGTCGTTTCTGGGACCTTGTGAATCCTCGTCATGTTCCAGAATTGCTTCAGGTCCGAGCACCGTACCTAATAATTTTGACACCCGACCCACAAGAAGCACTCGCTAGTCTTGATCACTATGAAGCCTATTATGAAGCCAAAGCACGAACATATCAATCATCACACGTCCTCAACCCTTATGATGGGAGATCATGGATAGTCGGCAACAGCCTTTATTTTTTGCACCGCTTTTTGTATTTTTGCATAGTATTTGTCAATATTCCCTCTCTGATGCTCTGTATTGTGTTGGTGGGAATCATCATGTGGATGATGCCACAGTGGAGGGAAGAAGTCCTTCTACCAATACTCAAGACCATGTTTGTAAAGACAGTCTCCTACCTCCTCTTTTCGATTGCCCCATTCTCGCCGTGGAAATCAGCGCCCCTCATTCGTCGCATTGCCCAGGAATGGAGCGAAGAGTACACTGTTGATGGTATTCATCTTGGCGCCATTTCAGCTCAGGAACAATTCGACAAGGAACGCAAGACCAACATCCGGCATGTTACAGTCAGCACTCTTTCCGGAAAACATGTTGCAGATGTTGGCCGCCTTGATTCAAACGCAAAACACTCCTCCCTTGTTTCGTGTGGGCAGGACGGTCGGATCATTGTCTGGGATACCCGAGGAAACGATTGGATTCTCCGCCTTGATTCCCTTCGACAATCTCAATTTGGACTCACTAGTGAAATGAACCCCACCTACCAACCAAAGACGCCAGCCAACACCAATTCTACCATTACATCACGCCCAAAGTTCACAAAACAATTAAGTTCGGCCCGCTGTGTAAAACTCGATCAGGGAAACAAGTGGGTGGCTGCTGGATTTGAGGACGGCGCCGTTCGGGTGTGGAACCGGACAAGCGGCCAACTAGTTCGTGATTTCCCCCTGTCTACAGAAGTACCAGTCATGATGGAAGAAAGTTCTGGCGCAGAAGTGCGGCGAACAGTTCGTAAGCGACCAAATGGCCAACCCACTCCAGTCAAACCATTTGAACCTCGTATGAAACAGCCCTCGCTGCACCGTGTCAACGACCGTGTGTTAGCAATTGAGTTTCTCGGCACTGTGAGCGACTATTGCCACCCACTTATTGCCCAGGTTGTCGCCAAAACAAATACTCATGAATTCGAAGGTGTCTCTCAAAACCAAATCGTGTCTGTTCACAAGAGCGGTGTGTTGCGCGAGTGGGATATTCTGTCGGGAGAATGCTTCCATACTATTCCTACAGGCCACAAACGTGACATCACTATCTTGCACGTCGTCAGTTCAAAGACCCCACATCGCAAACTCGGACTGACCTGGGTATTCACAGCCTCAAAAGATGGTCTTATCAAATGCTGGCAAAGAAAGATGACCAAGAGCCAGTGTGACGGGTTTGATTCATCCATGTCCACCACATGGAACTGTGTCTACACTATTGACGAACATGCTGGTCAACCTATCACAGCCATGGCAAGTGAACTACTCGCCAACAATGTCAGTGTATTGGTGACAGGAACCAATGATGGTGCAGTAAAGGTCTGGAACCTCGAGACCGGCGATGCTCTTTGTACCCTTTCTACAGGTGGTGTGAAGCGCAAGGATCCTGAGGTTCAGATCGGTGGCCCTTTACTCAAGTTCAGCAAACTTGATACTTCTTTGCCGGATGATCCACAGTTCGCCCAGTATCACCAATTAGATATTAATCCGTCGCATATTCAAGCGGATCATCGCGGTCCTATTACACAGGTCGTCATTACACAAACTTGCAGCACCCAGGTCGTTCCTGATGCCTGCAAAGGTTGTGACACATGTTTCAGCAGCGGGTTTGCTGTTGCTTCTTGTTCCATTGACGATACAGTTCATGTCTGGCGGTTGGAGCGGCAAGAGCGCCAGCCTGCAAAACAGGCATCCATACAACACGACAATAACCATTCCCTTTGTGCTAATGACTATCACCAGAAAGTCTATCGCCGCCCCACAAGAAATACCCCAACTAATACAAGCCCGATTGACCTGGTGTCCCCTTCTATATCCCCTTCTCCTTCTTCACCTGAAATTGACTTTGATAGCCAACGGACGCGGCGCAGAGACGCAGGGGCTGGTCCAAGACGTATCAAACGACACACCCGGCTCCCAGCTCGACCGTCAGTCCCAAGCCTTGGTCTGAGTTTAGATGATATCGAGACAGTTCCGGACATTGAACAGCTCGGTGGAGAAAGTGATGTTCGACTGGTACCTGTATTTTTGGGCAAAATCAATCAAGTTGCAGGCCGGGGGCTTGTGTTTTGCAATAATATGGTCCTGGCTGGTGTACGCCAGAAGAAGGAAGGTGATAGATTGTCGTGGGAGGCCTGGTTTGCTTCTCTTCAGACATTTAAGCCTTCTGATACTGTACCGGGGAGCGACGGCTCGATGTTGGTACCTGTCGAGACTTTTGATCTTGATGATGAAAAGTTGCAATCTATAAATACTACCACTATGACTACTACAAATACAACAACTTCACATACAACTATGCATACATCATCAAATCATTTACTCCCAGCAGACCCTTCAATCACCCGGCGGTTTACTCGCCTGTTTGGCGATATCGCAGACCCGATTCCTCACCAAAAGAAATCATCTCGGAGACGCAACGCACGAAATATCACATCAACCGAAAGTTCTGACGAAGATCTTATTGATCAAGCCGATGAAGAGGACGCGAGAGAGTTGCTGCCATTTTCTGCTATTAGATATCTGGTCCCATTTGATGGCCAGGGATTTAGTTGCGACTTTGGTAATTTTATCAAGATTGTTCGATTTGAAGAACGGACTAGTAGTCTCAATAGAACTGGCCAAGTTGATATCCCTCCTCTTCGTACTGTGATTCCAAAGCCCAAGGTGTCATTTCCTCAAAAAACTTCTTATTCTGCGTGCAAGAGCAGCGATTGCACTTCTTGCAGTTCAGGTGTAGATGGAAAATGCCCTCTAAAGAACTCAAGTTAGATAATTTTATTCGATATGTTTATTACATATATATATACTTTTTTTTTTAAAAAAAAAAGAAAACTATCTCTTACTCTATTATTGCTTGACCAAATCTATATATCAATACTCTATATATCTCTACGATGTACATACATGCATTATACATATTTGACACTAAAGACTCCTTATTTTTCTCTCTCTTAACACTTTCTTTTATATATAAATGGCTTATATATTAATATCATCATTAATGTTTTAGGTGTTGCTTCTGTTAAATTATTTTATATATTGAATATGTTGGTATAAAGATGTTACAAATATATATATGATAATGATTTGAAGTAGATGAGAAAAATAATAGTTATTAATTAATTAGTTAATTGAACTCCAAGGTAATTCAACTAGGTCCAAATTGATCAGGACAACAAGCGTTTTCTGAACATGAAGCGTCGATACATTTCAATAGACATGTTTGATCGTACGAGCCCTATAATTGTGTGAATCTCTCTCTCTCTTTTTTTATTTTCTTTTTAGGCTGTTTTTATTTGTATTCTCTGATAATTATAAAGTATGGCTTGTTCTCTTACCTCGGAAGAATGCATGGCTCGTTCCTGATTAGACCGTATATCTGGCTCACCAATATTGCCTTCAAGGCTCCAATCTCCAGAATCGGATTCAGTATTTTCCCCATTCTCGGGAAGTTTAGGATCTTTAATCAACAGTACGCTTATTTCTCTTTCCATTGAAGCTTTGGGTCTTGTGTCAGTAAATTCTGGTTGAATTGTGGCTGAATGTACACCATGTCCATGCAGTATTTTGCGCATGTGTGCTGCAGTTTCCATGTAATTAGATCTTGATGCAAGCAAAACGTGAACAGAAGCAATCAATTTTGTATCCGATAGTTGCCAAATATGCAGCTCATGTACAGATAAAATCCCATCAATCTACATCAATTTGATTTGTATATATGATTGATTTAATTGACCAACAATAAAAATAAATCAATTAAGAATTTGCATAGTGTTTCTTGTGATGAACACCTTTTTCTTTATTTCTTTCTTTCTTTTTTATATCCTACCTGTAATAATTCAAGGCGTACATCGTCTAGACGCACGGTACTCGGGACACCTTGTAGCAAAATGGCTGAAGTTTGACGTACTGCACAAAAATAAGAATAGGAATACACATTGTAAATACAAGAAATAAAAAGGTGTAAGAATCATAAAATCATCTTTCTTTACCTAATGGTACGGCTGAAATAAAGATGATGATTGAAATGATCAGACTGGTAATTTATAAACAAAAAGCAAATGAATTTTGTAGCGATTATACTTTGACTTTTGTGCGTTTGTTCTCTTTATATATATATGTGTGTTTTTTTAAATGCATTTTTTTTGGGGGGTGATCTGTACCTCACAATAGGATCAAGGTAAAAACGCCACTCAAATGGGGTTAGCCAAATAAAGAGAGCTGTGATAATAACACCAACGTTGCCTAGTGCATCCCCCAAGACATGTAAGAAGATCTAAAGATGTGCGTATGCGTATACATATTCAAGAATTGGCTTTACTTTCTTATGACCTTTGTAAATTAAGATGACTTACTCCTTTCATATTAAGATGTCCTCCATGCTCATGGTTATGGTGATGCTGCAGGGAATCGTTCGGATTTGCTTCTAAGCTACTTTCATGTTTTGGATTTTCATGGCTGTGTTTGTGCTGAGTATTTTCAAGGGTGTATTGTGCATCTTCTTGACCATGGTTGTGGCTGTTGCTGTGGCCGTGGTCGTGGTTGTGGCCATGATTATGCCCATGACTATGACTATGACTATGCCCATGACCATGACCATGCTCTAAATTAGATTTGGTGAATATCTTAATTCCTCTAGTTTTTTGACTCTTTCAATTGCTTCTTTTTAATTGTGATCCCCTTGTACATCCCCTTTTAATATTTTTCTTTTCGGAAAAAAAAACTTCTAAAGAAATATATATTAATATGTGCATAACATACCATGGAATAGAAAGAGACCCAAGAGATTGCCGGCCAATCCTGCACATCCTGTGATTAATACCATGACTGGATTTGTTACTGGCTCAGGGTGTACAAAACGTTCAATGGCATCAATCACAATAGTAAAGCAAAGAGCTATCAAAAAGACACCGTTGATGAGTGCACCGAGGATCTCAGCTCGCTGCCATCCGTAAGAGTATTTAGAATCCCACTGGGTTTTTAAGGCTATCTATTTTTACAATATAAGAAAAAAAGAATAATCAGACAATAATATTAAAATGCTTGATGCACGCTATGATATATATATATATACATATATACATGAAAGCTATAATCAAGTATTATGTGTATGTGTACAGATATGCTTATATTCATGTTCTTGTTCTTGTTCTTGTTCTTACTTTGACTGCCCACAAAGCAACTCCCATAGCCAGCATATCGTTCAACATATGAAATGAATCAGCTACCTAATAATCATAATGTTAACAATTGTCAGAGAAATATTATCCATTAAGGATTTTGTGTGACAAACCAATGCAAGTGATTTGACATAATATCCAATGACGATCTCGACTAGAAAGAAGCCAGTTGTAATAAATAGCATCAGAGTGATGCGAGTTTGTCTACTCAGACCCATTGAAATTTACGTATAAAGATATAAGAAATATATATATATATATATGTGTGTGTGTGTGTGTGTGTGTGTGTGTGTGTGTGTGTGCAAATAAGGTACAATAATAAGAGAGACAAAAAGATAAGGGAAAAAGAGAGGAAAAGAGAGGAAAAGAAAAGAAATAAAATAGAAAATTTCCAATTAAAATATATATACATGTATTCAATGCTATAATTCTTATTCTTATTATTTTGGGACATGTTTATATTTATTTTACTAGACTCGTAAAATATAGTGTATGCGTGCATTTATGTATTTATACGGAGCCAGTGAACAAGTTTAGTGAAAGGGGTATAAGGGGGAGTATGCTTATACAAGGCTTGCGGCTTGGTAACGGTTGTACACACAAATTAATGTATTAGATCAATAGCTGAAATAAAAGAAAATAGTAATATATGTATTTAAGAAAAGATGAAAAGCTGTATAAGACAGTCAGTTTGAGCAAGTTCATATGCTACCTGTACTTCTCTACTAGACCATTATCAATATTGAAAATGAAGGGAAGGACATAGAAGCTAGTGTATTATAATGAGGTTTAGCCACACTATTTATTGACCCTAGCCCTACCAAATTTATCTTGTTTGGATTATGTATGTATATATATAAATGATAATATTTGTATTATTCAAAGCCTTTGATTTCACAAAAGCCAAGGCAAATGAAACATTTGATGTATAAAAATAATATATACATATATGTTCTAAAGATACAACAGTAGAATTATGCCATCATATTGTCCATCAAAGCACAACTTCTTTACGACACGATCGTACATACAGACATAAAGAATTCTAAAAATTGCAGTTAAATACAATCTCATGTACAAATATGGAAATGTGACAATAGAAATATTTCCAGTTGAATTTTTATAAATAGTTGGATGTGTTTGTTTGAATTCCAGACATCAGGTACCAAAAAAAAAGAAGCTCATCTTTTCTCATGTCCCTATAAACATCTTTTGAATTAAAGACACTGTTCCCTTATTAAATAGAGCAAAGTGTAGACTTTAATTCAAGGGCTTATCTAAATGCGCAGAAAATATTATCTATTAAATAAATATTTAACTTGTATATCTGTAAACCCAACGAATAAAAGCATTAAAATATCCAATAGACACCTCAGTAGATATCATTAACCTTTGAGATATTCTACTTTAACCAGTCACTTTTTTTTTTAGAAAAAAAAAACTGACAGGGAGAAGATCAGTGAGAATCAGATAACTAATACCGAAGATCCCCGCATAAAGTCACCATTCATTTTTGCAACCACATTCTATTTGTATTGAAGAATTAGAAATACTTGTCAACGATATCAGATCCTTGTACTCACAATAGCCTTACCCCGGGTAATCAGATGCGTTTGCACCTCCTCAGCCTCTCTATTTACACCTTCTATATCTTACCTACTTGATCTTATTGTTCCTGACTTGCTATTTATTGACTCACATATACTACCGCCACTTGCCTTCCTGACATTCTATTATTTATTTATTTTCTTAAAAAAGAAATGTCTACCATTATTTACTATTACTACCAATAATTTAGTATGATTTATTTATGTAGAAAGTAACAATGATAGCAAAAAGCAAAAAAGAATCCGTCTTCGCCGAACTATACAGTGGACCAGGACATCTATACGCCATTATGTCTCTGGCTTGATAATCTGATATAAACTTTGTACTACTTGATTCTTAAATAAAATAAAAATAAAAGTCCTTCACTGGGAGAAATCTGGGAATTTATAAAGTAATCTGTCCGACATTTTTTTTTTCCAAATAATTATAAAAAGAAAAGGATCAGATAAGAAGAGCCGATTTTTTTTTAAAAATATTTAATACGGTCTTTCTTCACCTCTTTACTTTTATACATACACCTTTTTTTTTATACTTATTCACCCATAATTCTCGCATCTACTATTATCAAAATGGTTGCTGAAACTATCACAAAGAAGAATATCGTTATTATTGGAGGTTCATGCGCAGGTAATAATTTTTTTTTAAAAAAAAATTGTAATACATCTTTTGTTAATATATTTGGGGAATCAAGCTATTGGTGGTGCATTGGCATGGAAAGTCAACCCTTCTCCTACACATCGTCTGGTTATCATCGAAACAAAATCTCACTTCAACCATGTCTTTGGCTTCCCTCGTGCGTCTGTCATTGGTGGCTTTGAGCGTGAATTGTTTGTGCCCTATGCCAATCTGTTTGGTGGAGATGATAGCATAGGAAAGGTCATCAATGCCAAGGCTGTAAAGATCAATGCTAATTCAGTTGAACTTGACCGAGAAGTTACTGGGTTTGGAAAAGAAATTGAATTTGACTATATGATCTATGGTGCTGGTACAACCATTCCATCTCCTGGTCGATTGACCTGTGACACCAAGAAGGAAGGCATTAGTATTCTTAAGAACTACCAGAAAATCATCAAGGATTCTAAGCGTCCCATCATTATTGGTGCTGGTGCAGTTGGACTAGGTAAGTTTAACCATTGGTACCGTATTAAATATATACATAATTTTGGTTTTGATGATATTTTTTTTGGCTTATTTGAAATATTCATTTTCTTTTATGTTGTAAAGAATTGGCTGCTGAGATCAAGGAACATTATCCTGAGAAGGAAGTGACTTTGTTGCATTCCCGTGACAGATATCTTCCTCGTTACAAGATCAGCTTGCACGACATTACCTACAATATTCTCAGAAAGCATGGTGTCCGCCAGATTATAGGTGACCGTGTTATTCTTCCGGCAGGTGGCTTTCCTCTACAGGTCAAACCCATTACAGTCAAAACCAAGGGCGGAAAAGAGATTGAGGGTGATTTGGCTGTAAGTATAATAAGCTAATTTTTTTAAAGAAATATATATTCAAATATGATAGTAACATTGCCAATTCTCTGTAGATTATGTGCATTGGTATGACTCCTAACAGTAATTTGATTGCCGAGCTTTCACCCAAGTCCATCAACCATGAGAATGGTTTTATCAAAGTCAAGAACACCATGCAGCTTGAAGATAGTGCTTATCCTCACATATTCGCGGCAGGGGATGTAATTGATCACAAAGATGTCAAGACAGGTCATTTTGCGTGGATGCAAGGCATGGCAGCCTACGACAACATCCGTAAACTTACAGAAGGAATGCCTTATGAGAAGTTAGAGCCTTATGTCAGCAAGGATGTTGCATTAATCAAGTTGATTCTTGGAGATGTAAGTTACTTTGACAAATCCTTGCTTATATATACATACACATATATTGATCCTAATCACTAATAATATTCATACACACATGTTTTTTTTTGGAATATACAGAAAGAGGCGTCAATGCAGACAAATGTATTTGGACCCTTGATTACTGTGGGCTCATGGATCGCAGGTCGCTCCATTCCTCGCAATGTATATGCCTCTGCAGCCTGGGGCTGGGTCGATACTCCTTTGGATGATGAACATTCTGACCAATGATTACTTTGTTCATAGCCTTTATATTTCTTATTCTTTTATCTGCCTACTTTTCCTATATTCCCTCTAGCCATTCTTGTTAATCTTGTTTTCTTCTTATTTGCTCTTTTCTTTATATATACTACGATATTTAAAATAAACTAAAGGACATATATATATATAAAATGAATATGATTCTTATATTGCACTTTATGTAATATGTACATTTTAGCTTTATTAATGCTTGATTGGGAGCTCTATAAAACTTACTTTATTTAGCATATTAAAGACCCTAATAAATACAAATGAACGTATTTCTAAACAAAGTTTAGTAGCCACTCCAGCTTACTATCACTGTTACGATTACAATTACCAACATCATTACCATTACCATTACCATTACCATTATCATGGATGATATGTGGGTCTCTAGTCCAAGCCTTTTAGACCAGTACATAAGCCTAGAAGTCATACCAATTTCAACTTAATAACTGGGTATCAAATCAAATGGCCTCTATCTCTTTATTTCTTGACCTATTAGGTTAGGAGTTACATATTTGGTGTCGGATGCAACTTCGGATGCTTAGGCTTTACATAGATACATATTTATCTATTTTCTTTGTGTGTGTCTGTGTGTATATGTTTGTATTTTTCTATATCCGAAAGGGGAAACATGGCCTATCATTTACAAAGCCTAGAGATATTTTGATTATTATTTTTAAAAAAAAATAGTAAAATACAGGGCTTATTTATTCCTTTTTTGAACAAAATAAAGAAGCCCCAGCTTACCATTGTCCACATGGATGATCGATTGGTTTTTTTTTTTTTTGTTTTTATCTTTAAGAGGCTTAAATATGAATTGATATGGAAATAAACCTTTCAAAATCAGGTGCTTGTTATTTATGTCTTTAATTTTAAAAGACAAACAAAAAAAAGGAAGGGCAGAGAAGGGGGTCGATCACTTAGTTTTTTTTTTGAAGTGCTGACAATCAACATGTTTAAAGGGCCTGTTTGTCATTTCTACATCATTGTTTTTTTTATTTTATTAATATTTATATTTATATCTTTATTTATTCGAGATCTTTCCTAAGTTTGGAACAAATAAAGATCGCCATGGTTACTAATACATATTACTAAAATAAATAAATAAATTCTACTTCTTTTATATGTGTATGTATGTATTTCATCATATACAATATATTAACAGCAATGAAAAATCTTGCCGCCATATCATAATTTTCTTGGGTGCTATACCAGACAGAAAGCTCCTTTGTATTAGCTAAAAAGCCACATGACGTTGAGACAATATCCTAACCTTGCTTGGACTCCACAGCTCGTCGTGGGAAATGGGCTTAGGGAGGTTGATTGAGATACACATACTGCTTATACATGCAATCTTTTGTCTATAGAATTGACAAGCTATTATCTTGTTACATCTATAAATTCTTCTTTGCAAATAAAAAAGTGTATACTACTTATAGTTACAGTAGTATATACAATGATATATATGTATATATATATGTATGTATATATTGGTACCAAACAACGTTAATAGAATATAAAAGTCTCATGATAATGTAGCTATGTATCTATCGGTGTGTGTGTGTATATGGAATATGAATATAAAAATACAATTGATGAAGGTAGAGGCGTTTGGTGACATTTAGAGGCTTGTTTAGGATGCCGCCTTTATTTTTAGACTATATGGTGCTTCGGTTAGAAAAATGGCAAATGACAGGAATAAGCCGTAAATTGTGGTGAGAGGTACGATAATTTCTACAATCTTATTTCAAGGTCACGTACACTTTAAACAAGGTTGCCAAGCAACAAAGCTGAAACTTGAGCGGAGAGAACATGACGAAAATAATACAAAAAAATAACCAAAATAATACAAAATACAAAAAAAACTTGTGTTTTTGATTTTTAATTTTTTTTTAGTATAAAAGAACCTTTTGTTACCGCTTCTTTCTTTTCATTATTCACTCAAACTATCAACAACACCAACACAATAATAATCATGTTCAAGTTTATTGTCGTCGCCCTCTTCTCTCTTCTCTCTCTTGCTTCGGCAATCGTTTGGAATGCCCCAATGTATGGCTTATTGCTTGGTCAATTATTCAGTACCTAATCTTTGTGTCTGTTTGTCATTAGCACCTCTCCTTCCTCTGGAACAAAATGGAGAGCCGGAGGAACCTACACAGTCAAATGGTAAATAGAGAGAAATAACAAACAAAACAAAAAAAGACACACGACATTTAACAATTGCCCCTTTAGGAAACCCACTGTCGCAGGAATGCAAATCCCAGAAGGTGTCACGTAAGTCACAAACAAAAGGCACACAAAGAGATATATCATCAGGACCACTTGTACGAGTTGATAGCTTATCATACACACATACATATTTATAGTGGTTCTATCATGCTTGGATATCTCATCGGCAATGACTACAACGAGCACTTGAGTAAGTTATTGTCTGTGTTTGTGAATAATCATCATATATACTCATTCGACATCAATAGACTGGAATCTTGGCTCTGGATTCGCTCTCAACAAGGGTGCATATACCATCACTCTTCCCTCTAACCTTGAACCCAGAACAACATACATTATCGTACTTATGGGTGACTCTGGAAATGCTTCCAAGAAGTTTACCATTCAATCTTCCAAGAGCTAAGAAAGCTGATCTAGGAATATCGTTTTAAATCTACAAACTTTCTTTATCCCAGGATCCAAAAAAAAAAACTCCTTTGTACACTTTATATCTCATATACATATACTTATACATATCTACTATCTTAATTTTACTTTTACCTTTACTTCTATTTCTACTTGTCTTTTTTTTCCTGATCATTTTTAATGGGATGTGTATTAAATAAATAAAAAATTAAATCAAAATAAAAAAAATCAAAGCCAAATATACTATTGCTCTTTACTTCTTCTTCTTATATATCGAATCATCTTGTTTACTCGTATTTCATACCATGACGAACTTCCTTTCCATGCTGAACAAGTTTGTTCATCGAAGCAACCCCAAATATAAAGGAACTGGCAGTCCACTTGGCAATGTTGATTGGGCTGTACCATTTACGTCGAATACAAGTCACCATAGTAGCAAAACTCTCAAATACGTGAACTAGTACCGTAGTGCGCCAAATGTTATCAATCATTTTTGGGCCAAGGTAGTTTCGGAACTGTATGAGGGCTTGAGGAAAATGCTGGCGAATATAGGTATCGGGAGCATAACGATACAAGAACAATAAACCCAGACCGGCTGCAATCATCATTTGCCAAAAAGGATCTGCATTATAAAATACATCCAACGGAGCGGCGGGTTCTTCAGGTGTGTACATGTTTGTAGCCTGAGCATACATAGCTTTGGCAATAGCATTTAAAGGTGGAGGACCTGATAATGAACTAGGCTATAATGTAAAGAAAAGAAGGGGAAAATTCAAATGGGTTTGATTCATGTCAATACAACCCAAAAAAAAACTAAATTTAATTCTCATTTATGCTTATTTCTCTATAACAGTAGGAATATTTACCAAGCCTAATGCTGACTCAGCTTCTTTGGCCATAGATTCCAACACAGGGCGAATCTCTTCTCGGCGTGTCAAGAGATGAGGAAAGGGAATGACAGACTCTCCCCTTGTTCCATCACCCAGAATGTATTCAACAGTGAATGTACGGGAGTTAAGACTCTTGAATGTGGCCGACACGGCACTGTCCTGTCTACCAAAATAACGCACATAAGCCAGGTTGGTGGCTAGCATGTAAAGCAAAACAGTTGAGTAATATTTCGACTTTAAATATATACGTATATATATATACATTACCTGAATGAACGCTCATGTAAGCTGAGATGGGTGCACTGTGAGGAGCAATGAGATCAGGCGCCATGATGAAGTGTATTGAGGATAAAACAGAAAAGTGTATAGAATAAGTTTGTGCTTCATATCATTCTTTTTTTAAAAAAAACGAGAGTGACCAACTGAGTCTTAACCAGTCTTATCCGAATACACCTTTGATAGCTCTTTTTGCTTTTTTTTTTGTATTGAAGCACTCAAATTTTTGCCGCTTCGAGTTTTGGCCTATCAGACTCCCAGAAACATAGTTACTCTGTACGACTCTCTCTTTCTCTCTCTTTGAATTTTCTCTATATCTTTATGTGAATAATCAGGCAGAATAAGGATGATAAAGAAGAAGACGCTTAATATATAGCATAGTTGGTGGCCAAACAAAAAATAATGAAAGTAAAATACAATATATTTAAACTTTATTTAAAATATATACATAGTAGATACTTTATCTATGCATGTACATCTATATTCAATTACGGCTCAAATCAAGATCTCTTACTAACCTTGCAGATAAAGATTATTTTTTTCTTTTTCGAAAAAAAATACTACCTCCTTATTTACACTGTGGTGCAAATAAACATCGAGTAACACAACTTCGACTTTGTACCCTTAATACACTCTCTTATATTCAATTATAGTGGTCAAGCTTGGATACCACCAGGACACACACACTTTCCCCGCATATCCTTTGAATTTTACTTATTCCATTACTTGGACGTGAGAAATATTCTTTATCTTGAAGTACTCTATCGCAGCAAATCACTTTCTTGTGATCTTTATAATACACAGCCAATACCGTAAATAATTATTTGAACAAAAGTATTCATAGAAACAGTTGCTGTGTATATGCCTAGTTCACACAATATCATTGTTGAGAATGAATGAGTAACTATTACATATATCTAAATCCTCTTCTTTAATTTTAATTTACTTTACAAAAGTCAACAAAGCTTAATAGTAACCATATTTGATCAAATAAAAGTAATACGTTTCCTTTAACTGTATCTAATAGAGCATAATACAAGTTTAGGGGCTCATATAGAGACTTGACCCTAAACAAAAGTAGTTTGGCTGATATTTAGGCTACATAGTAACTCCTGAATTCCATTTGTACTGACTATAATGTAGTGAGATATAGAATGCATTAAATTATTTTGAACTGTATTTTCTTTTCTCTCTTCTTGACACAATATGTATCTTAAAGATCTTGTGCTTTTATATTTTTGCTACATTTACAGTACCATCATGCAAATTGCTTTCGTCTAGAGAAAAAAAGGTTAAGAATTGTCTAGATTTCTTTCAAAAAGTGTCTAAATATTAAATATAATTAATCTCAATCTCAAGTAAAAGACACTATTAAAAAAAACTGTAGACCAATACCCTAATGTTCTTGCTGCCAAATAAGCTATATCCTAGACTTCAAGTCGAATAAACAATATTTTCAACTAATTCTTTCTTTTTTTTTTTCGTTTCATACTTTGGTTAAATCGACAGGCTTCTTAATCTTCGTTTTCTTTTATGCAAACACTACAAGTCAGACCAATAATCAAATTTTATCACGCAAACTTCACCTCTTCTCGTATATCAATCGATTGAAAACCAACGAAAGCCTAGAAAAGTAACTTTTGCCTCGACTCTGGTCCATAGCGTAGTCTTGGTAATGAAAAAAACAAGTTTGTATTTTACGGCTGATATTATGAACCAATGAAGGATACAGTAATGATATTTCTATTTCATAAACATGAATTCAACGTGTGTTTGACCAATGAATTTGGCATGTTCGAACACTATCCTTTTTGCTAAGCCCTCTCCCTCTCAAAAACGTTCAAGTAAGCCCCAGACTCTTTACTCATATCGCCACTCTTGAGCGCTAAATGTAACAATGGTATGGTCTTCCAAAGCAATATTGCGACCAGCCTTCATTGTTCTATTATCAATATTATAATAAAGTATTCTAAATATCCCAACCCATTTTTTTTGTAGGACATGGTATCATTACAGTCTGAGCACCATTTGTTAAGTACTATAATGGTGTCCTCATTCTTGAACTACAATAGCTATAAAAAAAAGAGGAAAAGTAATACTTAATAAAACTTCAACCCTTAAAACAACCCTTAAAAACCCCAAGATAAAGTTTGAATTTTTTTTAAATTAAAGTCTCTGATTTTCAGCATAATATATGGATCAAGTCTTTACATTTTAACATGGCATTTGAATAATAATAATAATAATAATAATAATAATAATAAATATGAAGCATGATTGACACAATTCTGGTATATAATACCAATGAAACGGATTTTCGCATTTTCAGTAAGCCATGAATTGGTGCACCCGGTATTTAATAATGTACAACTTACAGTGCAGGTGATTTTTTTTTTCAAATTTTGTGTTCGGATATTCCCAGTAGACTTTACACTTGGTGTACTGATTTCTGTAGCTATAATTTTATTATTATTATTATTATTATTATTATTATTATTATTATTACTATCATTCAATATACTTTAGGTCTATTCCTCTTAATAAATCATATATATGGTACTAGTATTTCAAAAGTCAAAAATAAAAGAAGAAGAAGAAAAAGAATACATAACCACGATTTTAAATAGATACAAGAAGTGCACTGTATCTTTCTTTTCTTTTAATAATAATGCATACGATTCTCCACATAATTTACAGTATGGTGACTACATTTTTTTTTTACTTTTTTACCAATGTGAATATTTTTATAATAAGTAGCTTTGTGTTCATGGGTTTTTATTGGACAACAGGCCAGGTTTAATAATCGACAAATTTCATTCTTTTTTTTTAAGCGTAATAAATAAATGAACTGAAAAGCATTGTTCTGAGAATGATATGCCAGAGTTGTTATGGGTGTTAAGAGACAGAATTTTGTTCAAGATTCTAAGCTAGCCGATCAATTTTTTATATGCGTGTGTGGATGTTGTGCGGTAATATGAATGAGCGTTGTACTATATAGATATGTATGTATATTTATATAAAAGTGGGGTAGTACGGATCATAGCCACATCACCAGAATGTACACTTCTCCATGCTTTTGTCCCATGTAATCTAAAATACTCTAATCAGATTATATATCCCTTTTTCTTTTTCTTTTTTACAACCGTCATCACTAAGCACTACTAAGCACTAATACCATCCTCATTTGAAGATTTAAAGAGAGGCGAATGTCACATGGTAAGCAAAATTATCGATATACTTTGCATTTGGATAATCTGCCCAAATAGAAAAGAAATATTCCCATCCTTGAATATTCAACGACATGCGTCTATTATTATATTTTGTGTATGATATAGATACTTTGTATTTGGTAAGGAAGAGAAACTATAAGGACTTTAAAGAGTAAAGGGAAAAGGAAGAAAATAAAGAAAGGTAAAATATCATAGTATGCCATATATATATATATATATGTTTTTTGTTGTTGTTGTTGTTGTTGTTGTTGTTGTTGTTGTTGTTGCTGTTGCTGTTGCTGTTGCTGTTGTTACTGTTGCTGTTGCTGTTGTATCAAGACTCATCAGTATAGGTTTCTTTTGAAAGTGAATACTTGGATAACTGGGGCGGCCGGGAAGCGGAAGAAAAAAAGAGGGGGTTTGAACTTGACTAAGCAGTAGTATCACTATTGCTGCTACTCTTGTTTGTCTATAGAATCATAAGCACATTGTTGTTAGCTCTTTATCGTCTTCAAGGCCTTATTTCTTATTTTACCTGTGTACCAACAATAGAACCTATGTAGATAAAGGGTTTAATTTATTTATGTATTGAATTATTAGCATTTTCTTCTTTTTTTTCTTTTTTTTTTTTTGGTTCAATCACTTGATTTATTTTATTTTATATATATATATATTCATAATATAAATAGTAAACTTACCGATAATGATGCCAAGGATAACGAGGATGGTTACAGCAATAATAATCTTCCATTTCAAATCCTTCCACCACATACGCTTACGTACTTGGTTTGCGCCTCTGCGGAAGTGTCCGGCTGTTGACTGAAGGTCCTCTACAAACGCAAAAATAATAATAATCAGTATTAAATATTCAAACGGAATTTATTCTTCTTCTTTTTCTTTTTTTTTCTTTCATATAATGATATTGGTTACACAGCAAAAAGGCAAAAATAATAAAAAATAATAATAAAAATAATAAAGCGGTAGTAGTCGAACCTGTTTTTCCTCGAAGGTCGTCCAATCTTTCACCACGCTGCATGACTTTATCGATGTTCTCTTGCATAATATTAACAACCTCGTCTACTTGTGCTTGTACACGAGTCGTCTTTTGGTTGCCTCCTGCGCCGGCATTCTGCTGACCAGCACGCGGGGTGTTTGGAATATAGGGGTCGTATGGCTCAGACCTATTTATTGTTGTTGTTATTATTATTATTTGTGTAAGATGTGTGTGAGATGACCAAGGCAATCAAGTTATTCCAGAGAATCTTGACAACTTACATTAGATAATTACAAAGAAAAGTATGGACAATAAAAAAAGAAAGAAATAGAGAAAAGAGAAAAGAGATGAAAAGGTTACAGAGGGAGAGGGAGAAAAACTGTTGGGTTTGAAGACCAAGTCCGAGACGGAAAACCTCAAGTGATGTCATGAATAGAAGTGGTGATTATAGCAGGACATATATATATATATATATATACAATCTGAATTGAGCAAATCATTGCTGCGCTCGATCATTAACCACGGCACTGTATATGCTGTTGAGACTCAGAATTCTAATTCTTTGGCTTAAGCTTCTCTGCCTTGAAATGAGGATAGTAGTTCGCTAAATGATTTAGTATATGCTTACACATTTGTTCACCTCTAAAGGTGACATGAGATCTAGACTCCCATACCTGGTTTTCTTATTTTGATCAATACAATTATACTATTAAACTGTCAGACTTAATCCCTTTCTTCATTTATTACCCTTGTGTCTATTTATAATATCCCTTTAATTACTTAAAGCAAATGGTTGGCGCAGAAGAGGGATATACTTAAAATGATAATAATGAATTAAAGGTCTACATTTTATAAAAACCTAAAAATAAGATTGTGTGTTGATTACAAGACAAGGTCTTGGAATCAAGAAAGCCTTCAAGTCTACAAAACACACATCTCATACTCAAGAGTCTTTTGGGAATTATTGTCCCAAGGATTCTACATTTTGATGTATAGCAAATTATTTCAAGTATATTTAAACTTTCTCTCCTTTAATTCAAGTACTCTAGTAGACCCACACACGCACAAAATATATATAAATTTACTCGAGACAACTCCTTTGACAAAGAATACAACCGATTTCCCAATAACATTTAAACTAGGTTTGGCTGGTTATATAAAGGCACATCGATTGTATTATATATTGATTTGTTTTTACTTTAAACAATAATCTCATACATCTTTTTGTAGTATAAGTTGAAAGATCTCATCAACATAAGAAACCAAAATGCTTGGAAACACCGACACTAGACTTTTTCTTTTATTCATTGTACTCTCAATTAATTTTGAATTGAGACTCTTAAAGATAATGTCCAACACAATGGTTAAAGGTGTTTAGGAAGATAAAGAAGCTTAAAGACATTAAAGATGAATATGTAAAGTATATATCTTTTTTTCATTTTTTTTTTAAAAAAAAGGTATTAATCACTATCCAATTTTGTAGCTTCAAATTTAGTTCACTTTTATTTATGTTGGTCAAGAATGCCAAGTAAGTGAGTACTAATATAGTAAGTATTGTAATAATCTTTTAAAAGAACAGTCAAGAGTAATGATCCATATTGACGATTATTAGACGTCGTTAAAATATATTCAAAGCCTAGCCGTTTTGCGTTATACCAAACTAATTATTACCGCTGTATGTAACAGTTAAAAGGAGATAGGAATATATATGACTCTAATTATGCTTCCTAGTGATGATTTTGCCAAAGAAAAGAATATGGAATGCAAAAACTCATATTTGATACATTGACAATCCAGTCAATGCATAAAAAAAAGCGTACTTGACAGTGCAATATATATATATATATATAAATGTGTGTGTAGAATCCCTGGGCCAATTTTCAAGGAAATCACCCTATCTAATATGAATTAAAGGTAATCACGACATCTCCAAAACGGTAAGCTTCTAAAAAAACAAAATAAAGTAAAATCATCCAAAATTAACTATAGTCATTCTGCTGCCTTCCTTCAGTACAGTGCAAAACGTACTTCATTTTCCCACACAAAACATATACATGTAATATAATTGATCCAAAGACACACTAGAATGTTGAATTTCGTTCTCCTTCCCTTTCATCAACAATAATATATTCAAACGGATCATAACTATAGCTCATAGCCAAGGGGAATGGAAATTAGATAATAAGACCATATTTGACTATTTAAAGAAAAAAAAAGGTAATATAATTAACGATTGGTCTATCCACTCTGCATAATGATGTGACGCAACTGTTCGGTCAATTCAAGAAGAACAATATAAACGTGTAACCCTTGAGATGGCCATTTATCCCTTCGGTTTATTAATACTCATTCAACCCCCAATCCCTCATTTCATCCTTATTGAGGTGTTTATTGTTATAAACATACGTTTTTCTGGTTGATCGATCTTTTATATAGATTGATATCATTGGTGTATACTGATAGAAAGGAAATCATCTATCATGAAGCAATATTATTGACTGCTGATGGTTTTTAAATAGTATGTACATTTATAATTGAAGTGTTCTTTACTGTACCAATAGCCATAATCGTTGTATTTGCTCTTTGTTTTATTTATCATATATTAGTGAATAAAGCACAAATTAGCCAACAACTACAGTAGTAGTAACAATTCATCAAAACAATTTGGAATCATGCAATGATTTACGTAAAATAATTAATATTATCCAATCATCATTGACTTTTAGCATTATATACCAACCTTTTATTTTATATGCGTCTTTATCGCAACTTCTTGCTTTACTTTCATCTGTGTCACAAAAAAAAACCTTCTTTTTAAAGTATGTCACGTGCCTTACTTATATTTTTGACGTCATCATCCAACCGAGTCCTAAAGGCTTTTTCTTTTATTAACTTTTTTTTTTAAAAAAGAAAAATTCTATTTATTATTTGACAGCAAGCCATGTCTGACCGTAAAGCCGAATTGTCCCAACTCATCGAAGCTCAGGGCAACAAAGTGCGCTCTCTCAAGTCCCAAAAGGCCGAAAAGGCTGCAATCGATGCTGAAGTTGCTGTCCTCAAAGGCCTTAAGCAAGAATTAGCTATCCTTGAAGGTGTTGCTGGTGGCGACAAGGCTAAGAAAGTTGCCAAGAGTGCATTCACTCTCAAGACTGCCAAGGTACCTTTCTTAAAGCTGTAGAATATAATATATACATAATACTTTCACTAGCCAGTCAGCCATTCAGTTAATTAATTAATTAAAATATTTTACCCCCCTTTTTTTTAAAAAAAAAAAGGCTTTAAAACAAATGTATAAGATAATATACTTTGTGAGGGAGATAAATTCTAATAATTGACTTAAAAATGCACCTTTTTTTTAGGGTACTAAAGATTACAATGACAAAGACATGGCAATTCGCGAAAAAGTGTTCTCGACCATTACCTCTGTATTCAAAAAGCACGGTGCTGTCACAATTGATACACCCGTGTTCGAACTCAAGGTACCTTACTCAGAAGACGGACAGCTGCAATAATAATATTTCACAGCTTATTATTATTATTATTATTATTATTATTATTATTATTTCTGATCTGCTGCGAACAATTTGGAAGGTGTAATATTGACTCATACTCTCTGGACAAAATAGGAAATTCTTTCTGGCAAGTATGGAGAGGACAGCAAATTGATTTATGATTTGGCAGATCAGGGTGGTGAAGAGTGCTCTTTGCGTTATGACTTGACCGTAAGTAAACAATACACACACGAACACACCCACACACACACATATATATATATTTTAAAAACCAATGATGAAGACGACAACAGCACAATCATCAGCATAATCATCCAAAAACTCATATATCCACACAAAAAGGTTCCTTTTGCCAGATTCTTGGCTATGAATGGTAAAGAATACCAGAACTTCAAGCGTTACCACATTGCCAAGGTCTATCGTCGCGATCAGCCTGCCATGACCAAGGGCCGTATGAGAGAATTCTACCAGTGCGATTTCGATATTGCTGGTACTTACGATGCCATGATTCCCGATGCTGAGATTCTCCGCATCCTTTGCGAAGCTCTGACAAACTTGGATATCGGAAAGTTCACTGTTAAGCTCAACCATCGCAAAATTCTCGATGGTATTTTCCAGGTTTGCGGTGTACCTGAAGATAACATTCGTCCCATTTCATCTGCTGTTGATAAGCTTGACAAGGTAGTTTTTTTTCTCTTTCTTTATTACAATTAGTAGAATTACCATTGGCTACTTGTGTGGGTTCATTAAACAACTGCTTATATATATATATGTGTGTGTGTTTGTGATATAGCTCCCCTGGGCCGATGTTAAGAAGGAGATGACCGAAGAAAAGGGTCTGGCACCCGAGGTCGCTGACAAGATTGGAGAGTACGTGAAGCTCAAGGGTGGTCGTGACTTGTTGGAACGTTTGTTAGCCGACGAGAACTTGACCAAGAACACAAGTGCCTTGGCAGGTCTCCAGGATATGGAGCTTCTTTTCGATTATCTTGATGCCTTTGAAATCACTGAAAAGGTAATTCATTCTTCTTATCCAAGCAAAACAACAACAACAATAATAATAATCGAAATAATTGTATTACAGATGTCCTTTGACTTGAGTTTGGCTCGTGGTCTTGATTACTACACTGGTATCATTTACGAAGCTGTCACTGAAAAGTCTGCTCCTCCCAGTAAGTCAATCGAAGAAATTACACGCAGGATAATAAAAATTAAGAATACATAATGGCAATACGAGCAACATATTAATTATAATGCTGGGTATAATTGATTATTTAGAGCCTGTTGAGGGTGCTGTTGCCAAGCCAAAGAAATCTACTGATGAGTTCGACGAGTCTACTGTCGGTGTTGGATCAGTTGCTGCTGGTGGTCGTTACGATAACTTGGTTGGTATGTTCTCCGGCTTGAACAAGAAGGGTGAGCCCAACCTGAAGATCCCCTGTGTTGGTGTATCTATTGGTGTTGAACGTGTATTCTCAATCCTCATGGCTAAGCAAAAGCCTGAGGCTATTAAGAGTAACGAGACCGAGGTTTATGTGATCGCTGTCGGCGACGGTCTGTTGACTGAGCGCATGCAGATCGCCTCTGATCTCTGGAAGGCCGATGTTAAGGCCGCCTTCTTGTTCAAAAAGAAGCCTAAGCTTGATAAGCAATGGGCCGCGTGTGAAAAAGATCAGATTCCATTTGCCGTTATCATTGGCAGAGATGAACTTGATCGCGGTGAGATTAGAATTAAGGACATGCGTTCCAAGGATGAATCCCAAGGTGGTGGTGTGACATACAAGCGCGACGATATGGTCAAGATCCTGAAGGAAAAGATTGCCCAGCTCTAATTGATAAAATAACAAGCAATCAAGCAAGCAAAAGGGATAAAGATATATCTATATAAATATATACATATAAAAATGGCAAACTAATCAAGATTATCCATAAGGAAGAGCTGTTTTTTTCTTCTTCCTCCTTCCTATTATCTGAACCATCTGCAATATACAATACATTATATATATAAAAAAATGTACAGAAATATATATATAAATAGGTACAAATTTGTTCCGGAGGAAGGGACGGGACGGGTAAGGATGGGACTGTTTTAGTACTACCATTTTTGTTTCTGGATTAAGCCAGCGTGACGGTCCATGCGCATGGACCTGAATATTAAATATCTATATATATATATATCAGCTCTTGCCAAAAATCTGGATCAAAACTTGTTCTTCTTTATCTGACACATACACATACTCTCTCTTTCTCTCTTTCTCCCTTTCTCATATACTCACACATATACTCATATGCTCGTATTAAAGAAAATGCCATTTCATGTATCTTTCAAAGATCACATTACTCCAGTTGAACATCCTCTGACAACAGAAGATCCGCCATCGAATGCCAATCCACTCAATCTTCTTCCTGTTCATCCATCGGATCAAACAAAACCAATGGTACTAGAGCAAGACGATCCGAATAAAATACCGAGCTTATCCATAGACAGTCAATTGGCCAATGCTACCGAAACTCTTGCTTTAGACCCTTCTTATGATGGACCATATGATTATGAAGAGGACGAAGAAGACGAAGCCTTACGTCTGACAACTGAAGCCAATCGATTGATCCCTGTAATCGAAGAAGCCGAATCAAACATACAACCCAACACGAACGGCTTGGAACCTGATCTTTTGGTGTTTTCAGACCATGTTACAAAGACTGTAAAGTCGGATCGGATAGTAACAAGCATGGTGTATGGTGCCGGAAAGAACGGAGTATTGGCAGTAAACATTAGACCTAAGCGGAAAAGACGGACGTATTTGGCAGCCTGTGATTTTAGCGATCATGGATATTATGCCCTTGAATGGGTGATGGGCACAATGATGCGGGATGGTGATGAACTTCACATAGCGACCGTTGTGAACCGGGAAGATAATCCAGAAGCAGTCAAGGCGGCAGGCTTTACATTGGCAAAAGAGGTTAGTCTTGTGTATTTTTTTTTTAATTTTTATTTTTATTTTTATTTCTATTTTTTTTTTTGGTAAATAAATAACCTCACTGGTTTGCTGACATTTAATATGTTTTAATGGTTTCGTTTCTCTTAGCTTCAAAATGCTTCGTCTCTCATAACCAACAAAGCTAGAGATATGATGGGTCAGATGTTATTGTACGATATTAAATTGACTACACATGCCATATCTGGCCGCGTTAAGGATGTATTAGGAACACTGGTGAGAATTTTACTTGTTTTATAGAATATCAGTCTTTTTTCTTTCTTTCTCCTAAGAAATACAAGTCTCGATCTCGGGTAATCTAATACATTGATCTAACTGATTAGATAAGAGACCTTCCATTGTCAATGGTAGTATGTGGGAGTAGAGGAAGAGGAGCGGCGAAGAAGTAAGTTTCTGATATATATATAAACGAGAAAAAGTCTGGACCGAACACATGAATCTTATTTATTGTCGTTTGTGTGTGTGTGTGTGTCTGTGTCTGTATGTTTTAGTTTATTAATGGGTTCGATTTCTACGTTTCTGGTCCACAAATCTCCTATCCCAGTATCAGTAGTTCGGCCACAGATAAAGACCAAGAAGATAAGAAAGCTATCTATAGCTTTACCATTAAGCGATAGTGAGTACAATTATATAGTTATATATATATATATATATGTGTGTGTATACATTCTGGAAACAAAATCGACTCACCATTCATTCTTTACTTGATTTAGGTGTACAAACGGGCAAGTTAGCTGTGGATGAATTGAGCAAAAGATCTTAAATCACAGAAAGTTTTCCCTCCTTGCTGAGTGGAAGGTCAATATCTTCTTCATACTGCATTGATGTTGATTGTCCACCATGAACGCTCAGGACCATAAACTTATCACATAGTTATTAGAAAACCACACATATACATACACATACATTCACGCATTTATATATTCACACACATTCACGCATTCACACATATATACATATTTATCTGCCTATCTGTCTATCTGTCTATCTATTATTCTTTTTTTTTCTTGTGTATAAAAATATTTTACCTTGCTTTGGAATGCTTTATCAAGCCCCTTTTCTTTATCAATCTTTGCTGTTCTTTCACTCACAGCCGCCACGCGTTTCCATTCAGCTTGTAGGTGCTGAGTTGTGTTTGGCAAACGAGAATTGTCAATGTCGTGGAAGCTGACCATCTTTCTACTTGTGCCATCTGTTACGACATGCAATATCGTGGCAGAAATTTGATCCGTATTGATCTAAAGTTAAAAGATAAAATGAATATAGAAAATGAATATATACATACATATATCATATTAAGTAAATATATATATAAATGGATATTTAATACATATACATATACATATATATAATAAATAGAGACTATTTATTTACCATTCGAACCACCATTTGTTCAACCTGGAATGGGGTGATTTTTCCTTTGGGATCCAATTTCACAGCTATATCCTGAATATCCACTTTCTTGTAAACCTTTGTGAGAGCTTTGATCTTCTTGAGACGAAGAGCGACTGCACATTGTTTGGCTAACCCGAAATTCTGATCCTATATATATATAATATTTGTGCGTGTGTTTATATAAGCTATCTGTCCCTTGAAAAACCTTCATACTTTGCACCTATTTTTTTCCACTCTTTTTCTCTCTGCTTTTTTTTTGATCATTTACCTGTTCCAAAGTTCCCTTGAAACTTAAAATAAGTTCATCAAACTTGCTTATATTGGTTTGTTCATAGGCCTTAGCAATTGTGATATAGTGCTCGTACTGAAGCTTAAATCCCTTGTCCACAACTGTAGCTGTGTATTTTGGAAGAATGCGGATCTATTGTGAATAATTATCGTGTAATTGAATACATACATTTATAGATAATTTTGTCGTTGTTGTTTTTTTTTTGAGTATTTACCTTTCCGTCCTGAATCAAAGACACCAGACAATACTTTTTGTAGGCTTCAAACTGAATAGCACTAGGAATATTAGCAGGTGCAGAAATGGCCTATTTAAACATATGCACATTAATATACCAAGCTCAAGATTTATTACAAAATGATAAAGAATAGTGATAATACTTGCTATACTCAAGAAATCCAGGGCACGTTCAAATTGTTTGTTACCAATGTATATCAAGGAAGCATCGTAATGGTATTCGAGAAAATCAACAATTGTCACTCCATAAATCTAAGTAATACGGTATTAGATATATTGGTATGGTGTATGTCTATGTGTATGTTTATATTTTCTTTTTAAATGAAGCATATTATTGTTAATAAAAAATTAAAATAAAAAATTATAACTTGCCGTTGGGTCGACATGATCAATATCGCTATCAAGAATGGAAAGTGGATATTTGTACATCTTGCTTATCAAACATGCCTATGTATGGTACATACATATAAATCGAAATCCAAAATTCAAATAATAGTAATAATAGTAATAATAATGACAATAATAGCAAAGTATGTGTTGTGTGTGATAAAAAGATATTTATTTTGAATAGTTATATATACATTGTATCTTATAATGCCTTCGTTTTTTTCTTATTTTTTTTTGGGTTTTTACCTTTACAAGAGGAGCATGTAGTGTGGTCAGGGTATTGAGTTCAGGGTTCAGGCGCTGGATCGCGTCTGCAAGAGGTTGAATAGGTAACAAGGGCTACACGATTGATATTTTAATATCAATACCAATATCTCCTTCTTCTTCTTCTTCTTCTGTTTCCATCTTTGTATACATACTCTCTTTAATCCATTAGCCAGGGTATCGAGAGCTTTGGCAATAAACTCAACTAATAAATTATATTTAAAGGAATAAAGGTTTATATATGCATAAATCAATACAAGATTCACATATATATATTCAAAAAGCAGAATAAAATAAAATAAAATAAAACAGAACATACTTCTAGCTGGGGCTCCAAGCACTTGTTGAACATCAAATACACTGATAAAGTGACTCAAGAGTTCGAATAGCTGTTGTGCATTCTCGCTTGTTGCAGCACAGCATCGCGCAGTACTAAGATTTATATGCATCATACCAATGTATCTCAATTCCAAATGTCCAATCATTTTCCTCACTTTTTGTTTCTTTTATAATTATATATATATCCCTGTATATATATATATAATTATACGTGTCGTTATTTCCTTCTTACATAAAGTAAAGATAGCCAAGACTGTTTTCATTAGGACTCAGTATAGTCAGAGGATCGAGATTCTGTGAGGTGTAGGCCCTGAGTTGTTCTTCATTCATAAAAGCAAGCATGCTCTTTGGTTGCTTCAACTGGATTTCACTGTCATTTGGGTCTACTGACTGGAGAAGGGCGATAATTTCGTCCAGTTGAGGAGAACGGTCACCGCTTCTCTGACCCGATGAAACTGGACGGTAAGATGTACCATTGAATGCTTCTGACATTATAATGGACTATCTGATTAGAAGAACAAGAAAAAAGAGAAAAAGGGAAAAAGAAATCAAAGATGTAGACGTAAGTCAGGTAGGAGGATGAAAAATATATATAGATCTGTATATGTATACAAGCGTGTTTCTGTACAGCTGAATGAGTAAAAAAAAATGGCAGTAGAACAATTTTATTTGCCTATAGACAAAAACTTTGTATTATATGAAATAAAATAAAATAAAGGGGGGTTTGAGATTTATAGTTTTTTAATTTTAATTTTAATTTATAAAAAAAAAAAACACAAAAAACACAAAAAAAAAATTGAAAAAAAAAAAATCAAAATCTATATAAAATGATTTAAGAAAATCAATTTATATAGATTTTGATTGGTTCATTTTCATTTATTTTATTGAATTTATTTACCATTGGTGGCCAGCCAATGATGAATGTGGGATCTTCCTGTTGGACGAGAAAATTTTCAAAAAACTCGCAGTGGGCAACAGATAGGTTATCAGCATTCTACACCTGCATAGACATCGCGTGGTTTATATAGTTTGGTTTATAGGTCTTCAACTGTGAAAGTCTTTCGACCGGTTTACTAAGGCCACATCTATGAGCAGACTACGTAGATAACCGCCACAATAAAGATCTGAAAAATTTGCAAACTTTTGGCCCCTTTTTATAGACAAAATAGTTCAGCTCTTGTACGACCTTTTGCAATTGAAAAAAAGTCACGGAACGTGAAAATTAAAATGATTGGTGTTTGAAAAATGAGTCAATGACTTTTAAATTATTTTGATTGGCTTTTAAAATTGTGACGCCATATGAAAAAAAGAGTCCTTGAGATTGAAATAAAAAAGTCACGTCAGAAAAGAAAACCGAGGCAGCTAAAAAGAAAAGTCACCGCAAAAATGGCTCATAGTGTTAGGAAGGATATTGAATACGTGACTTATTATTTATAAGTCACGTCTATTGTTCTATAAGGTTCTATGAGAAACAAAATATTCAGTGTGTGAGTAATTTGGTGATTGTGTAGTATCTAAAGCGTACACGGCCGTTTGCTGCCTAAAGTAAAACAAACTTCTTTAAACGATTATTTTTTTAAAAAGAGAATATAAATCCAAGTAATTACACCTTTTTAACTAGCTCCTATTTAAAATCCATATGAAGGAGTTACACTACAAGAGGTACGCACGGCCGTTTTGGCCGTTTTTGGTTTTTTCAAGAACTGAAAATCTCAAACATTTTGTGTGGACAGACTAAAAGTTCAAAAAAAAAGGGCAAAAAAAAGAGCAAAATTAATTAAATATCTAGCCCAATAATATGACTTAAAATTTTGCTCTTTTTTTGCCCTTTTTTTTTGAACTTTTAGTCTGTTCACACCAATTGATGATTCCTGTAGCTTATCTAGGCTGTATCATCTCTATTCAAAAAATCGGTCCAATAGGGAGAAGAAAAAGAGAAGCAAGCTTAATGTTCAACTTTAATACCTTTTCACTATAATATTATAACCTAGACCTGCATTGGCTCAATCTTTTAATTCAAAGCTAATAAATGTATGTTTGTATAAACTCTCCGTGTAATAAATGCACATATTTGAGCTTTTTTGTGCTGACTAGCTTATAGTGATTGACCACTAATAAAAAGCCAATCACCCATGTTTTCAAGTTAGCTCATTCTATGTAATTTCGTAAAGTATTTAACATAATAAAAGATAATTGAATTCGTCCATCACAAAGAATAAATACATGTCTTTTATATGTAAATTTGTATTCTGTTAGATATAAAATACGGTTTCAAATCGTACAAACATATTTTTATTAAATCAGGAAGTCGATACTTTCAGATCGGGATACCCAGGTATGTATTCGCCTTTGATTTTCAGTATACAGCCCTTTTCGAGCGAGTCGACTAAACTAATCGTAGAAGCAGGATTAACTGTCTTCCTTGAAACTGAGAGCTTGACTTGTTTGTGTTCCCTTTCTAATTGTTCAATTTGGGTTAAGCTCTTCTCTAAACCATTCTGTTGAAAGGAAAAACCAGTTAGCTACTACAGTTTTCTAGATAACTCTCAATATTCTTACTTTATACATGCAGAAAAGGTTGGTGACATCTCTAATGCACATCTCATTATCTTCAAAGTTTGTAGGCATATCCGCCATTTCAATCAATTCCATCACGCAAACTCCTCGCGAAACTTGTTCTATTGACCATAAGCGTATTTTTTCCTCTAGACACAAAATATTAGTAGTATTACATTTTAAGAAACTGTCTCCTTTACCTAATACATGTACAAAATAAATCCGTATTTTGTGAAACGTGTCTAGTGACCCAAATTCGAAAACGTGGGCAATTTCTTGAAGCAACGCCAAAACACCAAATCCCCCTTTTACATGGTCTTGCGTAGCTCGAGCAATGTCAAAAAGTCCACAATGACCAGTCACCTCTAAAATTGAGAGTTCTATAGTCTTCCCCCCAACCAGAGCTGTGTGGCAGCCATCGACGTTGTAACTACACGACTCCAACTCTTTATCTCCTCGACGAATGATCTCGTTTTTGATGGCTTGAACCTTATATTCGCCCACTTCAAAACAAAGAGTCTTGTTGTGGCTGTACTCGGTGACGATCTTAAAAAGCTCCCATATAAAATATCCAGAATAATTGGCTTCACTTTGACGTATCCATTGTTGCTTTTGGGCGTTAACGGGTATCCCCATAAGCACTTTCATTATTTTGGCCAAAAACAAAGCCTTCTGATCTTAGTAGTACTTGCGTTTAAACTGTTTCAGGCTTGAAAAAACATCTCTTTCGTTTTCAGACAAGAATATCTTCACGGCATCCTCTTCAAATCCATCGAAAGCATTATAGAGAATTGGCTTTTGAATCATCGTGTGCTCGTAAAGTTCCCGAACAAGACATGTGCGCATCTTGACTTTATATTCACACTGTTGTGGTTGCTGAAGTTTTGTTAAGAGAGATTTTAAAATAGGGAACGAAGATTCGTGAGAACTTGTGTAGGATTTGTTAAAGAAAATTGGTTATATCAAAAATTTTCAAGGTTCCTACACTGAACTACTACTGCTATTTATATTATACTGTGGTGAATGGCAGGTTTTATAACCCCGCAACCATAGGAAATACACGATCCCAATTCCTACGATTACGGGGTTATAAAACCTGCCATTTACTACAGTGTACGTAGTTCATGACATTTTTCCATTCCTGAACGAATTTGCTCCGTATGCTGGAGAGCACCATTAGCGAATCCTTTTGAGGCCGGCGAATGTTTAGAGCCAAAGTACGCTTTTAGAACAAAGTGAAAGTTATGTCCTAAAACTTACTACATAAAGTGATTTAATAGATAAGTTTACAATTAATATTATTATGCTTGAGTATGGCTTGATCTATGTGCCATATGGGTGTGATTGAGGATTTCAGTACCTGAAAATGATATAAATTTATAAAAATGACAGCTTTTAATGCAGCCAAATGTGTTGTTATTTTTAAACCCCACTCCTCCTCCTCCTCCTCCTCCTCTTTCTCTGTCGATGTTTTTTCTATTTGAAAGGAATTTGTTATTATGAATTGAAAGCTTTCTATTATTATCATTATTAATTTTATTTCATTTTCATTTTACAATTTAAATAACAAATGTCTTGACTCTTGTTTAAGCAATATATTTACGTGCTGTTAATCTAACAGAAATGTGCGGGGGTGCATTCGTAGTTATATAGATATACTTCACAATTAATATTTACTTAATTGGCAATGGTGGTGGGTTGAATAAATATACCCCAGAATATATACATATAGATATCAAGAAGAAGAAAGAAGGAAAAAGAAAGTGTGTATATGTTGCTCAGATTTTTTTTTTATTGTTTTCTTTAGGATATTATGAAAATGCACCTTGGCTTTCTGTGTTAATTCCATAAACTGATAGATTGGCACACTACACAATTGACTATATCCATCATAATTATCATCATTATCAGCGTCATATTTTAGCCTTGAAGTTCTTGTCCTATGCCTCGTTTGGTATTATCAAGATCAATATGATAACAGGTATTACAATACAGTCTTCTGGTTGTGTGGGGATTTTATTCATCATAAAGTACAGTAAAGTAAAGAAACCTTTAATTTTTCATGTCCGACCTTGGTTGCCACATGGTAAGTTGAACACAGCACCAACAATATATATACAAACTGTAATCCAGAATACTTGTTTTATGCTTTTTTTTTTACAATTTATTTCTTTGTGCGTCAATTACGTCTGTCTATCATTGGTACATCAATAAGCTCAAATATATATAGCAAGATCTTGAATGTAAACCTAGCTCCTGGCTGTACATCGTTTTAAAAGTCTGTCGAAGGGAGGGAAAGAGTGGGGTAAGGGTGGAGGAGACAAGAGTGATGAAAGAAACTTTAGGTAAAAGGTTACCATTTATGGACTACAGCTGCATGGATAATTAATTCGGCTGTTGTTGAAAACAATAACATATATTATAGAGTTTTCCAGTTGGAGAAGTGATGTAATCTTTAAAATAGAGTTTTTTTTTTTGGCAGCTTGGTCGGTGTAATCAATAAGATCTTAACTCAACCACTAGTTTTTTGTTGTTTTTGGAATTATATGGTACCAAGTAATAGTCGAGAAGATCAGTGAAATAGGTGTCTACATATAGATATGACTCAGGTAATCAATCTCTAATTCTTCTTTATTTCTTTTCATTTTTTTTTCGCACAAAAATAAAGTAAAAATAGTGTTCATCTTATGTTCTGTAGATTTAAGAGTTACCAATAGTCTTTGCGTTTGGAATATGTCTTGCTGTAGTACGATTTATGCAGTAAGACTATCTTTGACTAATGTCATCTAGATACTTGTGTGATTCTCGCCTGAAAATCCCCTCGTAGACCCAAATATTGTGGCTGTATTCTCGATATCTGTGTGTATGTGTACTTGTGTACATGTTTGTGTGTGGGTAAGTGTGTAAGCGCTTTAAATAGTCTATTGATATGTAAATTTGAGGCTGTAACTTGGAGGAATTTGCACATCTTGACTCTATCTAAGGGCAAAAATGCATATAGTATTTGCCGTTGTTCTTTTTTCATTTGTAAGCTTATTTTATTTTTTTGGGAATTGTGATATTAGAAAGCATGTTATTATCTAATTTGCATTCTCTACTCTTGTTCTTTATATTTATATCTTTTGCTATTTATTGAGTGTGGGTATGCTGTAAGTAAAGTAAAGTAGTACTTGGATCAGTTATATGTATATATTGTTTGGAGTTTATTGAAGAATGAGGACACTTTATAATATCCATTAAAGATAAATTCAGACTATCCACAGCCAAATTTCCTACATCCTTATTTGCAATGGACCCTTGCACAACCTGTGAGGATTGATTGATTGATTGAATTTATTTTCTTTAATTCTTTAATTCTTTTTGTGGATGTGAAGGTGGGGTACGATGGTCAGAATAAATTGGCGCATTAAGGATCCCTTGATAAGAATTACTTTACCTTAAAATATGTAACGATGCAGTCCATGTGAAAGAACATGCTATTCTCATTATTCTTTTTATTTTTATTTCTATCTTGAGTGTATAGAAATGTCTTCCTTGTAACAAACCTTATGCTTGTTTTGGCTTGTAGTGCTTGGTTATTATTTGCCCGGTAAACCGGGTGGTAAAAGGGTAACTTCATGTGCACTTTCTTATTTTTCAAATGTATGTAATTGGCAGTCACTCCAAGTTGGTACATGCGGTGAGCAATAAGTGAAGTGATTGGTCCTATTTAACAAGATTACCCCTTTAGAATTTTATTTTACCTTTTTTTTTTCTTACTACAAATCTTTAGAGTCGTGTCATATTTGAATGTATGGAATAACCCAAAAAAAAACAAAACAAAGTAAGCCTTTCTCTCATTACTCTCCTCTCCCCTATTCTTTGGGATGATCACATTTACTTTTTTTCTTCTTCTTTTGCTTCCCAGTAATCTGGAAAATTCATCTCCGTACCATATTTTGTTATTTAGTTGCCTAGTTGCCTAGTTGCCTAGTTGCCTAGTTGCCTAGTTACTTCAATGTTATTTTTTCAATATTCTTTTTTTTTTGCAACAAGAGAGAAAAATATGGTTGCAAGAAGGCTGCGACAAAATGAAATAAAAATATATAGTCTTTCTGTCAGCTTATCAGATAACTCTAAGATATTCTATGCTCAACTCGGTATGTGTGTATTGATGTGTCCGTTTTGCTCCGTCCCAGGGACACAGATATTTTTCAAGGTAGTACATAAAAATAAAATAAATAAATATTTTTCCCTTTAAGAATAAAATAAAATAAAATTGTAATCAAAAGCCATCAGTTCCAGGAAGAAGAAGAGAAGAAGCGGAGGAAGAGAAAGGTATCATATTTGGTCAAAAACAATATGCGTATATTATATGCTGCTTGTTTGCTTTATTTCTTCTAAAATTAAGAGAATACCGACATGGCTGAACTTGGACTCGGCTTGCTAAAATATCAAAGATCTTTTCAGGTTTCCGGATTAATAGCTACCGAGACAAACGCATCTCTTTTTTTAAAAAAAAAATGTGAGGTAATCACGTTTCTAAATGAACTCACCGTGGGATTCAAATACACGTTTTATATTGACGTTGATAAATTATACGAAATGAGTTGATAAGAGTCAGAATAAAAATGAAGAGAAGGAAAAGAATGAGGAAGCTTATAAATGTATATATTTAGTGTATTACAGTCATGTACAGATCAGATTATGCTAGTCTTATATATATATGTGTGTTTATCTATGTATTATTCTGGGTGACATGCAAGTTATGGGACATAGTCAGCCAAGCATTTGGAAACTACTGTAAGGAATACGATGTATCCATTTGTTTCAATATTTTTTGGGAGGATTTCTTATTGATAGCTTGTACCGTTCTGTATTTTGATGGCAATAGAAAACTAATAAAATGTATTTTCTAACTGTCTGCCCCCTTCAAATCAAACCATACAAACTAAATTTATGGGGATATTGTAATGTTAGTGAAGTGCTTTCTAATGTCAGTAAAGTAGTGTCTAGTGGCGGTGTTACAGTAAGCAAGTAAACAGGTATATATAGTATATATATATATATATATATATATTCTTTGGTGTTGATTATAGTTGTACAGAACATTTTCTGGTGGTGTGTGCACTTGTTTTTGTCAAATGGTGTGACCCTTAGCACTTGTGTACCTTGTTTCTTTCCTGCTATTAGAGAATCGAGGTACTACTACTATTACTATTACCACTTTTGTTGTTATTGGGAAGGAATGTAGGATATTTTGATCTCCTTGGTAAATCAAAGGTCTACATATATATTCATGTTCTTTTCTCTGTTCATTTTCAAGGTAAATATATATCTACTATGAGATTTCTCTCTCTCTATCTATCTATTTCCCTTTGTCTATTGTTCCTGACTCTTTTGGCACCTGCTTTGTATGCTTTTCTTGCTAGTCTGTTTACATTGACACTAAACTAGCATTACTATTTTTATTTATGATTATGGTTATTTTTAACTTTTCTTTTTTTCCTTTGGGGGAGTAGAAGAAAGAAAGAAAGAGAGATTTTAGGCGTCATCTGCTTTACCTCATTTATTTAACAGAAAACTATAATTTAATGTAAAATTCAGTGGCCGTTCTTGGTGTGAATCACGATTTATCTGAGGGTGTTTGTGACCATTTTGAATAACAGTAAAGACACATACACACATACACAACTGGTGTGTGTGTATGGATAAAAATTATATTGACAGATCATATTATGTTAGCTGTTCTGATAATTAAATCAAAACTACCTACCGCTATATTTTTCAGTGCTAAAATATGGCCTGTTTTAGCTTATTTGCATTTGTACTCAAGAAGTGATCAAAAGAGACCCAAAAACAAACAAATCAAACAAAATCTCAGATATTCAAAAACGCCTTTTTTAGATTATTTTTTTAAAGGGAAATGCTATTACTACTATTGCTTTCCAGTCGAATATTAATGAAACTGGACTATGGCGATTAAAATGTCATTCTTATTTGTTATCTATTGCTATTATAGAAAATATCAGATTATGGCAGAGAAGGATTTTACAGTATCAGTCTACATTAATTAGTCCATTTAAAATATAAAGTACATGCTATAGATAAGGTCGATATATCAATAGATAGATAAAAAGGTTAGTGAATTCGATTATCTAGCTAATAAGAATATGCAGAAGAAAAGGAGGGTAGTTGTTTTTAATGTCTTGGCCTGTTATTTAAAGTCAAGAAACAAATGAAAGGTATATATGACTGTCCTTCCTGTAAAATTAGACAAGAAGATCAGAAAATGACTGTGTCTTTTTTTTTTTTTTTGGTTTTGTATTTTTCCTTTGTCTTCCCTCACATTTAATACGTATAAGATTGATAGATTGTTGGTATTATCGAATGTTTTTTCTTCTTCGTTTTCTTTTTGGCTTGGCTTGGCTTGGCTTGGCTTGGCCTGGCCTGGCTTGAAGAACACTGTGAATTTAAGAAAATAGACTATATTCAATATAAGAAAAAATGAACTATTAGATATATATATGTCTGTCTGTCAAGGACTGTATAGATTTGAATGAAGAATTAATTATTAATTATATTCTTATTAAATTTTTTTTTAAAAGAAAAAGTATATAAATATATAAATATATTGATATAATTATGTATTTGACAGACAGACCAATAGACAGACTAGTTTGGTTATTAAGTATTGGGACAATGGGAATTCTGTAGGTAAAAATAAAATAAAAGGGACACCTTCAAGCCAAATTACACACGTTTAATTTCTTATTCTGGCCGCCTGGCCGGGCAATTTATCTTGGCCAAGAATGAAGTCTAATATTGCTCCACAATGTACTTATATATATGTATAATTTTAAAGTATCTTTCTTCCTTTTCTTTCTCTTTTTGGACCATAGACTTAATTGCGTCTTCTGTGCTACTTGGCTAATGATTGTCTCTTTAAAGCTTAAACAGTAATAAAATACGCTGATGAAAATTGCAAGCATCAATTTACCCAAACAGAAATAAAATAAAATGGATAATTTTCGTGGTTTTATTGTATTCAACGCCCGTTTTGTGTTTATATTACATTGTGTATCTTTTTTATTTTATACAATAGATTTTATTTTATATATAATACTCTTTTTCACTATACACAATTCCAAACCTTCTTTCTTTTATTGTGTGTCTTATAAATATATAAATTTATATATTGATCTTTCAATTGAATTTCTTCCTTTCTTCCTTTCTTTTATTATTTTCTTCTTCTTTATATTTGATATACCCAATTTATCCTTTTTCTTTTATCTTGAAAATAAATAAATAAATAAAGTAACCAAGAATAATCTACACAATGGGTGCCAAATTCTCAACCTACAGACGACGATCACATAACTCTCACTCTCACAACTTTCACTTGCACAATTCCAACTCGAATTCACAATCCCCTCAGTCGACACGACCTTCAAATGAAAGCCTGAGCCCCATTCAGTCCACCGATAGTTCAATAGTTCGTCAGGGACGTCACTTCCACAACACTCAACAATCTACCTACTGGCTACCAAACGATGAAGAAGAAATGGATAGACTTGTAGGCGTAAGTATCTATTTGTCTGTCTATATAAATATATATATATAATAATATATTTGTTTATTATCATAGCAACACTTTGCATTGAAATCTCTTTTCAACGGGTAAAGAAAAAAAAAATATTCAACAAAACAAAATCAAGTGGAACATATAGCTATATATCTGTTTTTTTTATTGACCGTTGTCATTATCATTATCAAATTAATATAGAAATTTTCTCGATGATCCAGAGATCTCGGCTCTGTTTGAAAATGGCTGTGAAATCCTTGATGTAGGATGTGGACCAGGCACATGGATAATGGTAAGAAAGAAGAAAGAAAATCAAAAACATTTATATACTGTGATTAATTACTAACCATTCAAAACAAACAATATTTTTTTAAAAAAAAAGGATGTTGCTACGGATTTCCCTGCTTGTCAGTGTACAGGAATTGACATGAGTGAGGTGTTTCCAAATATCATCCGACCTTCGAATGTTTCATTTCAGGGCGGAAATGTTCTTGAACGTTTGCCTTTTCCAGACAATACCTTTGATCTCGTTAACATACGGCTATTTATTTTGGCGCTGCGGAAAGAAGAGTGGCTTCAGGTAGTAAAGGAAATATTTCGGGTATTAAAGCCTGGAGGTTTCATCCAGTCAACAGAATGCAGTATGTTGGTGAGTTTTTTTTTTTTTTTTTTTTTTTTTAAATAGACAAAAATTTTTCATTTTCATTTTAATATTTTATACATATATATAATATATAATATAATATTTATATGTCTGTTGTGTATTAATTTGTCGCCGCTGTGATTTTAAGGATGTTGGAAACGAGTTTGTACTCCATGTGGGAGCAGCTAGTAAGTTAATAATATTCATAAAAAAAAAAAGGCTTTGGTTGGGGACTCTATTTATTTAGAGTCCCGTATTATGCATGCTAAGCTGACTCTAACCAAATCTATTGATCAAAAGTTATTGAGGAAATGATCGATCGAGGACAAGAACCACGAATCCTAGGCCTCTTCCCAGATGTGCTAAAAGAAGCCCAATTTGAAAGAATCACGCAAGACAATAGGGTAGCTCATCTGTGTAAGTGAATCTAATTGATTATATTCATATTCATCCTCATAATTTATACTTGATTTTTGTAGCCAAACCTGATCATATCAACCGTGAATTCTTGTGGGATATGATCAATATCTTCAAGAGCGCCCAAGCTTTCCTAAGCAAAAAACTTGATATCCCTGAAGAAAAATACCCTGGATTCTTACAGCAGGCCTACAAAGAGTGTCAAAAGAGCCCAGGTGCCGAGTGGGTATTAGGAATCACAGTTGGTCGAAAACCACAACTTTGATTGTTATTATTATTATTATTATTATTATTATTATTATTATTATTATTATTTACTTTATTATTTATTCCTGGCATCATCATTTCTGTATTTCTTTTTTGCAACAAATCTTACATCTATTTGACATTAGATTTCTTAAATCATACATTCTTTTTCTTTCCTTCTTTTCATTACAGCATTCAAACTTTATAGTATCTTTGATTTTTGAACATATCATTCAATTCTGTTTCAATTATAAAAATCAAAGGATTATATTTCAAAATCATATCAAAATATAACAATAAAATATAAAGATATTTTTGTATATGTATGTTTCATTGTCATTGTAATTAATCTCTAGGTATTAATATTATAACAATTAATTATGAATTTTACACACATTTATATATATATATATATCACATGTGTCATTAAAACAGTATCCACTCTCTAGTAATATGATAGTAATAACAATAACAGTAATATAAAATAAGAAGAAAATTGTACAATTTGAATTCAATGAGATTTACAGTTTCTTCATTATTATTATTATTATTATCATTCTTTTTTTTTAAAATAATAATAATAATAATAATAATAATATTAATATTAACCTTAATAAACTTACCTCAATATATCTTGTGATATTAAGAACGCTAATGTTCCCACGCCAGCACTAATGGCAGCCATCATAAACACATCCTGTCTTGACAACCGACGCAGCTTGTCCAGAACAAACTCGGAGTGGTGTTTGAACTCGTCGTCTTTGCCTTGTATTTGAGTTGTCTTGGTGGGTATCGGTAGACGGGTGCGTTCATTGTGAGGTATTTCTAGTGCTGCCTTTGCCTGAGCCTCTGATTCGGCCGCCAAGACTGCTGGATCAACCTTGACCTCTCCTTCTTTAATAATAGTAGCTGTATCAAGAGAAATCCAGAGATCGTCATATGTATTCACTGTTGATATGGTCGCCAGTCCGATTCCGCTCTTGTACTGAAGTGCAATAGGCGGATATCGACCCTCGATTTCAATAGCAGATCCAATCAACCGTTCCACATCAATGTCCTGTGGGAGTTTGGTCAGAAAACCATGGACCGTGCTGAATTCACACTCCAGCCTGAGGATCTCTGACCGCCGAGAAAGAACAACGGCTGCTGTAAAATACACGGGCATGAGAGGATTTGAACACAGAAAGAAATCAAACAGGCGAGTAATCTTGTCAAGATCATCAAGGTCATGACTACACCAAGTAATCACCCAGCTGAGAGCGTAGAATGGTACGATGTCTGATCTACACCAATAAATAAAGCATTTATATATATATATATCAAATGTCTATCTAATCTAATCAAACTAAACCAGCAAGTAGCAATAGAGTATTTCTACTACTGATTCTATCTTTTCTTTTTGTTTCTTTGTGAAATCTTACTTTTTTATAAATGCAGCCAGTTCTTCGTCTTCACTCATTATTAAACTGTCCACCAAACTGAGTTCCTCTAGAACAGGTCCCAATTCGACTAGCATCGCATCTGTAAGTTAGCATAAAGTCAAGATTATATAGTAGAAAAGTTTTTTTTTTTACTATTGTTTCTTTGTAATAAAGGATATCTTAGGAAATAAATGGCCAATTTCTCCACTAGTACAATAGCCTTATTTACGCCAAATAAGAGCAAGAATACAGTACAGACATCATGAAATCCCTAGTAAATCAATTTATTGGTTAGTAGGTTAGTAGGCTAGGTTACTCACAATGCATACTGATACTGATATTGATATATAATCATCTCATGCAAATAAAAATAAAAATAAAAATCACCTGGTAATAATGTAAGCTTGGACAAGAACGTAACACATGCAAAATAACTAACTTCAAATCATCCTGTAATGCCTTTCTACGCTCATCGTCAATATCTTCATTTGTACAATAAAGGATTATAATTAATTTCACAATTATTATTTATCTATGACTTTGAAAACTTACTAGGAGGATATCTATTGACAGATCTCGGCACATCCAGCGCCACCTGAGATTCATCTTTGTGTGTATCTTTTATATATAATAATTATTAGATTTCTTGAAGAGTAACAACCATATATAAATTTGTATTACTTGTCAGTATCTCCAAAGGTTCCCCTATTGTCTCTTCACAACGTAACAAAACTGGCCTAAAGATATTATTTCACTAAAGATAATTAATAAAAAAAAATAAAAAAAATAAAGACACCTCCCTTTCCTCCTCTCCTCTTTACACATTTATTTTCCTTTTAATTTTATCATTAAACACATATATAAAAAATTTTACTCACCAGACACGACGTCGCATGGCATCATTCACAAAGCCTTCTTTCCGACCACATTCTCGAAGCAATTCAAGATTGTGAGAACGCAGACCTTCATTGATTTTGAAGATTCTTTTGAATTTCTGGTTTTCAAAAGCAAGTTTTTTTGGGTCAAGGAACTTTCTATTTCTCATTTGACTTGCGCGATGTCGCTTAGGCATAGTGAGATGTAAATAAATAAGATGCTGACAATGTTGATGGTGTTGATGATTCTGAAGATGTTAATAATAATAATAATAATAATAATAATAATATATATAAAGTCAATGAATAAAGGAAAGAAAGCAACAGTGTACAGTTAATTTTTTTTTTTTTTGGATTTGCAAGTATTCCATATTTGTTACAAAAAAGAAGGTTTCAGACACCGTCACAGATTCTTATTATATTCTTTTTATATATATAAAAATTAAAATAGAGAAATGAATAGGGGGAGAAAGAGAGGAAGATATAGAAACTACAGGAGTAAATGACTTTCTTGAATTATAATTATTTTATTTTATTTTAATTTTTTGGTTTTCTTTTTTTTTTTCAACCTTGCAGAATCCAAGATAAAATAGAATAAAAAAAAACACACCAAAGACGGAGAAGAAGGAGACAAAGAAGTAATGCGTGCCATCATAAAGATTGTTGGATTACTTGGATTCCTAAATGCAGTCTCTGCACGCGTTCATCCCACAGAAGAATTTTTGGATGAAGAATTGACCTTGACACCTCTTTCGGACGGAAAACTACTTGCTCATTTTGAATTTACAACCAATGTACAAGCTCACACAGACCCCAATGCTCCGTGTAAGTCTCTTATTCTCTTAATATAATTAAAAAAAAAAGAAAGAACAAAAGAAATATATTGAGAAAGGGGGAGCATTTGTGTACCTGGGCTTATAAATATACATATATATATATATATATATTATGTAGTCTTGGACTATGGATTGTTTCCAAAGGCTATCGGACAAGTGTTGCAAGAATACGATGTACAGGAAATGCACTTGACCTTTACTCAAGGCCGATGGAATTATGAAGAATGGGGATATCCACCAGAACAATCGGCAGGTACAGGTGTCGAGCTCTGGGCATGGATGAAAAACTCGAACAAGTAAGAGTTTAAGCAAATAAGAAGATATATACGTGTGTGGCTAGTGAATCACACTACTGCCAAAACTACTACTGTTACTCTTATTATAATATTACAGGTTCACTTATTTATATTTACATGTTTAATATATATATATAAGAATTGATGCCAATTGGCGATCATTGACAAATGTCCTGTCAGGTCTGTTTTGTGCTTCACTTAATTTCATCGATGACACCTTGACAACCCAACCACGCATGTCCTTTTTACCCGAGCCTCTATCTCAGTCTGATCGTGAAAGTCACCACCACCAATATATCAACAACGACAACGACAACGACAACGACAACAGAAGCAGCAGTAGTATTCATGCTGAAGATCAAATTAAAAGTATCCAAAGAGATTCACAATTGCGCTATGGAGCTCTTCCGCATGAAAATGTGTGTACAGAAAACCTCACACCCTGGATCAAAATGCTGCCTTGTAAAGCAAAGGTAATATATACATATACCAAAACACACAAATATATGTTGCTGTGCAAATCCATGTGCTTACAAATACAAAAATTATTATCTTTGTGTATATATGTATATGTGAATTAGTCTGGTATTGCCGTTCTCTTGAATGCCCACAAGATTTATAACTCGAATTTCCACGCTATGGGAATTGTGGCTAGATCAATGTGCAGAGTAAGATATATAGATATATGGTACTGATACCAATTAAATGTTAAAGAATGGATCATGCGTTTGTTGAATATCTATTTATCTATCTATCTATATTTAGGATGAGGCATGCAGTGAGCGTGTATTGGAATTAAGGCAGACAGTTACATCTGTGCTAGATCCTGTCAGAGACACTGGCAGAAGAGGTAAGGATTTGTTTTCTCTCTCTCTCTCTCTCTATCCATGTGTAATAATAATGTTTAAATATATATATATATATGAATAAATAAATAATAAATAAATAAAAGATTGGTCACTTGAGACCATCTTTGAGAGAACATTAAAAGGATCTTGTCCATTGGCACGTCAGAGCCGTGTGTTGGTCAACATGGATGGTGTAAACAAGGAAAGAGAACTCAAGCCAAGTCCAACTCTAATCCGAGACGAACATACCTCTGAAAATACACAGATCGCTGTATATGACTTACACCAATGTAACCAAAATATTATTATTTCTTGTGGGGAAATGGTAGAGGCACCCACCCACATATACATACACACGAGAGACACATATAAAGAAAGAAGGGAAGAGAGAAAACCAATGTACTAATCTATGTATACTTCTTTATCGGTATCTATAGCTACCCAACCACTTGATGTCCGTATGTCCTGGAGTGAACCAGTCTTTAAATATCGTGCGTACATAAAGGAAAAATCCCCCCCCCCCCCCAAAAAAAAAAAAAAAAAAGAAGAAATTCGTGGAATATTTATTTTTAATCAATCCATGTCCTTAACCTCCCTTGGGATATTTGTATTTATCTTGTTCATCTAGCTCTTGAACCTATTCATCCTGTGGTTTCTGCTCAGCGTTATTTTACAGGATATGGCCAAGAAAGAGGCGGACTGAGAATAACTATTCACAACCGTAGTCCAGACAAAAGTATTCCTGTCGTCTACTATGAATCGGCCCCATGGTTCCTAAAGTTCTTTTTGCACACCCTCAAGGTTGATGTTCTAGGATCAACAGAAAATGGTAAGCAGAGACTATACTATGTCTACACAACAATACGTGTATGTATGTATATAAAAGTTAATCAATCACTTTTCTGTACACCTGTGTTTATATTTAGATGATGATATTATTGAAAAGA